ATCCTGCAAACCTGCTGTAGATTAATACGAGAGAAGTGTGCAGTCTCTTACAAATGTTTTTTTCAAGAGAGGCCAAAATGGGGCACTGACCCATGCAGCATGTGGATTCTCACTTATATGTATGAATAACCTTTTTTCACGAGCAGTCAACGGATGACAGTTTTTCAGCAGCCAAAGCTGATAGTGATCATGAGAGAGCAAGGTCAGCCAATGGCCGATACACAACGCAGATATCAGTTGTTCCCTCTTCTGTTTGTGTGTGTTTGACAAAAGACAACAATTTTACAAGACTAACACATCAATGACAAAATTTAGAAACTTGAGTGAATATTAAAGCTTTTAGAAAATGGCTAATATTGATTCACATAATTATTCCAATCATCATAGCAGAATTATTAAAACACTAGCTAGTGACCATTTGAGATTTGATATGCTGTTAATGGATAATGAGAAAAGTGCTTTTTCAATTGGGAGGTAACATTGATGTCGGCCTTGTGAGGGCCAACGGCAACATGATGCTGATTATGTCAAAATGCCACTAATCAGCCGATTAATCTCTCTTCTTCCCCCTTCTTCAATTTTGTTACTCTTGTTCTTTGGGGATTTTAACAAAAATAATGAAAACTTAAAAATTCAAGACAGCCACTAGCAGCATCTTGTGAAGCAGCTCAAATCGCTCATTTTAACACAAGTCAACAGACAAGTAGACAGTTCCTGTCCAAATCTTGGGGTGGCTGACCAGGTTTTAAACGGCCTTTACAACCTTTTGGCTGCCCTTCTAGACATGTTACTAAAAAAAAGGGCATCGTTGCCTGAATTAAGATCAAATTAGATACACAACAACCTCTAAACCACATTTTTAGTTTGTTGTGAATGAGCAGTAAACTCCCCACAATGCAAAGCACAAAATAAATGAATTAGCTGCTTGTTAAAGTGGATTAAACACATTAGTGTTTGGTTACTGACTTCTTGTTTGTTTCAAACATTTAAGCATATAGATTTGTTTTTAAATACTTAATTATAAAGAATATATATTAACATAACTGATACAAGGGAAAATTTAGAGAATTTAGAGTTTGTAGTGTGGGTTCAAGACAAGCCATGTTTGAGGTCAACCTTCCCTGAATAATCAAAAACAACCAACCCCACCTTTAAAATCAACCAAGCAAACCAAAACCAACCAGACAGGCATTCAACTTCATCAAACAGAAACAGATAAAAAGACTGGTCTATAACCCACAATGCACTGCATTACTGCCATATATACAGTAGATATATCAAGTTTTAATTTGCCTGAATGAGTTTTTTCTCATTCATAATAAAGTCGAAAACTATTATTAACCTTGCAACTTTCTTTCTAGTCAATGTCCATTTTAAGCTGTATAACATATAGTCTAGCTAATACTGTCAGTTGCACAGAAGTCGCTGTAATATAATCAACAACAGCAGCAGTTTTCAACCCCTCTGTACGGTAAGGATTCCTTGTTTTAATCCAGCTGGCCCAGTTTCAGATCCTGGAAATGAAAGATGTACAACCTCTCCAATGAAAAGTGCTGATTAAATGTTTCCTTCACAAAAAATGAAAATATATTAAAAATGGTTGTTTTATTGCTAACAAAAACATATCAAACAGTCCCAGAGCTGGACAAAAAGTTGAACACAACATTTCTCTTTGAAAATGAAGCGTATTGACAGACACAACGCTCCTGTTTTTTTTACATATGCGGTGTTTCGAGTCACACAAACCTAGCAGTGGCTTCGATTATTGTCATTGTATCAGAGGGGAACAAAGCCAAACGCTTTGATGAGGACCTACAAATGTTGGCTTAAAGGTACATTTACACCAACAAAAGACACACACAAAAAAAGAGAGAAACACAGTCAAACTTCAACCAACAAAATACAGCTATTAAAAAAAAGTTCTTTGAGATGTGTACAAGGGGAATAAAAAGGTATCTCAAAATGATGGTCTCTCCGTGTGTTCGGATGGATGTGTGCAGGTCTACAGCGGCTAAAAGAGGAGACTTCAAAACTGTTCATGACACACACACGTCATGTCCAGACTGACGGTCACACACACACAGACGGTCTGACCGAAACCAGAGTGTGTACATGTGTGTGTGAGTGACAACGTATGTCAGTGTGTGTTCTGTTGTTGGAATGTTAGACTGCAGCCCCTGACAGGTGCAAAGCCCTGTGGGAAGGCACTGTTGTATCTTACACTTGGCTGAACATATACAGCACATCAGAGGTGTAACAAATCCATTCCTGACTGCCAGAACCTTTCAGGGAGTTTCTGTGCCTGTGAACAACACATCTTCAGGTTTCCACACCTCAGAGCTGATGTGTGTCTGACACGCAGAGACACACAGATGAAATGATGCCTCACGCAGCGGGCGTGTGACTTTGAGGAGAGAGGGGAAAGACTCTAAGTGTGTGTGTGCGCGCATGTATGTTTGTGTGTGAAGCATCTGTGTCTCGATGGCGTCTTTAGAGTGGTTAATCAGAGAAGAGGTGGAGGAAAGTGTCAGAGCATCAGGCGGGCTTTGGTGAAGAGTCCTCGAGCCCTCTCTCTTTCTGTGTTGACACCTCTTAACCTCAGTCTATCATCTCTCACACTCACACACTCCACTTCTATTGACACTCACTACCCCGCAGCTCTCCAAAGACCCAAGGAGAATCCACTACAGTGATTGTCCGTGTGAGGGGAGCCTCCAAGCCTGCAGAGAAGAAGGGATTATATAATGCGCTGACATACAGAACAAGCTGTGATCAGACTCAGAGGCTGTTTGGTTTCTTTTTCTGATGTTTCTGGATGGATAAAAATGAGGGGGAAAAAAAATCTCCCGGGAGGATCTGTAAGCCTCTCACTAAAAATGCTGAATCCTCACATGCATCAATTTGTAAATGAACCCCCTTCCCTCTTTTGTTTTCTCACACCAGGAAGTGAACAGGTTCTGTGTCCACCTCTGTCACCAGCTCGTGTAACTGGGGTCAGGAGCTGGGGGTCAGCTGGGAAGAGGTCAAAGGTCATAGAGCAGTGGGTCTTGTTAAAATACCTTTTAGCCTCCTTCAGGGTTATTATGTAATGGCTCGGGGAATAGGTTCAGACTGTTTCGCGGTGGAGACCAGATGATATATGTGTTCTACTTTATGCCAGATGTATATTCATTACCCTTTTGAAAAAATAAGGATGCAAAGGAAGTGCTGGGAGGTTAAGAGGGGTCACACAGAAGAGGTCACATTTATGTTCTTCTGGAGTGTCTTTGTTTTAAAAATGCATCGTCAAGGAAATGATCATCTTAAACGTAAGTGTCTCATCTGGTATTCGAAGATAAAAGTGTGTTTGTAATTAATAAACGCAAAACAGGCCGCTTCTTATGCTGACTTAAAGATATTCGCAAAATATAACTGGGCTGTTCTGATCAATATATTGGACGCATTTGAATATCGATACAATGAGCACGCAGTCTTTAATCTCAATTTTTAATAAGGTGATAATAAGTGTATTAATTTTCATAACCTTCTTTCAATACCTCAGGAATATGAGCGATGGCGGCCCATTTTTGCACGGCGAATATGCATCTCTCTTCTCTGTGCTGCCATTGATCCCTCCTGAGCCATTTCTCCCCCTCGCTTTGTCTTCCAGTCTCTCACTTTTGCCTTTCCCTCACACCACTGCACTGTAAAATTCACCCTTACTCCCTGTTTCAGCGCGCTAACTGTGCGCACTACCTTTTATCAGTCCAGAACTGTTAAATTAATAAATTGATATTGACGAGCTATCAGCCAGGGGGATAAATTATTTGGGAGCAGAAGGCGAGGGTCACATGACTTTTAGTACCCACGATTCTGTAATTATTCCCCACGAGAAGAGGCACTGTGTGGTGCACCCCCCCCCCACCCCCCAGAAATGAACACGCACACACACATGCTATAATGAAGAACTATAAATATCCTCACATACGGAGTGCAGGAGCCATGGGAATACTGATGATCATTACTGCTATCATAACCATCATGATACAGGATGTTAGCAAGCTGGAGATTGCATGTTATCATCACCATTTACACAAAACTGAAGGCGAGAAAACGAGGCTGTGCAGCAAAACTGAATGCTAACAATGCAATACTGAGCCTCGCATCGCCATTAGCACAGAGGGTACCTGCTAAGGTGATGTGCAAAAGAGGGATGAACCTCTCGCAGCTGATCTCTGTAATAAATGCAAATGAGAGGGGAAGGAGGGGGTGCTGCAGATGAAGAAGGGGGGCAGCGAGGATGTCAGAGTGCCAATCATGGAAGTGCTCTTGTTGTCCTCCGGCCATCACTGACCTTTTGACCCTGGCCATGGCCTAAATGTCAGAGGTCACAAACAAGGGTCAGAGCAGATCACTGCAAGACCCTGGCCAGAGATGCATCACCATGGCAACTCTGCGCTATAGGAGGAGAGATGGGGGTGTTTTGCATTCTGTATGCTGAAATCATGCACGTACACACACACATACACACACACAGATGTGCCATGATAAGCATATGTGCTTCTGGGAGTCAAGCCAATACCCCCAATTGGTTTGCAGTGAACTTACACACACTTGGCCAAAATGAAGCTGAAGTCTTTCACTGTTTTGCCACATTATCAAACCACTGTATTTCTCAAACCACTGTATTTCTCAAAGCCAAAACCTAAGCTAAAGAAGATGCCTGGACCACACACCTGGGCTTATGCTTGATTTCAATGGGTCACTGAAAAGGGTGTTCTCTGAAAAGGGTCTTGAAAATTCTTCAAGTATTTCTTCATTCTTTCTTTTTCACTCTTTCTCACAGCAAAGGGGAAATAACGGCTAAAACTTGATTCAAGATGGCCGAGTTATAAGTAGTGTCGTGCTAAACTAGGGCCCCATCAAGTGCAACATGTCTTTTTGAACAGGAACCATCAAAAATTGAAAACTGATTATATAAAAAGAGGACAAACTTTGGCACGTCTACTTGCATGAAATGGTCAGTCTCGTGCTGGAGGTATTTGCTTGCACCTTGCGTCATCTAGTGGTGAAAAAGGGGGAGCTTTCCTCTGCTTCCATTGGTGCTGTTCCCCGGCTCTTCTGCGCGCTGGAAGAGGGGGGAAAAACCCCACTAGTCTGCTTTTGTCTCCGGGGAGCTCCGGTCGATGCCTCGTCCCACCATATGTCTGATCGCAGCTGCCAATCAACAGGTCAACGCGACCCCGGGGAGACAGACACTGGTGGGGAGAGATCAAACAGTAAACCTCGGGGATGACAGATGCAGATGAAAAAAAAGGCAATAAAACATTGCTTCAAAGATGGTAACGGTGCACTAGGAGGCAAATTATTGTTAACAGTAATCTGCAGAATAGCGCCTCGCATTCTGATCGATTGACTATTATGGAGCCTTTGAAGCCGAGGTAACGCCAGGCTATTGTTCATGGAGGGACACAACCAGAAAATAGCAGCTGGTTTTGGTTCAACTACAGCGCTTCCTAAGCCTTAAATACTACCTACCTCTTTGTAATCATGCTTTCTAATAGACTCGCAATTTGGACTCCTTCAGGCTTTGCTCCTTTTGGGAGTTATTCAGACACACAGTGGGAGTCACACATATGACACACGTGTTAAAATAGAAATAAAACAAGGCCAAATAGAAAACGTCCAACAAAGTTAGTCTTCAATTAATGATATATTTAAAGTGTTTAAGTAATTTCTTGCAATAAGCTTTCTATTCTGTGTTTTTTTTAATAGTCTTGACAAGCTACTTTCAGGCCTGTCTCTTAAACAGGACATTTATAGCTTTATTAGCCTACTTTTTTCTTTTAACACCATGGATATGATGCAGCTTAGATGAAAATAAATTCAAACTACGGAAAGTGCTGAACTATCCACACAATATACCAGTATTTGAGCTGGAAACTGTAAGTGATTATGATTCCTTAATTTTTAAAATTGAATTTTATGAAATACAGAAGCAAGTATGCAAATGAAGACGGAAAACACAAAAAATTATGATGATTTGGAGCAGTTTTAACTGTTCATAAGGCTCAACTCAGATCAAGATATCAGCCACATACTACATCAGCTATCTGCATGGTGCAAATTGTTAGGGCTGAGAGTTATTAGAGCTATATTCATGCAAACACCTCATCAAAAATCTACATGTTCGACCTGAACTTTATATATTTCTCTGAAAGCCCTCTTGAAGGTCTTTTTTAATATCTCTAGTGGGCATGTTCTTAGTAAATGAAGGCCGCTTAATTTGAAATTATATTTTGTGTAACATCCAACTCCAACTATTTCCTGTATATGTTTCCTGTTTCTTATTAGTGTATTTTGTTTTAAATGGTCATAAACCAGTTCAGAGAGAATAACTTATTATAGTCATAATAAGATGTATAATTGAATTTCCTTTCAGGGATAAATAAAGTTCTTATCTTTTCTTATCTTAAAAGCGTCATGGAAATAAAGCAGTAAAACTGAAATAGTCTTGCCAGATTATTTCAGCTGCTGCTAAATATGACATTAAACACTCTTTGAGGTGCATGGAGGAGAAAGAAAAGCAAATCTTTTTTTCTTTATTTATATATCATTTATTCATACAGGCTGAGGCGTCCTCTAATTCTGTGTGCGCTACATGATGAAACTACAGTAAATTCAGAAAAAATGGGATAGAGGAGTCAGCCTTGGAATGCTACTGTAAATGTGAACTGTATTAAAGCACAGCCATAATGTTTCATCACCATCTCAGCATGACTGATCTTCTTATCTCACTCTCTGCTAATCAGGAACAAATCTTTGTGCCTTAATCTACGGCCCCCCGCACCCCTCCGCCCATCTCATTAGATTAACAAAACGACATGCACTTATGAACACACACAAACCCACATACACCAAGCTTATGACCTCAATCTCATTCGCCTAATTAGAAACCAGTGTCAGTTTTTACAGTCCTAACTATTTTTCTCAAGATATTTTATTTTTATTTTTTTAGACAATAAATGTGTTACTGCCAGAGTTTGAGAAAAGTTCTACGTGTGAACTCTAAACTCTAACATGACAATGTGTGTGTGTGTGTGTGTGTGTGTGTGTGTGTGTGTGTGTACAGCAAACATATGCAACCAAATTAAAGCCTTAAAGCTGGTGAATTGAAGAGGATTTGATGCAGAGAGCTATTCATGGGAATTAAGCAAATTAGGTCTCCAATTAGCTGCTGACATTGAATAGGAAGATTTGGCGAACAAAAATTAATTAGATGGATTTGTCATTGTTCTAATGAGCATCGCCAGATAATAACTGCTCTATCTCTCTCTCTCTGTCTCTCTCGCTCTCTTCTTCATCTTTTTAGCTTTATCCCCTCTGAAATATCGTTTGCCTGCTTAGAATCTCATTTAATGTCAAACATTACCTTACTCAAATATTCAATATTTTGCAAATAGGAAGCCCACATGAGTGGAGACAAACAAAGTTCAGAAAAGTCAATGTATGACCTAATCCTCTTAGGCTGCAGCACTGTGGATGTAAATGCCAACCTTTGCAAGTCAAAGAGGAATTTCACTATTGATGTAAAAACTGAACGGATATAATTGACTTTATTCTGGTTATAGCAATATTTTGATGTTGTTTTACAACTGATCTGTTCCTGTTTTGGAGGCAATATTGTTGTATATTGATGTTTGTTTATATGTTGATTTCTTTGTCCCCAATTTTTTTTAAATTCCCACACAGATGTTAAAAGTAACAACAGTCACTTCATTGTTCATTTTGTGCTCATGTCAGTTTCAGTATATCTGTCTTTGTTTCAAACGTTGTGTGTCTCTTCTTCTTTCTTCTTCCGAACACAGCTAATGGCTGTAAAAAGACACCTCCCACCTCTCTCCAATAAATCAACGTCCCCTCTCCCTGCCTCCTTCCCTTTCCTCCACTTCCTTCATCCCCGGACTCCCGCTGTCCCCCTCTTTCTGCAGCAGTGGTTCAGGATTACACTGTGTGATAATCTTCCCATTTCTTTAAACTATTTGGGATTGCCGAGATTATCTGGCCTCATATCCATGGGAGGCGGCTTTGAAAAGCCCAATTTCAGTCCGATTTCACGGGGAAGATTTTGCATCCCGACAGCTTTGTTTAATTAGCATCCACTGCTGAGTGGTGTTTCAGCTTTGGGCTCACTTTTAGTGCAATTTGAAATTACACACACACACACACACACACGCAATTGCAGCAGCAGATTAAAGACAACACAAGTTACTGAGGTTAATATAATTTAATGAGTTTATAACAAACATTGGAATTTGGTTATTCTTAATCACACAAACTACAAATAAAAGAAGAGCAGAAGCTTTAGAAGATTCTCATTTAATACTGAACTACTTAAACACTGTAGTATTGTCAGAGTCCATATCAATTTTATTTCCATCTAAAGACACATTCATTAGCAGATATGAAACCTCAAAAACACAGACTACTCTTCTTTAGGGTACCGAGGCCCGCAGACCAGGGTGAAGCCCCACCTGAGGCTGCACACTGGGCCATGGCCAGTAGAGTCTTGGTGCCAAGCAGGACAGAGGAAGCGACTGGGTTTGAGGGCAACACCAACAGGTTGTTCTGTGGGGCCGGGCGAAGGCAGGGTGGTAGGGAGTGGGAAGGGAGGGAAGAGGAAGCTGTCCAGCCACCCTGCGTACCCTTCGCCTTGCCCTCCGGCAGTGATAGTCTCCATTAGAAAAGTCCTGGTAGTTAGAGGGATGGATCGCCCAGAAATGGCCTTTTCCATTGTCACTGCGACCTGCTTTGATGAAGCAATCATTCAGGGACAGATTGTGGCGTACACTGTTTCTCCAGTTTTTGTCCTGTTGGAGAAATTATAGAAAAAAAAGATTTGGTTACATCCCGAAAACTCAAAGTTAAACAATGGGAGTCCCTAATTGAAAATTAACATAGGTGACAGTTAAGTATCACTGATCCTTCTCAGGATGTCACCTTGTCCTGTTGTTGGCAGGATGCGCGAGAGCGTGTCAAGACCGTATATGATTGCAGTAAGACACAACACCCTAAGTTACCTTTTTAGCACGTCAAACCACTGATCAACTTTAATCCACTAGGCTATGCCCAATCTGTTGTTGCACCTGGTAAAGGCAGAGGCAGTTTGCAACCTAGCAACAGGATTACTGTATTTGTGAATTTGCCAACAAGAAGATCATCTAGTGTCCCCGAGAGCACCTAATTGCCTAACCACTCAGACAGATTACATGTTCCAAGTAGGTCGCTTTACTTACGAAAATTGAGGCAAATGAACGAAACATATTGAAAACTTTGGTCCGAAACGTTATCTCGTTAACCACCTCGTGGTTGCCCAACCAACTGCCCCACCAGTTGTTGTACTGACTTCGCAAAGTAATAAAGCACCCTTCATTCGGATAGGCAATAGATCCCATGTTTCGATGTTTGTGCCTCCCCGTATCACTGGACTTGACTTTCTGATTTCCTTAACAAGTGCCACTACGTACTCCCAGTGCCCTTTACACCATGTTGATCCTTGCGTGTTACACTATAGAATAATACAAGAAAACTGATGCAAGCATACCTTACTCTTGAAGTACGGGTAATGGTCCATGATCCATTGGTAGATGTCACAAAGCAGCAATTTTTTCTGATCGGATGCCAGGATTGCCTTTGAGATGAGTGCGATATACGACTGGTTGGGTTTGTCCGCAGACTTCTCTGGACTGGTCGATGTGGTGGTGGTCACTTCCTCCTCCCCCTCCTTTTGTTGCTCTTCAGCCCCCTCCTCTTCTTTGACTTTTCTTTCTTCAAACTCTGCGTCGGATCTTTGTAGCCGCTTCGCCAATGTTTCAGCGCAATTCCCCACCTCTTTGGGTGTAGGACTCTGATTGTTTAGCGTATTGTTTGCTGTTGCTTCTGCGGTATGGCTTGCTGTTGCTTCCTCTCTTGAACCTTTGACTCCTTTATTGAACAAAAGGTAGTCAATCGTGAAGCTCAGTCCCAGTCTCTCTCTGCCGCCGTTGCGGCTGCTTCTGTCTTCCATTGTCATCACTGAATCAAGGTAACTTCGACTCATTGGTGAGGTTTTATTGGTCCCAAACTGCCAGATGAATAGGTTTTAGGTAATAAATGGAAAGTTACTCTCTCAAAAAGTCTTCCAAGAACTTTTGACCTGAGTTTCACAGCATGGCTATCCTGAAGAGCCGGACCCTTCATAAACTGAATGCGTTAATGCGCCTTGTTTCCTACTCCGTAGTCCTACTGTTGACAAGATCACAGATAAAGATGAGCCTCTCAACTGTTGTTAACCTTGACACGCTCACGAGCGACACTATATCAACCCGTGGAAATGACGTCAGACTCAAGACCAAAGATGGCTTCTTTGTTTCGCAACAAACCTTAATTACTCAAATTTCAAAATTTTCTCCCATCTGACGAATTCCAGTCGAATCTATGTTTCCGTTATCCTACAGCCTTTTCCCTCTGAATTCAAGAGTTGTGTTCTCGAGTTGTGAAGATGACTCTATTTAAATGACAGTGAACTTATCCCTCACAGAAAGGGGTAAAGACGGCATGGGGGGGTCTAGGTAGGGGGTCTCAATTGAGGCGGATTATTATTTATTAACTTAAGCAAATCTTTGTAATTACGGGAGATTAAACACTCAAGATTTAGTAAGACGGGGTGTGCGAAGGATGGGTGCTGTTGAGTTAAAGGCCTTTTAGTAGCAGTGTTATCCTGTTCAAGCAGTTTGCCTATGGGGATGATCAGGGGGTGTTACTTCAGTTACCAGAAAACCTTAATTAATGAGCCAAACTTGTTGTTTTGGGAGAATACAAACACATTCAGAACACTGTCCTTGTTGGGAAAAAGACCAAAAGCATAATATAACACAAACAAGAACAAAATAACATAATGGGAACAGCACATGGGCTGACTTTTTCATACACCATACAAATTTGAACAATAAGCTTTTCTATGCTCAGGAGTGATGAAAACCACAGAAATGTAATAGGCAGTGCCTGACATGGTGCCCCGTTATCAACAATGAGGTGATTTCCTTGATTTTTCTGTCTCTGCTGAAAGACGGTAGTCCTGTATATGATAATTAGACAATTTAACTTTATTGTGAAGATCAAGAAGATTAAGAATCTTATTACATCTTTTAATTTAGAGTTAATATTCATTTGTTTCAGAATATTGCAGTTTAATTTCATCCAATTTAAAATTTTACAAATAATACAAATTTGCACATGCTGTTTCAGCATCTTCAAATTTTCAGTGAAGCTGCTTCAATCCTGAAGTGTTTAATATCTGTCTATGCATTTATAGGAACATAGCCAATCAATGCTCAGTATTTCTGTGCTGTAAACCTTTATAATCCTGATCATTAAGATACAAAGCCTCAAATTTACTTCTATGTCAAATTGTGGAAATTAAGCCCCTACACTTTTGAGTCCATCACTAGATTATTATAGTTATTCTTACATAATTTTAATTAATCTGATGTGTTTGATAATGTATGATAAATCTGCCTTGCTCCCTCAAGTTTAATAAAATACATGGAAAAAGAGGGGTGTCACATTAACTCATGGACTCACACACTATAAAGCATTGTGCCAACTCAAAATATTCAACTTTTGCACTGTAATGTCCATTATTAACTTACAGAAAAGAAACTGACTTCAGAATTCTCAATATTTTTTTCTCCTTTCAGCATCCTACGTGGTAAGTATGATTTAAAATTGGAAATTGAATTACCCAAAACAGAAATCTCACATGTTCGGTATTTTCCTTATGAATTTTGGTCATGGCCTACCTTATCTATTAATCAGAGGGGGTGACAAAAATAAGCTGAAGTTAGGAATACTAAATATTTTTTGCAAGAGGCTTTCTAAAGTAGAACAGAAAAACACACGAACACCTTGTAATTGCACGATAATGCAACTGTTTTATTTTGTTTTGTTCTTTTTTTTCCCAGAGGCTATTCCTTTCCACTCATGGAGAATTTTTGGAAAAGCCGGGCTGGATTACAGGAAGGAGTACACATTTGTCCAAAGTAGTCTTTCCATTTGGAGAATTATATTACCCACGCACGCATTATTTTGCTATTTGAAGAGGGCTTGAGTCGAATATCCTTTACTCTGTTGGGAAATTTCTTTATTTACTCATTTGTGATCAATTTTAAACATACCTTTAAACAAAGCATCAACCCCACATCTCGGGGCTGGACGCAGCACCCGGAGCAGAATTTTTTGCTCGGAAGGGACTTGAACGGACCATGCGACCCGGTCCATTTGTCAGGCCATGCTTTCCATTCACGATGAATTTCAACAGTTTGCACGACACACAATCACATAACCTCGATACTATAAAACTAAAACATCGTGTTTCTCAGAATATTTTTGCAAGTGATACTATTTATTGACACCGAGGCCTATTTTGAAAATGAGACCTGTCTCTTAGTGTTTGTAAAATGTTGTACTACAACTTTAAAATACAGTGGTCCCGCCTACTTTTCTATACCACGTTAAGGGCTCTAGCGCAAACCTCGCTCTGATTGGTTCAAAGCCGCCGCCAATCAAAGCATACTCTGCGTTTCATTGGTGAAAGACTAGCCGTCGTCTCTGACTCTCGCGGTACTGCTGCACGAAGATGGCGGCCGAACTGGTGGAAGCGATGGCAAGTAGAGCTTGGCTAGCTTTGATTTGGTGGGGGACGGACGCGGGAGTGTGGGTCGATACCCAGCCCGGCCGTGGGGAAAACTCGGGGCATTGTATGAAAATGGTTAAGGGTTTTTCCTCTTATAAATGTACCGTTTTACATTCACGACGAAACAAACTAGCCTGTGCTGCTAACCTAGCTAGCATGCTAGGCAGTGTTCTCCAGCAAGTGCGTTGGTTCAGCTAGCATCTCGCAGGCTCCAAAGGGAGACACACCGACAATGAATGATGTGTCTATGAAAACAGCCCCGGCTCTGAATGCTGCACGTTTCCCATTCATCGTTTCTTTGACTTCTTGATGAACATTCATGCCTGTATGTTTGTGGTGGGTTAGTTTTGGGAGCTGTGCACCTGTCAAAATGACCTGAAGCGGTGATTGAATACCGACAACCCGGTTTGTGGATAGAGAGGCTCGGCTGGGGGACACTGTTAATGTTTATAAAATGAAAAGTTTCTGACACTCTTATGTCAACAACATCCACCAGAAGCCAACTTTAGAGTCACATGGTTGTTGAAATGTAGCAGTTTGTCTCTTAGCACCAATGTCAACAACGTGAATCAACTCAAATGTTTATAGAGTACAGCTCAGACCTGACCATGTTTGAGTCAAGTTTGAGTTTTCTAGAATATTACTGCTGTCTTTTAAACATCCTTATGTGGTCAGGTTTTGTGGCCTGACCTTTGATAACAGACGTACTTTACAGGAGTACAACTACTATATACTGACAAGTCATAATATTATGATTGTCAGAATGATACAATAGAATCCAATACAACAGCTCTCTACCATAAATTCTGCTTTCAGAAAGCTTTCATGATTAGACAGGCTGTTATTGTATATAATACTAAATGATAAGGTTGTAGTGGTATTGAAAGATGTTCCTTATAATCTGTTTCTGACATTAACAAACAGAAGGGGATCAAAATATTGGCAAAATCTCTCAAAAGTATGTACTCCCGCCACAACTTTAGCACCTTTTGTAAAGAACAGTTGTCACCAGTTTTATCATGTCAATAAAAACTTAAAGCTCCTGTGAGGAACTTTTGGTTTTGGCAATTTTGGTACCCCCTGTGGACAAAGAGTTTTTACTTATCTTGTCTGCTACATGCCTGAGTATTGATATATGACAACAAATCTCATCCTGATGACTTTTGACAGTCAGATTGATCATTTATTGTGAATATGATTATTGTACAAACACAGCAAAGCCTGGACCTACCCCTCACACCAGTTTCAGACCAGTGTTGTTTTCGTTGACGAAAATATTTCGTCATCATCAACAAAAACAACACTGCAGAATATATATTTAGCGTTTGACCGACGAAATGCTTCATGAACGTTTTCATCTAGTCTCGTCAACGTAAACGCACATTCGTCTCGTCACATTTTAGTCATCTAAGACTTATGTTTAGCTCATCAACGTCACGTCTTCGTTTTGGAAAAAAAGCGGCATGAAAACAACACTGTTTCAGACAATATACAAATAGGGTTAAATAGGGTTAAAAAAAAAATTCAGTCTAGTCACTTCTAGTCTTGTTTGCTTTTTATTTATCATTAAAAGGCATCAACATTGTCAATTTCATCACACTGGGATAAATAAAGGTTTATCTTAGTTTATCATGAATTTCAATCAATATTTAAGTAAATGTACTTTAAAATAAAAGAAATCCTCATAGGAGCGGTAATATGCTAAAGATTTGTAAAAGAAGAATTCATAGAGTTGTAGTTTTTATTTCTGTTAGATTTTTAAAGGCGTTAACTATGTTATGGCAAACAGTGTATACAAGTCTAGTTAGGTATATTGAAGGAAGGACTTAAGTGTGGTAGGTACATCACGGCTTTCATTCAAACAAGTCTGCTGTACTGTTATTCTGTGTTTCAGAAAGTAAACATGTTTGTTATGGTTCATCTGCTCTAAGAGTGTTATTCTCTCCTGGGGAATGAGCTCAAGAAGAAACCATCAACAGTCACTGAAAGTGGCATTTAACTGTGAATTTTGGGAAAATGACAAACATGCTGTTTTTCCAAAATACAATACACTATTATTGAGATGCAACTTGCAGATGTTGGTGGAGTTAAACTCTAAGATTCGATCAACCCTTCCTGGTCTATAAACAAGTTTTTGACCGACATGCACTAACCGTACACAGCAAACTACACTGTGTTGTCTTAGGTACAGGTACATGTAGAAAGTTAACCCCAGTTTTTGTCTGTGGTTTGATATTTTTGCAGGAGAGCCCTCTTAAGGGTGTTGCTTTGTGTCAAACATGACAAGCTGCGTGTACAATGTGGAATCAGACACAAAGGGGAAGGTCATGCTTGAAAAAAGCTGTTGCAGAATTAGGGTTCCGTGGTTCACTTTGTACGAGTGTCACAGTTTGATTAGGAAGGGGATGATGGGAATGCAAGCAGTCACAATGAGGACCCTGTGACGTCCTACTATATCCGGATAATTACGAGGTAGCTTCAAGGCTCTATAGGATTAAGATGACTTGTAAGGACAGAAGCTAATTTTAGCAGGCATAAAACAGTTTTAGGAACACTGTGTCCCATTAAATACTGCTTATAAGTCGATTGTGTGTGATTGTGTGCTGCTAGTCATCGGAATGATAACAGGTGTGGTACAAAGTATTGTTAGGGAACAGGAAATCTATACAATATTTGGAAAACATCTCAGAAGTTTTTGGTTGTATTTGTTACTTTTAGTCGCACAGATAGACAGTCATGTTATCTCTTGACAAAAAAAAAATGAAAAGACAAGAAAAAATCCAGAGCCATCAGTTTCAGGTTACTAAACAACAGTGTTTCTTTAGGTATTCACACACTTGAGTTATAGTTCTCTCCCAAAGTAGAATCAAGACTTGTCACTCAGACCCTCCTTGGTTTTAGACGTCTGTGTCCCACTATCCTAATTTTTCATCTTTCTTGTCTTGTCCATTCTCTAGAACATGGTCAAAAGTTTCCGGGTCTCAGACCTGCAGACGCTGCTGGCCTCAATGGGTCGCAGCAAAAGTGGTCTGAAACAGGACCTGGTGGGGCGAGCACTGAGGCTAGTGCAGACCGAATACAGCCCAGAGCTCCTAAAGAACGTCAGACAGCTCTATGAGTCGCGCTTCCCAAAAACATCTGGCTGGCTCGCGGCACGGCGCCCAGAGGGCGTCCCAGTCGCCTACTCATCCCTCAACTCCTCTCCCAATGCCACCTCTCAGGGCGCAGACTACCTCAATGGCATTTCCAAACCCATCCCTGCACCTGCAGCAGAGGTCAAGCTTGTACCACTGCCCTTCTACCAAACATTGGAGACGCTGCTGCCACCAACAGAGCTAAGTGAGTGTACACAGTGTGTCTCATCTTTAAACTGTTACAGGAAATATATTTTACCTCAAATCAATCACTGACTCACGTCATTGCTGTCTAATTGATGGATTTTTCTGCTTTTTTAGTTGCCCAGAACAATGAAAAACTGCAGGACAGTCAGTGCATATTTGAGTTAACACCGAACCAAGCGGACCAGATCCGAAATGCAAGGTTAGAAAATCAAAATTCCTCCAAAGATTTCCGGTGTTTTTGTGAATCAAGTTGAATGCAAACATTGTAACGTTTTTTGTTTTTGTGTTACCTTTTAATTTTTTAGTGAGCTTCGTCCTGGAATCAGATCTATCCAAGTGGTTCTAAGGTAAGTTGTTGCCAATTCCTATGAAGAATTCATATTGAGTTCACAGTCCCTCTGCCATACACTGGTTTACTGTACTTTTGACTGGGATGTCACTTAAAAACGTTGCTCAAAAACAAATAAATGTAAAGAAATATCAAGTGAATACCTTTATCGTCCTGCCTCTACAAGTATGTTGACCTGCACATGCTGTTTATCTTGACCTGTTGAATCTCCCAGGGACTCACTAAAATCACTATCTTCGGGTCTGCACTACATTTAAAAGCTTTTAACACTGATATCAGCCTTTCTCATGATGCGAAGTTTTCTCTCATTTTCATCTTTCTCTCTCTCTCGTTTGCAGAATCTGTTACACAGACTCCATTGGTGTCCAGGAGGACCAGTATCCTCCCAACATTGCTGTCAAAGTCAACCAGTCCTACTGTCACGTACCAGTGAGTTTATTAAATTAAGACAAGCGACACCTTCAGAACACTGGCATGGCCGGCTCTTCTCTCTGCTCTCATTCCTGCAGTCATTACTCTAAGCTGTTTGTTTTCCAATGAGGTCAATTAGTCAGGGGTTTGAGTGTCAGTGTCAGACTCACCGCCGCTTCACAGCCAAACTGGTGTCATAATATATAGCAGCGATGGCTTAGCTAACCTTATGCAGGTGGCTGCAAGTAAGGCAGCGTTGTTTAGCCATCCTGGAAACATCAACTCACTAGGATGGGAATTCCTCCAGCTGGCAGCATCTACGAGGCTTAAAGGTTAACGTTGTGTCACACGTTCAAGCGCTAGCATGGAGCTTAACATCCTAGAGGACCATTTCCTGCTAGTGCACGAGGTGTGCCGCCACAATGTCAAAGCCAGATCAAAGAGTGAAAAAGCCGTAATTGGAGAGAAAGTGAGAGTTTTCTAACTTTTGGTTGAGAAAGTCTCTTTTTAAAAAGCTATAATTTAACAACAACCACATTAAGAATCACAAGATACCATGCATAGTATACAGTATATGTGGCCTCCTGATTGCATAATTTGTTTGAGACTCACAAATATATGGTATATTGTAAATTTTTACAAGCGTATTGCAATTGTCTTTTCATTTTCTCATTTGGTGCTTCACAGTTGTAAATATATTAGCACAATAATTAACCTCAACAACCTGATAACTAGCTAATCTTTTAACTGTATTTAAGCCAATAAGAGGAAACCCGATGCCTGTCCTTGTAACAAAGGGATTAATTTATGATTTGATATCGTACTTTCTCCTTTGGTGTTCATGTGTATTTTTTCTTGATGTTTATAGGGCTACTACCCCTCCAATAAGCCTGGTGTTGAACCCCGCCGTCCTTGTCGTCCTGTTAACATCACTCCCTGGTTGCATCTCTCAAATGTCACCAACAGAGTCACTATCACCTGGGGCAACTTTGGCAAGGTCAGAATTCAAAGCTGATTCTGGTTTTCTAGTTAAGTTTAGGGTCTGTGTGGCAAGCGAGGCAGCGCAGACTCATCTTCGACTCTGCATATCTGTCCAGCTCCTCCTGGCAGATGCCACAGTTCACTAACACAAGCAGGGGCATGTCGTTTTTTGAGTCATGGGCCCCACTCAGGTGTGTGTGGCATAGCTCAAAAAGGAAACTCCTAATGGCCAAGAGGTGAACTACTTAAGCTAACCTCTTAAATGATGTCTCCACAATTGTGATCCGGATAAGCAGCTGGAAGCCTGATAAACACCTTTAATCCTGTTAGCAACCTCATCTTTAGATCTCTTGTGTAAACCAAATAGCAATAAGTAACATGCAAGTTTGAAGTAATCACAACGAGTAACATTTCTTTTGAATGCTACACTTATTGTATGTGTGGTGAAGTTTTGAGAAAGCCCCGAGTACAGGGAATCTTGTGTCGGAGATACTTGAAATCTAGGGAAATATATTCTGCATCGCAGCTTTCATTCTGTTATTTTGTTGGATATTTTGTAAACTGGTCTATGCTGTTGAATGTAATGTTCATATAGGAGTATGATTTATGAAAACAGTTGAAACTGAAGTGTAACAGCATCCTTTTATCCACAGTGGGGTCAAAACTCAGCAGTTGTAAACACAGATACATGCCATACTAGAGCACGCCTCACATTTGTCGGTGATAAGAGGCAAACTAAAAGGTTGAGTTTTTTTCTTTATTATAGTGGAACCAAAAAAAAAAAACCGATTGCTTAGCATGCCAAATTGGTTTGACCTTGTGGTTAGCCAACAAGAGAGGGTATAATATTCCATCATCATCATCTCGGATTTTGTGTAGCACAGAGACTGTCAACAAAAAATCAATACGTTTAATGGTGTACAGTCAGGGTTATGGGAATAAAGGTAGAGAAGAAATGACCTACATTTGGTTTCCCTGAAATGTTACTCCTGCAACTGCCTCCTATAATTTAAGAGAAGGATTTTCAGTATGAAGTGTATTTGTTAAACCATCACGGGTCCAGATCAACCCTCTTCTCTTCGTTTTAAACCTTTTTTTTACACCTTTTATTGTGAAAAATTCAAGATTTCACCACCTTTATGAATCATACTTTTTAAAGTGACTTTGATGTTAATATAGTGAGGTTTTTACTCTTCTAAACCAAGTGCTCATTATGTGTAAATGGTCTTTTTCAGCGGTATTCTGTGGCTGTGTATTTGGTTCGGGTGTTCACTGCAGCAGACCTCTTCAGCCAGCTCAAACTCTGCTCTGTCGAGAGCGCAGAGCGCTGTCGTGAGCGCAGTAAGTAGTGCTTTGCAAATGATATATTTTTTGCAAACTAACCCTTTAAATCTAGGACAGTTACTACACTATTTTAGTACTGAAGGACTGTGTGTTTTACTTTTGTAAATCATGATACATATTGTATTGTGTCATGACACTGAATGAGATTGTGTCTGCTGTTCTTAGTTCAAGACAAACTACGTTTTGATCCAGAGAGTGAAATTGCGACCACAGGCCTCCGGGTTTCTCTCATCTGTCCAGTGAGTAAATCTTTATAAGACCTAACATGAACCGAAGCCAAGTTGCATTGATGTTTTCTCCTGATTTGAAGCACGACTTCATTAGCATCCTCCTCTTCCTCTCATTCCCAGCTGGTTAAGATGCGACTCGGTGTGCCATGTCGAGTCCTGACTTGTGCCCACCTTCAGTGTTTCGACGCAGTCTTCTTCCTACAGATGAACGAGAAGAAGCCCACATGGACCTGCCCTGTCTGTGACAAGCCCGCTCCCTTTGAGCTGCTCACTATCGATGGGTAAGGAGACAGGAGCGTGTGCGGACTCGTCCTGCTGCTGTAGCCCCATCGTCCTTTTCATAGCTGAAATGTCTAGACTAGTCTAATACAAGCAGTGCAAATATTTATAACCATAATTTGAAAAGCATAAATTTCACAAATAGTTTGATATGATGATTATCCACTTCGTGTTTCTGCTATCAGGTTGTTTTTTAAATTTTCTGATCCACTAAATCAGCTTGTTTGACACTTTGCTCCACTTGATGTAATACGCCTATAACAGAGATAACCCTGTAATCAGTCGACTCAAGGTTCAGTTTATTTTTTACAGCACTTATTGTCCTAAGTGACTCAAGACACCTACAGTAATTTGATGACACTATGAAGTGCTCTATTTGGCCGTAGGTGCTATAATCAGTCTGCGGTGTTTCCAGTTGGGAAGACTTTGTTTGAAAACAGGTCGTCTGTTCTCAGTGCGAACAACAGATCTGAAAACTTTGGCATTAGTTGAGCACAAACAAGCTTCAAGTTAATTTTTTATAAAAAGAATAAGAGGAAGTCTTTTTCATTTAGAAGTATTTGGGGGGTAGTTTCAGTCATTTACTTTCACAAAGACTGACAGAATTGTGTGTGGGGTTATCACAAAATTTGTGTTCAGATTATGTAAATATTGTCAACATGGTGGCGAAGCAATTTGCTGTGTTTTGAGAGTCAACTCTAACCAGCAGCATGTTTTCCAGGCTGCTATCTGAGATTCTGTCCGAGACGAGTGAAGACATCGAAGAGATTGAGTACTTAACCGACGGCTCGTGGCGACCAATCAGAGACGAGAAGGAGAGGGACAGAGAAAGAGAACGCAGCAACACGCCGGAGTATCCTGTTGTTGATATATGTGAGTGCCAAACCCTGACAGCTTAACCACTTGTTCTTAGTGTGTGTGTGATTTGTCTTTTTCATGCGCTGGAATCCTTTTCGATCAATTTTAAAACGACTTGTATGTCTGCAGGCATTCCTGAAGCAAACGGTCACTCACCCGCCCACAGCAGCACCAGCCTGACGGGCAAATCTGGAAGCGGATCGGTGGGGATGGGAGGAGTTGCAGGTGGACCCGGCGTGGCACCGGGAGGAGGCGCAGTGGTAGATCTGACTCTTGACTCCTCCTCTGAGGAGGAAGGGGGTGGGGCAGGGGGAGACAGTGAGGACACTGAGGACAGCGCTGACAGTCCCGCCCCAAAGAGGGGCCGATACAACTACGACAAGGACCTGGTCACTGCCTACTGACCCCGCGGCTCTGTCCCCTCATAGACTGACACACACACACAGAGACAGAGAGGCAGGGGGCTCAACACTCGAAGACAGGAACCCAGTAACACACTAGATGCAACAATCCTCCCATACGCGCCAAACGTCAGAGCCTTTTAGCAGCTCTGAGTAATTTCCAGACAAAACAAAAACACAAACATGCACTGTTAACGAATCTTCAATCTAGAGCGATTAGGATTCCTCTTCGTACTGTACACCACTGGAAGCAACTCTAGCTCTTTTGGCCAACTGTCACCTTGCCGTGAATACCTGTATCGTCCTGCCTCTACTAGAGAGACATAACGGAGTGAGCACCCCACCATCACAATTACCACTCCCTCTCCCTTCTCTCTCTCTCCAGACTTTCCCTCTCCACCACTGCATCTCTTTGTATTTGACTCAGAACTTCAGGCTCTTTTAGCCGTGGGCGTTAAATGTTTGTGTCGCTGAATTTTTGTCACGTTTGTGATGAACATGCAAGTTAAAAATGGCGGCTCCTCAGTAGTTTCTGGTAAAGGTTAACAACAACTACTAATATAAAAAGAGCAGCAATGTAGAGGGATGACAAGGTAGAGATACCAGGAGTGTAATGCGGATCTAAACTTCTCCCATTGTGATGATGTTTCTTTGTTCAGAAAGTGAATTCAAGCTTGAAAGGGTTTTTCAGGAATTTATCCTTTTAATATTGAAAAAGCAGAACACTATACTGGCCTCAACGTGTGATGCTTTCCATTTTTATTTTGTCCTTAGATAAAGAGAACCTACCTCAGTCATAAAAAATGAGAAGACTGACCAGAGACCAGCTTAGGACAGCAGAGGACAGAAGAATTAAAGAGTCTTTTTGAAGCCAATTTTTACACTGGAGATTTTGTTGTTAATACATTTTATTTGTGCTGGTTTGTGTTATTTTAAATTCCATCCTTCCATTGAGCTTTCTTCCTTCTACAGCATGATTAAAAAGGTTGAACATTGAGTTAGTTTGTGGAAAACAAAGCTGTAGGTATCAGTAATGCGAAAGCCGTGGCTGTAACTCAGCCTCTCTTAGAATTACCGCTGAAATTTGCTGTCCGATGTTTTAAGGGGTTGTATGATCAGAATAACTCATCAAAGTTATAAAATGGCGGAGTGCCAAAGCAGTTTTTAAGAATGAAAGAATATTGTTGGGTTTTTTCTTTCCTTCTTTTTTATTTTTTAGATTTTGGTGCCTTTTTTGTTGGGGAGTAAAGATTGGAGATTGTTGTTTTAAGGCTAGTTTAGCTGGCCAGCAGACCCCAGCCTGAGAGAATAAGTTTCATTTAGTTCAACATTTTCCAAGAAAAAGACAGAAAAAAAGACAAATAACTCAAGTAAGGGGCGGTTACAGGGCAGGATTCAGAATTGCTAATACATTTGTATCCTTTCAAAGACTCCTAATAACTTTATTTCTTCACATTTGCTCAACAGTTTGTTCTCAAAACCTACATAACATTTGACCGAAGCTCTGTACAAGCTGGAGCTGTTAGTTTCTGTTAAGTAGGACACCTCTGCTGCTGTGGTTTGCTTAAGTTACGATTGGTCTGGACTTCTGGCTGTGCTGTTGATGAATTCTTTTTTTCCCTCTCCTGCGGGTGGATCCAACCTCGGTCAGAGCAGTGTTCATAGTACTCTGCTACAGTGGGTTCAACGTGTGTGACAGGAAGAAACTTAATGAAGTGTCAATGAGTGCAACCCCACCTAGCTTAAAGTCATTGATTGGATTACAAATGGTCCTGTCTGGAACAAGTACAGCTGCTCCACCAGCAATCCCCCTCGGCCTCCTTTCGGTGTAGATAAGGTCACGTCTATTTGCTGGAATAGAATTGGGCGTTTATTGCTCCATGCTGTAGACTCACAAATTCATATTCCTCTGCACCTGCACTAGTATTGTCAGTTTGTGATGGCTGCTCCTCAGATAAGGATACTCATGCTGGTAGGTCTTAAGTGTTTTCTTCAAGATGAGACGAGGTGTTCCTGTGTTGCTAGAGCTCTTTGCACTTTCATCTGATTCTTCATCTTGAGTTCATGGCCTATTTATTTTAAAAAGCCCTAGCCGCTGTGATCAGTTCTCCGTAACTATCTCATGCAAGGGAAAATGTGAAACTAGAAAAGAAACCGATGTGTTCTGCATTTGTATGCTTTCCTCTCTTATTGTCCTCCTTGAAGCGGTTTGATCAGCGCAGACTCTGGTTCTTCTTAGACTCAGATGCACAGAGCAGGAACATTTTCACATTGATCCATCCTTGTATGAAGTCAAAGATAGAGTTAAATGTGGTCTTCCATTGTTTCCCTCCTCTTGACACTTTGACACGAGTTACAAAATCAATATACTGATGAAAAATGGCTGATTATTCACACAAATAGATTGATAGCACTTTGGCTGTAATACATCAGAGTCTGTCCCTGAAATGGATCCTGAGTATGAGGTGCTTTCAAGCAAAATAATGTAAAGATCTGCATTTTGTATTTGTAAGTAACAGCTATAGGTATAAAAATGACATTGTTTATTCGTTGATAGGTATAGAAGGTCATTATTTGATATCCAAACTTTTCAACCTTATGGTAAAAGGTGAGAGGATGTGTGGGTTGCTTCTGTGGATCTGAGCCAGAGGAGCGAGCAGGTTGTCTGGGAGCTGGAGAGAGCTGAGGGTCTGGTCTTTTTGTAGTGGCATCTCTTATAACAATGCATAAGGTAGCATGGACAGAGGCTTACAATCCATAATGTAAATGTTTTGTTTGTTGTGTTTTTTTATATGTTCATATTAAAAGACAATAAAATTTAAATAATATTTTATTAAGCCTTGAATCGCCTCCAGTTTTCCTATAGGCAAACAGACAATAAGAAGCTGTTGAGGGCAGCAGCACCTGAAGCTGAAGCCTCAGAGGACTGGGAGGACTGGTTAAAGGTGGAGATGTTATGTCCTGTACCAAATGCTCAGTTCTGGGGACACATTTGATGCCTGTTGAGGATAAAACTGTAAAATTTGAAAATGATCGTATCCTAACAGCTGTTATTGACGTGTGAAGTTAATTAAAATCAGTTCTTAAAAAAAAAAAGTTTTCCGTTGTTTCATTTTGTTAAAAAAAAAAAAGTGTCCGGATGCATATGCACAGATGCTTCACATCTTATTTACAGCATTAATGTCTTCAGCACTTCTAAAAACATCGGGATCATCCTCAGGGGAGGCAAACAAGTCTATCCCATCCATAGAGATTTAGTCTTCTTTGAAATAGAGTCACTTAAAAGTCCTCTTGAGGTCATTGTTACACATAAGTAGTTGCGGATTTGTGCCACTGTTAGTCAGGAGAGTATATAGCTGACAGGAAATGAGGGGAGAGAGATGAGTGGCATGTGACAACAGTTGGTGACCTGACTTAACCCGCTAACCCTTGAGACAATGTTTATTGCGATCAACCTCCATGCGGTTTTTATTTATCTTGTGAGACAGGAAATGTACACCACAATTCTTCGAAAGACCCAATCGTGCATAAAAAGTCAGCTAACCTTTTAAAGAGGTAGCAAATGAAACTAAGAACAGTGTGCTGTAATCCATGTCTATCTGGTTCTGACATATGATGGCTGCACATGCAAATATATTTTTTTAAATATATCAACTTTTTTTCAACATTTCATTTATCCTGAGGACATCTGGCCACAAAAAGATAATTGTCTTGCAATTTTGTCAAGAAGTTACAGTTTTTGCTTTGCTTTTCAATATGTAGATACATTATTTTAATTATTCTGATGGGGCTTATTGAGAAATCAAACATAAATATAATTTCCTGGAAATGTGACTGTAAACATTTTGCTTGTCAAAATATTGATTAAATGGAGCAAAATATCAGAACACCTTTCAATATGACACATTCCACTTCACTATTAATACCACTACATCCTCCACAATTAAATTCAAACACAGTAATCACCTGTTTGACCACGTCAACAAAAACTGAAAATTCAGAAGCATCCTGAAAGTAGAATTTAAGGTAGAGCCGTTGTATTGATTTGCGTCAGATTACCCAGATGTTAAAAATGTTATGCTGTGTCCTTTTTTTAAGAGACAGCACATTAAGTTAATTTGTTTCAAAATTATAAAAATCTTATGAAAGTTTGTTGGACATACAAACATTATTCTATAATTATTTTCCATATAAATGAGCAGATACTGTATTTTACAGTGGCCAAAAACCACCACTGCTGCAAATAAAAAAAGAATGCCAAAAAAAAAAAAAAAGAAGCCACAACGGCAGTTACTGATGCAAAAAAAGAAACAGAAGCTCGCACAAATAAAAAAAAGAAACGGTGCAGATATTAATTAAAAAAAAAGCCACAAAGGCAGTTAACGACGCAAAAAAGGCGCGATGGGGAAAGAAAAAAGTTACTTACCGCAAATAAAAAAAGCCACAACGGAAGTGAGCTGCAGGGACCAATAATGATAATGCACCGGTGTTTTACGATCTTGGCACAGAAAATGACAGCGAGAAGACGAGCAAAGAAGTTAGTGGAAAGGTTACTGTTTGATTTCACTTCGTAAACTTTTCAATGTGTCATTTGGTCAGGCCACGTTGCACCTGAGCCGAGATGAAATTGAACTGAAGCTAACACTATACCAGCATCCTCCAGATCAACTTCATATTGACTCAGGTGTAACATGGCCTTACCGAATGACACATTGAAAAGTTTACGAAGTGAAATTAAACAATAACCTTTCCACTAACTTCTTTGCTCGTCTTCTCGCCGTCATCTTCTGTGCCTAGAGTGTAAAACACCGGTGCATCATCATTATTGGTCCCCGGCAGCTATATTATTTAATAATGATAATAATGATAATAATAATAATAATAATAATAATAATAATAACTCTATAGCACTCTTAAAAACAGAAGTTTACAAAGTGCTTTGACAAACAGTTGCAAAGCTTCAGCACATGGAAATAAAAACAAATAAAAAACAAAAGCTCAGTTAAAAACAAGGCTTGCATCAGTAACTTCCGTTGTGGCTTCTTTTTTTTTGCATTCTTTTTTATTTGCAGCAGTGGCGGTTCTCGGCTGCCATAGTATTTGGTAAAGTAACATTAATATTTTGAACAGTTTAAGTTTAGGCTTTGATTTAAAATGTTTGAGTGACAACTTTATATTTTTGGGAATCATTTATCAATTAATACAGCTGCATTCTTTTTTTTTTAAACAATTTCTTTTCTTGAAAATGTTAAGATTCTTTCCCCCAAAATTATTTCCTGTTTTTCTTATACAGCGTCTGTTCCCTATCGACACCACTAGATGGTAGTCATGTACTTAACTGCTTGATCACTGATTACCATCAAATAAATACAAGATAGCTGCAGTTGTTTAAAAAGAAGCGATTTTGAGCTTGTTTATATCAGTAAATTGAAGTATTTTTCATAAACAGGTGCGGGTGTGTATCCCCTGAGATTTCCGCATATCTCGTCTGAACTTGTCAGACTGCCTCAGTCTCGCGCTATTTATGAAGGGCTATCCCTGTGGGTGTCACATAGATCTGATGCTGCTGCAGCTGCTGCTTCCTGTATTGAAGCACCACCAGCCAGAGCCAAGGCTCTTGTCTTTTCAAAACCTCACACCCTGAACTGAAATACGGAGGTATTTCTTGCTCGGACGCTGCCTTCTTTTGGGGGGAAACTCAGCCCGGCCTGTCTGCAGGTGTATCTGCGGTGAAACGGCCTGCTGTCTCTCCTCAAAGCTGAGGAGCTGCACATTAGCACCGAGAGCCGCTGGGCACGATTTTTCAGGAGCTAGTAGCAGCTAATAGCAGCTAGCTTTTAGTAGCAGCAGGTAGAACAACAAGAGGAAGCAGAAAACCAGAAATGAGTGTACTATAAAAGCTATAAATGCACCGGGTATTAGCCTGACTCAAAGGGATCACCTCGTTATGGTTTGCCGAAATAGCTGACTGACATGCTACCGACAGTATACTAACTTTGCTAACGATAGCTAGCCAAGTTACTAGCCTGTCTATTTAGAGCTACTCCTGTTGCATTTTGACTCATATCCGAGTATAGAAAAGATACCGTTTTGTGGTTTCTTAGCTGACTGCAGGTTGGTATATTATTTCAGTGAGTCGTTTAGGTTAGTTTGTGAAATGCCTGCTAAAAGAAGACCCGTTCCCCTGAACATAAAGCCCATTGGAGAGGGACAGGCCACCTGCAACACCATAGATGCTGCATCTGAGTGAGTAAACCCACTATCAGTGATTGTCAATGTATCTGTGTACCTCTGTTTTTATCTCAATAGTCACTGTTATCTGGAACTTAATGATAATTGCTGTCCTATTGGAGTTTTGCCCAACTAGCCATAACATTATGAACACCTGGGCAATCTAATGCAACCCACAACAACAGCTTTGTTAAGCTACTTTTATAAAGCTTTTGTACTTTTCTGGGTTTTTGAGATGATCTAACAGGATTTTATTTTACTTACTTGTTGAAGTGGGTGTCGGTGTGTAAATATAAGGAACTTTTTTTGAATATAATGCACTCCAGTACACAACCACCAGCTGTTTTAACTCTTACCAGTAAGTATAAAGATCTATAAGTGCCTGTCTGGAAATAAAACTGAAAGTATAATTTTGGTAGAACAGTTGCCTTAGATTGCATTGGATTTTCCAGGTGTTTATAATGTTATGGTTGGTTCACATGTAAAGGTACATCATCATCATTTAAACAGATTTGTTAAGTTTATTGTTCCTTTAACTGTTCGTAAAATCTTGTTCACTCAAGTGTCTTTTCCTTACAGAGCCAACCTTGAGGCCTTACAAAAGAAACTGGGTGAGTTGGACCTGGATGAACAACAGCGGAAACGACTGGAAGCCTTTCTCACCCAGAAAGCTCAAGTCGGAGAGCTGAAGGATGAAGATTTTGACCCCATATGTGAGCTGGGTGCGGGAAACGGAGGAGTGGTCAATAAGGTTCGCCACAAACCATCGAGTTTGGTGATGGCTCGAAAGGTAAGGAGTGACATTTGGAGTGAGTTTTGATATTTGAAAGAAGTTGATACTCAAGTATAAATAAGAGTTTCTTTTCGCAACATTATATTGAAGATGGCTTGAATGGTTTTCACAGCATTTTGTTGTAAATAGTAAAAGATTTGTTTGTGACCTTTGCAAACTCACCTGCAATCACTAACATCAAACAAATGTATGGTTAAACTTGACACTGTAAAAGCATTTTCAACCTGGCAGATTCAGTAGATAACTTAGTCTCATATCTTTAACCAAGTGTAAGTTTAAGTTCAGTTATCTCATCTTACTGTTTTTTTTTAATAAAAAAAAGATATTTGCTTATGTTTGTCAACACTATTTTCTAAAATAAACATTCCTTGTGAGTGTTATATTCTAGCAGCAAATATCTAAGTCTACTTGTCCCATTAGTTTTATTAAGAATAAGGTGATTCACAAATATGCAGGGTCCAAGACTGTACAAAAGTAGGCTGGGAGTGGGTAGATAGGACGCAGCTCGGTATACGCATTCCACCGTCAAACACTTGGTTTTTGGGTTTTTCTTCAAGGTTGTACAGGCCGTCATATAAACCTGCTTTGTGTCAGTGATTGGAAAGACTTACACTTGATGAAATCGAAAACAATATATATGAAAATGTTTGACCAAGACTTAGAAATGTGAAATCAAGAAAAGATAACAGTTTATAGTTTCATACTTTTCTCTCCTCAGTTGATTCATCTGGAAATCAAGCCTGCCATCAGAAACCAGATTATCAGAGAGCTGCAGGTGCTGCATGAATGCAATTCCCCTTACATTGTGGGTTTCTATGGGGCCTTTTACAGCGACGGAGAGATCAGCATCTGTATGGAGCACATGGTGAGACACAAAGGCTGTTAGCAGACCCTCCTAGCAATGATTGATGTTGTTGAATACCTGCATGTACCCTTTGTGAATGACAGGAAGGTCAATAGTTGTTCCTGAAGTGCTTCTCACAGGTTTTACTATTAAACTCGTCTCAACAGGATGGCGGCTCCTTAGACCAGGTCCTTAAGGAAGCCAGAAGAATTCCAGAAGAAATTTTGGGAAAAGTTAGCATAGCTGTAAGTAGTTTTTTATTTTCCTTTTTTTTATATTTGCAGTTATTTTTAAGTGATTTTACAGATTGATCTAAAAAAGATCATCAGATACATGTTACAGCTTTCTACTGTGTAAAAAGAAAGCATTAAGAATGACTTAACGTATTCACAATGTCCACTTCATCAACAAACATGAGGGAAGCCGAATATCAGCTGTAATCTGTCATTATAATGCACTCCGGTCTACCAGCAACACCCACTACAACTTCAATTTAAATGATAGTTATCACCTGTCTGACCATGCCAGCAAAAATCCAGAAGAAGGAGTTTCTTAAAGGTAGAAGTTATGGTAGAGCTGTTGTATTGGGTTGACTTAGATTGCCCTTGTGTTCATAATGTCATGGTCGTTGTACACGTGTTCGTAGCGTGTGGGTGTCTGAACTCACTTTTTTTGTTCAGTCATGTGTGAGTCACAACAGAGCCTACTCTATTTCACTCAACATACACAGTTACAAAGTCCAAACAAGCCATGGTGGCGCTGTGAAAGTCATTATTTCAGTTTTGTTATGTACATAATAAAATAATATTTTTTTGAAAGAGTATGGTCTTATTTTTAGGCTAAGAAGACAGACTTCTGACCTTGATTTGGCTTTATTTTTGTGTAAATTCTGTAAAATATCTCCTCTTTCCAACAGGTACTGAGAGGATTAGCCTACCTGAGAGAGAAACACCAGATCATGCACAGAGGTAAGAATGGTCTCAAGTCACAAAAAGTTTCATTGCCCTCAAAATCCGTTTTGCAACATATTAAAAGAGCCATTTTTAAGAGTTTCAGAATATTGAATGATGAAATATAAAGTTCCCCTTTCAACTTGAGCCTTTTGGCTTCACATATCTCATGACCTAGATCACTAAAAAACTCAATTGCTACGAATATATTTCATGGCGTAGTGGTTGATAATAACTCAGTGTTTTCTTTTAAATCTATTTTCTAAATCTTTCATTTTGTTCAATTAATTTTTCAGCGATGTATTTACAGTCGGGACTGTTAATCAGTCCTATTGTGTTTAGACTAAAGCATAAGAGTGTTTAAGTGCTAATGCTAACACTTGACAGAGCATGTGATGCTTTGGACACAATAAAGATCGTTCTGAATGTTTTGGTTGCTGCTCAAGATCAGTGGTAAATCAATCCAGCGCAGTAAAATACTGTGCTTTACAATGATGCACAATGTTTTATGAAAATTTTTTGCGCTTTATGCAGTGAGTCACATCCCTTCTGTAATAGCAGTTGTATTTTTGCCAGGAAAATTAGACCGTGCAAATCTGGGAGTCTTAATATCACATATATAAAATGCAGGATTGTCTTCTTATTCGCTGCTGACACTATGGTTTGTACTCTGAATCAGACTTTGACATGCTAGCAAGAAACTTTAGGGACAATTGATTTTTCTGTCAATGTTTTCACAAGAAATGTATTGTCTTTGGTGCTTTTTTTTTTTTTACTCTATATACACTGCATCAACATCTTAAGAGCTTTAGCAAGCTCTCCACAAGGCAAGCTATTATTTGGAAATATCACGAGCTCCTGATGAAAGAAATTTGTTGCATGAAGCAAAAAAAAAAAAAAAGCTTGGTTAAAACCATTATCTTGCATTCAAGCAAAATCACAAGTCACACCATGGCAGAGTCTGATACAGACACGTTTTCTCCAGCATACTAACAAGGGCTTTTGGGTGAGTTGGTACACAGTAATACTGAAGACAGCAGTCAGACCCGCACAGTGCAGTGAATTCCACAGTGGTACAGGGTCGGTGGTACTTCAGGACAGTCGTCTGAGAGCCCTGGCAGTAATTACAGCCTCTCAAGATGTGATTATACAGCAGCCGCGCCTTGTTGACCCCTCCCTCTGTGTCTTCCTCCATCTTTCTCCTGCTCCTCTATGCTACCTCTTTCCCAGTCACTCCTCACATGTCCTTGGTCAGTGGGAGGGGGTCACACACCACAAAGAACAGATTGCAGGTCTCATTTTTACCCCATGATTTTGCAGGATGTGTTTCAGGGATGAGTGGGAAATGTGGAGGACCTGGTTTGTATATAACAGGGGTCTGCTTGAGTTGTAGTTATTTTCTCCAATGCTTGATTGATGCAGCACCGCAGACATGGCTGGGAGGGTTTTACTCGTGCATGCCGTTGTGGGTCTCAAAGCTGTCTTTCAGTTGAACTTTTTCAAAGTCAAGTTATCTTGCAGAAAAGTATCTTCCAAAGATGCACCTGAACAAACTCAGATACAGGCCAAAGACATGAAAAAAAAAGAGTTTTTTAGACAGTTTTTGAATATAATGCTGACATATTTACAGCTCTCTTTTTTTAACACTGAGGTAAAAGGTTAAAGTAATCATTTTTTATTTTAGTATTATTGTTCCTGAAATTTTAGAGCTTTCATTTCTTATATATTCTTATTTACTTACATTATCCTTTCATTTTATTGAATTAATATATATGTTTTATAAGTATCAGAAGATTTAGGTCATTAAACCAACAAGCTTTTATAAATCCAGAGTCTACATTTGCTTTCAAAACTTGCTCATAGAGGTGTCTCACATAAGAAAAACACTAGCCGCTAACACACAACACTGGATCAGAGATCCGCCGAATAGTCCAGAAATGGCGTAATATTTGTATCCCAGTGTTTGATTACACATCACATTATGTTGTCGTAGAAGTGTGAGTGGCATGGTTTGTAAACACACTGACAGAACCCCATATACACACTCAGACACGCACATATGTCCCGCTCGGTTCAGCGCTACAGTGTCCATCACCATCTTTCCGCCATCCCAGTTCTGTTATGTACATTCATGCTCTTAAATGTAGCCTGACGAACGCTGGACAAGCCTTCATATAACTGAATGATTCAACACACCATTCTAGTGGTGTTCTTCCTTGCTATTTGTTTGGGCATGATTCCCTGCGTGAAGTTCCCTTTTACTGTGTGGTGACTACAAAGTTGAATTGTAAACAATCTAGTACTGATGTGAAAAAATTCAGCATGAAGACAAATACTAAAACATGGAGTAATTTTGTTTGTTTTGAACCTCCTGCCACATAGATGTCAAACCCTCCAACATCCTGGTCAACTCTCGTGGGGAGATCAAGCTGTGCGACTTCGGTGTGAGCGGCCAGCTCATAGATTCCATGGCCAACTCCTTTGTTGGAACGCGCTCCTACATGTCGGTGAGTCAGCTCTGCACGCCTGCGCCCCCACCCCTTTTCCTCTGGCCCTATCCCCACTTTCCTTCTCCTCTTTTCTCACATTGCTCTTGTTCACTGGTCCCGCCCTCCGCCTTCTCTTCTTCTGGCCCACCCTCTCTCCCCTGCCAAGAAGCGAGGGCTGTGCCCAGGAAAGGGCTCTTTGGCACAGAGTGAGGCAACTGTGCTCTTTCTCGTCCTTCTTTCCCCTCGCTCTTAGACACCTGGTGGGTGAAATGCTGAAAACTGCTCATCTGTCCCCCTCTGCTCACCCTAAAAGCACCCCTGGTGTAGAGACTCTTGTCTTTTCATCTAAACTCAGACTCATACCTGTACTTGCTTGTCCTTATATGTAAAACAGTTAAAAGCTACTATTCACGTCTTGCCAAACCCTCCCATCCTCTGTCCTCTTGCTCTCGCCACACCCCTCCTCTTCTTGCCATAACACCCCCCACACCCCCATTCTCCCCTCCACCACTTCCTGTACCTTCTCCACCCAGTCCTGAGCCCAGCCCTCTCTCCTGCCTGCCATCTTGGCTCTACCAGCTCCCTCTGACGTAGATTGTGTGTTTCTCAACAGCCGGAGAGACTGCAGGGCACTCACTACTCAGTTCAGTCTGACGTATGGAGCATGGGTCTGTCCCTGGTGGAGCTGGCAATTGGCCGCTACCCCATCCCCCCACCTGATACCAAAGAGTTGGAGGGCATCTTTGGACGGGCCGTCATGGACGGGTCCGAGGGAGAGGCTCACACCAACATGCCTCGGTCCAGACCACCAGGCAGGCCCGTGAGCGGTAGGAGAAGCTCTGACGTTGTCAAAAAAGAATGATGTCGATTTTTACAAGCATAACATGACAACACATAGTTACCTCAGTGTAGGTGATAGCGGCCACTGGAGACGCAATGTTTTTAGACTTGTCCTTAGTTGTCCATACATTTGTGCACAAACACATGCGAAGTCTGCAGGATTTAACCCCAATGATAACAGATGGATAGCAAAATATGGAGAATGGATCTAAAATGACAACAAGCTACCTCCAGTGTCGACATAATCAGCTGATCTTCATCTGTCTTGAATGTAAGGTATCAGAAGAATTTTGCGCTTGAACGTCAATTCGGGCTCAAGAATGAACCATTTAACATGTACGAAAATAGGAAGAATGCATGAGGCCGCTGATGCAAAGTCATCTGTGATAGCTGATCTTTGACTTTTATGAGCACCAGCTTAACGCCACAAGAAATAAGGTTAGTGTTTGGGTTCTCTAACTGAGACACTAACGAGCTTTCAGGAGAGCAAGCCAGTCAAAACCGGTTTCATTGAAACAAGTTTCGTGACAAATGTAAATTTGTGCCAAGAGTTATTATATTCTATACAACAGCTTCACCTCTATGAAAACCATGATGTAGATGAAGAAACCGTAAAGAATAGCAAAGGAGACATTTGTAAACATCAACAGACCTTCTATGACACATGTGCGGGAAAGAGGAGTTTGCAGACTTTAACCACAATGATAACAGATAAATAGTAGTATATGAAGAACAATTCCAAAATAACAACATGCTTTTACAAGTGCCAACGTGATGAGCTGGACCTCATTCCTCTGAAATATAATAATGTGTTTGTGAAGACGCCACGTTTTCTATCTGGAAATATGTGATTTTATTGATTGATTTTATTAGTTTGCCTGAAATCTTACATGTCAGTAGAATCACAACTTCAGAAATGCACCTTGTATCTTTTTTATGTTTTTTTTCTTCACTAACTACTTATATAATTATTGATATATCAAATAATAAAACTGTATCTGTTTTTTTCCCCTTGAAATGTAGTTATCTTAATCATGGCAATGTTATGTTTCTTCTCTACAGGACATGGGATGGACAGTAGACCTGCCATGGCCATCTTTGAGCTGTTGGACTACATTGTGAATGAGGTCTGAGGGACATATTCCCTTTCCCACATTTCTGTCTTTTTTTTCATGCAAGCACACTGTGTATGTTTATATTAGTTCTGTTTTAAGCTTTTTTCCCCCCTCCTCCACAGCCTCCCCCTAAACTACCGCACGGAGTCTTCACCAATGACTTCCAGGACTTTGTGACAAAATGGTGAGCACTGGTGAAGACTTAAATATGGAATAACTAGGAGCATAAACTACTACACTTACTGCTTTGTGTATTTTATGTCATGTGACATGAAGACAGCGGTTTTTATGTAAATGGAAGAAGTAGTTGTAGGACCAAGATATTCACAGGAACTAGTCAAGTGAGGTCTTAGCTTGTTTGAAAAGGAATAATTAGGCTTAAGCTCTTTAAGATTGAAGGGGTATTTTGGTTCATAACGTTTTGATGTCATTTATGTCCACAGTTTGATCAAAAATCCAGCTGAGAGAGCAGATCTGAAGATGTTGATGGTTGGTAGCAGAACTTCACTTCAATGATCTCATAGTTTTATAACTGCTTTATTGGTTATTTTTGTGCATTAAGCGTGCAGTAGCAAAATTTTTTCCCTCTTGGGTTTTTTCCTTTCAGAGTCACACGTTCATCAAAAGATCTGAAGTGGAGGAAGTGGACTTTGCCGGGTGGTTGTGCAAAACCATGGGCCTCAACCAACCAAGCACTCCCACCCGCGGCACTGAGTGATCAGGCTCCCACTGCCCTGACACACCTCTGGGTCTTGCTTGCATACACATAAATATACTGTTCACACACATACACAAGCCATTACAAACATACACATTGGCACTTTTTTCATCTTGCTCCTGAGTAAAATGTTTTTCTGCCCCCCCTCCGCCCCTCATTTATTTCTCCACCAGCAGCAGGGCCCGTTGAGTCACTGTACTGTAAGACCACAACTTCACAATGCCAGTGAAGAGAGTAGCCACAGCTCACTTTTCCACACTGCTACAGAGGATGTAAAGCACTGAAGGGCTGCTAGTGTGCCAGCAGAAATGCATTGATCGAAAAAAACTTATTTTGTATTGTTGAATATTCTGTATTAATCTTTTCTATGGAAACCTAATGGCTTGTGGGACTGTATTTTAATAAATGACCTGCTGTAGTGATTTCCAAACAGAGAATTCCCGTCATATTATCTACTTGCAAATTCTCAATCATCTGTACTAAGGGCCATGCAGCTATTTTGATTTAAAATCCCTTATTCATGTTAAAATGTTCCCCGCAGTTACCTCCACAATCAAATAACGTGAGTAGAGAGAGAGAGGCAAATGGGCGTATTAGAGGTTGATGCTAGGTGAGGTCACTTTAAAGATCAATTTGTGGAAATGTCACAAACCAAAGAGGGTACCCATGACTACTAAAGTTCCTCAATGCCTGATCAGTTTTTGTATGCACATTTATGAACAGTATATCAATGTACTTTGAATGTTTTATTTTTTCATTCAGTGAATCTACGCTCTGAATGTGTTGACATTGTTTCCTCAGCATACATTTCAATTAACATCCCACACTGTGTCTCACACATCAGAGGAGGCATATGCTGTGGAGGCCTGATATATGCCAGAATGTCTTTGTTGACATTGAGTAAACAATGCTCAAAATGTATTCATGGGATGATATAGCATGGTCTAATATCTTGTTATACTGTATGTGTGTTTTATTTCCCGAGATCATGATGGGGATAATTAGCTGGTGTTTTTATCAAAAGCCTGAATCTCTGCAATGTCAATATGAAATTTCAATCACGTTGACTAATTTTACTTTTTTTTTTTTTTTCTTCCTTGGTGTTGGTCTGTAGTTTTTCCCCAGTATTTTTGGTTACGTTTTCACTGTACTGCTACATGTGGCGGTCCAAGCTTTCTCTTGGGACACAGCCAGCCTAGAGGCGTGCTTTTGGAAAAGACCGGGGTTAAAAAAAAAACAATTTGACAGCCTTTTCTCTTGATTTCAACGACTGTGGCTCAGAAGTTTGATGTTGTAGAAAGGGTTCGACAGACATTTTAACCTTGGTCCATGTTGGTCACATGATTGGTGGTGTTACTCGCTAGCCTGCCTTCTTGCTAGAGCTCTTGTATTCTCTCCGCTTGTGGCTGTCCTTTCCTATTCCTTCAGACAATGTGCATTCTTACAGAGCAAAATGAATGCATTTTCACTTGTATGTGTACAAAGCTATATACAAAAAAAAAAAATACAGGATAACTATTTTGCAGTCTTAATATACAAATTTTTGATTTATGTAAATGACAAGGGAGAAGAGTCATTTTATTATAATATAAAAAAAAATGTGTTGGATATGGTTATAATGTATAAAAAGAATAAAATAAAACTTATTTGTGAATGTACCGCACACCATTATTCATTTATGCCTGTCTTTCAAACCCATTTTGTGATGTACATTCATCTGTCTTGGGTGTCATGCAGTACATATTTACCAGTTACTATCTTGTAGCATTATTCATACGCAAAGTAAGCAGAATTATATTTTTCAGAATATGCATCATTAGTGGTTTTTATTCATGTTTTTGCTACATTTTGAAGTTGAAATTGACTGTTTTTGCAGCTATTACAACAGCTAAATTAATATTTGCTGTGATATTGTTGTATTTTTGTAGATATTTTAATAAGTAGACCTGTTTTTAACCATGAGAGCGACTTTTAATTGGTCAATTAAGCTTTCAATACCTTTTGAGGTGGGGCCTCGTTTCTGATAGGCTAATGTGGAGGAAAGCTCCCGGTAACCATGGCAACCATAACCGCCCTGAAACTGAATGCAAATTTGGGCAAACCGCCCGCGAAGTCGTTTTAGATATATTGCAGGTGACAAAGCTCCCCCAAACTTAAAATTTCTCCATTTTCTAATAACTACTCGTTAAAATGCTGTTGTAAGTACATCTTTTTGAAACTTGTGATTATTTTTTGAAATACTTCCTTGTGTGAATAAGCAAACGTTATTTAGGTATGCTAATTTGTACATTATATCATTGCAGCAAACAGGCTTAATGGAGGAGGCGTCCAAACGGTAGGAAAGAGGTAAAGATAAAAAGCAAGACGGTGTTTTTAAAGGTAAGTGTTTGCTAATGTAACCTGTTTTCCATACTCCACAACTGTAGCAGTATTCATGCATTAGCATATAGTTAATTTTAGCTGCTGTCTTAGTTTGTTGCGCGGTCTGTATTCTCTGAACTTCTTTTTTTCTTGGCTTAATCAAAACCATAATTGAGACAGGGATGACAAACGCAGATTTGATGTGGGGTGTCTAAACTTGGAGAGGTTTGGTTTATACTGGACTGAAAGACGACAGTGCCTAAAAAATGTCTGACATCATCTCAGACTTTCTTGTGCTTGGGGGCGACTGACTGACTGTGTGTAATTAGGGCAAAACTGAACAGAGGGTAACCTGAGTAAATGTCATGTGTAAAAGTTTATTCTACTCTTTTCATTTCACACTGGCTGTAACACATCCACCTGTCCTCTCTTCACTTAGCTTTGCAAATTATAGCTAATGGTAACACCAGAGATCCAAGTGCTGCAATTCATATAGGTTTGTGAAGTTTGAAAGCTGTGTTTATGTTGAGACAACGCTAAACAGTGCCCTCTAGGCACAGGGTGTGTCACTACCCCCTCTTCCAAATGGCCCCTTATATCCCCTGCGTGGTTATCTGTGCGTTACCAACCCAGAATCAATCCCTGGCTGCTGCACCGTGGAACCCAACTCCTGAAAGACTGAAAGCTATGTTTACAGGCAGCATTGTTGTGAAAAATACATCCTGTCAAGGGTGTGCAAGACTTAAGGCGGCTTTAAGAGGTGTGTTGGGATGTTTTGTGGTGCAACAGTTTCACAGAATACATCTTGTGCTTCATCCCACACCATGGCACAATGGCTGGCTTGCCCTCACTGAGGGGGTGTACTGGTGGGTGGTTGGAAGTGGCGCAACATCAAGTGCAGCAGCAGTAAGTTTACACCCGGGAACTTGCCTTTCCCCACAGAGTATAAGACACTTTTTGACTTCGTAACGTGTTCTTTGATGCCTCACCTGTTTGAGCTTGGCAGGTATTGTGTACTGATATCAGGCAGAGCCAGAAAGTGTATCAAGGGGGTTGCTGGCAGCCCCTTCTGTATGTGCTGGAATGTGCCAAGGCTTGCTTTTGGGGTGGGACACCATGACCTAAGGCAATAGGATGGGTGGGTGTGACTTGACTTACGCAGAAAGGGAAAGCAGTATTAAGAGATGAGGTGGGTGAGAATTGTTACCTTTGAGGGAGTCACAACTCATTTATCCTTGAACCAAATAACTGAGTGACGATACACTGACTGATGGTCACAGTTAGACCACAGAGTGGGAGGGCATGGGTTAATGATTTGTGTCATATCTGATTGAGTTTGTGACTTTGCTAACTCTCTACTTTTGAGCGCAACTAAATTTCTACTTTTCTTTCGCTTTGCAGGGAGAGGTGTGAGAAGAGGCAGAGGGGGAATGCTGTTTCTTTAAGAGAGAGGGAGAGAGAGAGTGTGAGAGAGAGAGAGAGAAAGGGAGGGACCTCTTTGCCCTCCAGAAACCAGGAAGGGAATTGAGTTGATCTGCTGCTGCTTGGTTAGCGCATACGGGGCTTTAAGCTGCACAACAGTGAGAGGGAGAGGAGGAGAGGAGAGGGCTGAGCTAACCCACAACAAGCTTCACCACGGCCATCGCAGGTGAGCTAAAGGCGCCCTGCCATCCCCCCGCTGTATGCCCTGGGCCTGTCGACCAGAGGGGAGCAGGGCAGAGGAGGAGAGGAGAGGGAGGAATGAGGGAGGGGGGCAGAAAGGAGAGCAGGGTGGGGGGGGGGAGGTTGGCCGGAGAGGAGAGGTGGGTCGCAGCAGCAGTCCCTTGTCAAGGTTCCTCTTTTTTAAAATCCTTACAAAGTACTTCCTCTGTGCTGCTATTTACCTCTGGGGAATCTTGAGATAAAGTTTATAGGATGTGTTCAAGGCATTAACTTTTCAGGCAGGTGGAAGCACTTAGAGAAGGAGGAGGAGGAGGAGGAGGAGAGGAGGGAGGGGGGTTCTCGAGAGAAGGTGGGGGGTACTGAACGAGAGGAAGGAGGAACCAAAAATAATTTTACTGGGCAAGGTATGATGGAAACAACTTTGCAGGACACTGGCGAATGAAATGCTCATCACGGGGCAAGTTGTGTGCTGTGTGCGCAGGGCATGCTGTAGTGGTTTTACACCCTTAGAAATAGTCATAATTTAGGTCAGGAGTTATAAGTATGTCAAAAATGTCACAGGAGTGTGAGCTGATGAAGGAATTCATGTCTGATTTGTCTGGTTCTGCTCTGACAGTTGTGAGTGAATGTTATTTCACATACAGAGCTCTATCCTGTTTGATGGCTGGTCTGTACTTTAATACCTGGCAGCCTGCTAGCAACATACTGTAGTGTATAATTCAGCCCTGAGTGCTTACGTTAGAGCAGGCTTGGAGATAGTGGGGGTGGTGAGGGCAGAGATTCCTGGGACTGGTAGTCCACAGCAGGGGCTATTAGGCAGGTTGAATGGGGTTTCAGAACTCTATATCCCACATTGCCTTGCCCTTGGCCATCCAGGAAAGGGAACAGCCGCCAGCCTATCCCAACAAGGAGGCGTGGTGAGTGAGCAGCTGTCAAGCCAATGAGAGCATGGGATGCGGAGCTGAGTTGTGGGCTGAAAACAGAGGGGGGGTTGGTTGGGGGTGGTTGTGGTGGTTTGGGAGGGGGGGTAGGTGTCTGTTTGTGTGGGATCAGGCAAGGGCTTGCCTGTATGCAAGGGCCACTCGCAAGTTTCCTGTCTGGTAGAGCTCTAGCCCTGCCCAGAGACGGGGCAGCAGAGCTGGCCGGCAGGCAGGGGAGGCAGATAGAGCCCGGGAAACATTTTCTGCCTATTTGGTAAGCACTCCAAAGACATTCATACACACACACACGCGCGCACACACACTCTCACACTGTGTCTTTATACAGTGACTGAGAAGAGAACAGCGCCAAGCAGAGGAAATAAATACCGTGGCGTGTTGTGTGTGAAGGAGTGTGAGAGAGATGGAGCTTGATAGAGTTCAGAGTTCTTGACCCAATTGCAAATAAAGGAGGGAACAGCAAATAGGTCAGTACTGAGTGTAAGGTGCTGCTCAGAACTTTTCACGGGCAACTACCAAACTTTCTTTTTTTGACTTTCAGCATGCAAGCTCAGTGTGCATCAGTTTCTCATCTTAATACAGCACACTATTCTTTTAATGTTTGTCTCTGCTACGATGATTAAATGGCACAGCTGCTATTATTAGTCGAGTGAAAAGATGAAGACGCTGCACATCCCTTTTCTTCTGCTTTTTTATAGTGCAAAAGTAATTACATCAAAACAAGTGCATCTAATTTTTGCTCAAGTGTCAGAGTAAGCGGGTCAAGAGTTGACCCGGTGGTTTAGCCAGGTTGGCGACTCAGGAAACCTCAGTCAGTGACATCTTTTGTCGCTAACCGGCAAAATATGTGACACAACTGGTGACAACTGGATTTCACTTTAAGGGTAAGCTGCCTCAGCAGAGCCCATGCAGCACTAAAGTCAAATTTAAGCCCTTTGCCTGGGAGCTTGTGTATGTTCTGATTGATTTCAGTTTATCTCAGCCACTTAAACCGTGGTCAATCTCATGACATCTTTCTCTCCCCAACCCCCCTGCCTTCTTGCCCAGCATCTTGTTAAAAGCAGATTCTAATCTTGCCCGTCATGTCTTACTCGCTTGTGGCTGGTGGTTTAAAGACTTCACAGGAACCCTGACTGCCTTGCTCGATAACCAGATGCATGTTTTTGGCTTTGCATACTTGTTGAACCCGTTTTTTAAACGTGTGGGCACGAGAGGGTACAAGAAAAGCAGAGTTTATGAAGACGCCCAACTGCTGGGAAAGTGGTTGTTCGAAGCATTCCTAGCATGCTGTTTTTATGTAGTTTAATGTCAGAAAGAAAAATATTAGTTTTTACAGTTAATAATTTCTGGAAAATATTACCCTGATGCTGCCCTCTGTTCCACTCACTAGTTGCCACTACTAAGACAGTATAATTAGTTCAAGTTAAATCCAGCAAGAGGTTAAACTAGGACGCCATATGTGTTTGTGTGCACGCATGCATGCATGCGTGTGCGTCTGTGTTACCAACAATAGACTTCAGGGGAATTGCAGGGGACTTCAGTGACTGTGGGCAGGTCCAAGACACCACCCATCAATTTGGCGGTGAGGCTGAATACAGTTTGATATTCCTGTATGTTTGTGCCTACACCACTATGGCTCAAAACTAGCAGGTTCAGACAGCCGGAGAAGACAGGTTGCGTGATGTCGCCGTGGCAGTTTGAGGCTTTATTTTAGAATGAAATGTTGGCTTTATAAAGTTCTCTACATGTTACCGACATTATGTCTGTTTTAAGTTATTTTAAGGTGGTTCAATGGCATATTTTGGCACTTTCATTTATTGTGGTTTATTGTACCGAGTAGCATCATTTTGAGCTGCTGTTTAATGTTTTCATCTTTGTTTCTGTGAGTACTTTCATCAGCCTCCTCCTCCTCCTCCTCTGTGCATGAAACTTCACTTACCCCCTAATGTTTGATTCCCCTGGTCAGCTGCTCAGTATAGCACAGCTTCCAGCCTGGCTAGGCAGACAGACAGACCCCTCTCTGTTGTTTTTCTGTTGTTGTGCTGGAGTCTAGGGGGAGTAAAGGGGCTTCTTCTGTTCTCCGCTGGGACATTTATTATGGAGAGGCCAACACAACCTGATCAAATTAGAGCTGAAGAGGAGGAGGCTGGGATGTTAGTCAGGGTGGGGGCAAAGCTCGACTTGAATTCTTACAGGTTTTAGATAAATTGGTGCCAATTTGGTATTTTTAATCAAGGGTTGTTGTTATTTTTACATATACAGCCTGTGCAGATTAGATGTTTTTGTTTTTTTTAATATCAAACCTTGAAAGTACCAGAACCTTGTTTTAATTAATCATAAAGCCGACAGGAAAAGTATGTCTGACTTATCTGACAGTTTGTATTTAATGAATAAGAAGAATGGGTGGGTTGCATTAAAAGGCTGTAGGTGGGTGGGTCTGTGCTGCTTTGCCTTCTCAGCAATGGAAAGGGGAAGTGGGTGATGTGGTGGGTTCTGTGCAGAGACAGAGATGGAGCAATGATGAGATGAGAGAGACAGATGGGGGGGGGGGGTCAGACAGTAGAGACAGGGAGAGCAAGCAGAGAGAGAGCTGGTCATCTGATAACAGAGCGGGTTCTGTTACATGCCTGCCACAGAGTCACAGGAAGTCCTCTTTCCCTGTTGGGCTGCGCATGCACAAAGCCGTCCAGCCAGAGCACGCTGGACTGCAGACTGACCAACTCGCCAGTCTTGGGTTCCGCCGGACAATGAAATGTGGGACTGAGTGCTGTTTTGAAGCCATGTGTCCGATTTGGTTGTACTTCCTTGTTGGCAGCATGGCAGCATCAGAGCATGTTGTTCAGTCTGAAGTCAACTCAGACTGTGGATGTGGTTTGATTACACCACCGCTTGTGTAAGGCTGCTGTCCCAGTTGACGTACCGTGTGTTTCTGACACAAATGGCATCATTAGGAAATATTCTGCAGAAGACAATATTTAAAAGGCATGATATTCAAGTGTTATAGTTTGGAGTTTTCAGGGTTCATATGTAAACTAAAAATATTTTATGATTCAATGAACTTCTTTCATAATGTTCCTGCACTTTAGTGTTTCTGTGTATGGACTGATCACAAAACTTGAAGAACACCATCAAATTTGCATAAAACACAACATTATCTGCTGCATTCTTATAGACACACTTTTTATATGTTGAACTGCAGTTAATGTTGCTTACAGAAAGAAGAAAGAAAACAGTACAGAGACAAGTTAAGAACAGGGAAGCATTATTCAAGTTGTGCGCAGCAGCTACTGTTATCACTTCTTTGGATCCCTTTCTGTCTGTCAGCATAAAACGTAGACACCATAAAACCCCCTCCCAGCTTCCTCACATTAAACTTTACCCTTCTTGTGGGTGGTTACCTTTCCTCTTATTAAAGCAGGTTATACCAGGTAACTGAATGAGATCTGAGTTTATCATTGACATCTGAGCTGGATTCCTAGGCCACCATACGCTTAGGAGTTATGTTATGAGTGATCTTGTGGGTTTGACGCCCTGCCTCGCCCACTGCCCCCTCACTTGCCCAGTGTCTGGGTTTTGGCAGCACTTCCTCAGTTAGTTTCTACCAGTGAAAGCTGCAAGGGCTAGATCAGCCTTCACAAGTTAAAGTTTTATCAGTCACTGTGCCTCTTCCTGCTTCGCTCTGAGTATGACCAATCAGGTTTCCTTCCACCACTGGCAGCAGTGAGTCAGTTTTGGCTGCTGTGGCACTTGCTCAAAATCCACTTTTCCTAGGAACTGCAACCCCCTCCCCATTCTAATTATATTGCATTACCCTGGTCCGACCTTGAACTCTCTTGACCTACGGGAAGCTATTTCCTCACAGCAAGCCAGGTTACGCTGGGTGATATTTAGTGTAATGCTCAAACAGGTAGGAAGAGGAATGACAAACAAAGGGTCAGGGATGCATTCACAAGAGCAAAAGTCAACCAAATTCAGCATCTTGTTGCATAAAACCTAAATCCCTTCTTCACAGGTTTCAATCCTGGCTTTGCTGCTGTGTTTCAGTTGCACTCTAATCTCACCACAGAGCTGGTTGCAGTCTGAATATCCGAATTATTCTAATAAATAAGCTTCTGAATGCAAAAAGTCTTTGGCATTGTAAAATTGTTACTCCTTTTAAAGAATCGCTCTCATGTAAAAGCAATGCACCAATAACACTTCAGAAGGTGTTCATTATAAAATTAATAACGGCTTTTTATTCAGTACTAAAAGGTGGCCCATCTGTACTCCATTAACATTTATGATCCAAGGGATCAATGATTCAGTTATGTTTGCTCTTACTGCTTCCTCTTAAAGGTGGGTTGCTCAGTATTTTCATGAGCTAATCACTTCCTGCAGTGTGCCAGAGTCGAAAAAACTAGTACCTGAAAGTTTAAATGGAGACAACAGAGAGGATATTTGTTTTCAATTTCATTAAAGCAAAACTAAAAGGTTCTCTTGAATGAAAAAAAAAAGGTGCAGCGTCTATTTTTTGATGGTATGACAGCTATTATCTTCATGCCTTCCCAAACATTTACTAATGCAGCTGTGCACTGCTTTTAGAAAGTGTCAGCGAGTGTTTGTTTCCTTGTATATCTAAAGAAACATCAGAGGTTGTACAGGGTTAACAGTTTGTTCCTTTGTATTTAGGAATGACTGGTATGTGACAGCCAAAGACAGAGATACTCCGAGAGTGGAAGTTCTGGAGTACATCCATAAGCGATACATAACACGCTGAATAAAAGCACTTTTGCTAACCGCTACCACATCCTTAGGTCAAGGTTATTTTAAAAAATGAAACGCAAATGTGTGGGGAACTGTTGTATAGGAAATCATCGTTGGCTGTTTCATGCCTGAAGCGCATGTGTAGACATAAATGGGAAGAGGTGGAGGGATGGTTCTGATGAGATGAAGGTGATGAGGGCGTGGATTGGATGGGTGGATCCTGTATTAAAGCAGTTGTTTGACTTGCAAAGCAGGCCTGGGTGCTCACGGAATGGGTATTGAGAGGAGGCCCTTCGCTGGAAGAGTGGAGCACAAGGGACACGGACTGTTTCTGTGCTGCTTTGTGCTGGGCTGCAGGCCTTGTCACCCACAGGCATGAATTAGTGATAAGGAATGTTTCAAGCCATGAGGAGGTGTCAGGATCAGGTTGGTTGCACTGTGTTTCCTCTTTCTTAGCGCTCTTTACAGGTCATTCAGGGACAGGTGGCTATTACGCGCAGACCCGCCCCTCCATGCTTTGTTGGGAGTGAATTAAGCTCGTGTGTATGTGTGTGTACGTTTTATCTCCCCTCAGCTCAGCGTCTTTAACACACAAAGCCGTGACCCAGGGTCAGGTGTGTATCTAAGGGGGATAACGTGCTACAAGCTTGTTGAAAGCCCGGTCTACTACAGGTGCTGTGTATCTTTGATAGAGGAGAGCAGGTCTGCTGGGGTCTGGATGGACTCACAGAGACCCACTTCAAACTGTGAAGGACATTATCATCACCATGTGGTTGCCCTTTCTCTTGCTATCCCGCTCTCTGTCTCCCTCCTTTCTGTGCCACCTCTCCTTGTCTTTGCCCTCAACTCCCTCCGCTCACTTAGCATATTCAGATTTGCTAATGTTCATATCTGACAATTGGTGTGTTTACATGGACATCAGTATTCTGGCTAGGATCAGGGCTTTGAAGTATGCAAAACAAGCTTCAGATCTTGAGTTCCAAAAACCTGGATAAGCCTGTAACTCGTTTTTGAGAGACCCAAATCATGCTCTGCAGAGTACTTGTTAGTGTTCATCATATCTTAGCTGTGTTACCCGCAACTACCTGCCCGGCTGTGATTTTGACCAGGTTGCATCTAAGGAATTAAAAGCAAGCAGTCATCAGAGTCTATAGAACCAGGATATGAATAACAAGATTTGTCTGTTACCTGTAAACACTATACTCCAAATTTTGATCCCAACTGGGTTAGGCTGCATTACTGGAGTGCCTCTGTCCATGTTAACAAACTTAGTCCGATTTGTTTGGAGTATCTTTACAAAAAGATGTTTGCAGTGTTTGTACAGGGTTTTCAGTCAGCGGCCAATCAGAACTTGAGTGAATCAAGTGCAGTAAAGTCCTTCAGATTGTGCTACAGATAAACAGTGCAGTTGGATATTTCGTCAGTAATCAAACAAAGCAGTACTTGAAAATACGAGCCGTGTCATTTGGATGTGCATGCTTGTATTTGAATCATCATGCCGAAACAATTATTGATCCATTTAGTGGATGATGCTAAGTTTAAACAACCCCCCTGCTTACCACCCCAGAGAGCTCTTTAGGTGAAGCCTTTACCTAACTCTGACCTGTTTACAGAGCTGACATGTTGCCAGATCCCAAGGTGTGGATACAAATAGGCGTTGCTTTTTACAGGGGAGAACAGAACACAACACCGGAGAGAAGCGAAGAGGAGAGCGCAGGTAGGAAAGAGGAGAGGCAGCCAGGTTAGGCAGGTTTGGTTGTGGGGTGTAGCATACCGGTAAGGCTGATCTGTAGGAATGTCATTTGAATGACTGGCTTTTTGTAGAGAGTAATAAACTCAATGCATCCTCTTCCCCCCCCCAACCATAACCCCCTGCTGGGTCTTATGGCAGATGGAGAAAGAGGGGAGGAGGGGTTGGACGAGTGGATGTTCTATATGTGTGTTCAAGTGCATGTATGTTTTTTTTCCTGTGTTACTGTTGCCCATGCAATGTTACACTATTTGCTTTTGTATGTGTGTGTGTTTATAGACAAATCGAGGATGGCTTGTTCTGCTGAAACCCCCCTCCCACTGCGCAGGCTTCAGTCGATCATTTTAATCTCCCCCCACACGTGAGCGAGGGGACAGCCTTTCCTGAAACTTGGCACACAGTACAGGGTGGGGTAACCAGCTCAGACCGGATTGACAACCTCCCTTTTTAATACTGTTCCCTCGCAGCTTGTTGCGTGTCCTCTTCCTTCTCCTGTAGAGTTTTTTTCCACAGGGTCTGCTCTGGCAGCCCCCCCCTTCTCCCCTCCCTCCACCCTTTTCCTCCACCTCCCGCACTCTCATCCCTAGCTCTGGACTGACAGAGTGCACAAGCTGCACAGCCCAGCTCCCAGCATGCACTCTGATCCCCACTGCCCTCTGCCTATCTGTCCTCCACGACCTCTTCTGTGGTTTTGTCTTGAGTGTTACTCACACCTGTAGATGTAGGCATGTATAAGGCAACATGCGCTCACATATTTGATAGTTTTACCTTGTTTTGGTAGCAGGCTTGCCTGGAAATACTTTAAAATACCGTGGTACAGCTTTATTGTAAATACGGGTGTCATGAATACAAAATTTTGAAGGCTCTTATCAGACTCAAGCCTCATACTAGCCTTCTCAAACTCCAGTTTTGGGTATGACAGGGCATAAGAACATCGATTTCAATGGTCTATTTGTTATCTCTGTGTTGCAAAAGTGAGCAGTGAAGTTGTTGCACTGGAAAGATATCATTTGTGGGTTCTCAGAATAACAAATAGTTGTAGATGATTAAGATTAATACATTTGTCCGGAGAGTTAAAAAGATTTTGTTTTGCTTGCGTGTAGAACTTAAATTTTCAGTCAGAAATGAAGAGAAGACATAAGACCTGTGGGATGTGACTGTAAAGAACAAAAGGATATTGTTGTAAGATCAGAATGAAAAGACTATGTCAGTCAGCCATGCAAACTAGTGTAGCTGAAGGGGCTGCATTTAGTGTTCCCAGTCATGGAAAAAAAAAAAAAAAAGAGTTGAGTTGGACTTTTAAGTGGGTCACTCCACCATATTATTTTTCTTTCACTTACTTTCTAATACAGATTTTCTTTAATGCTTCGTAATACTGCAGTGTTTTATTTTACATGAGTGGTCACTTCATGCTGTGAGGGCTCAGTAATCACAATTCAGCTTACCAAACCTGTTTTATAGCAGATAACACCGCTAATTGGCACGCAACCTGATATGACCCACCAAGCTAAGATACTTAAGAGTATTTATATGTGTGTTTTGCCTTCACCCAGTATGTTTTAACCCGCACTCTGATTAGTTGTACTTGACCTCCATGAAGGTTTCTGTTTTGTGCTCCAAAGGATTTTGATGTACTGATCGAGTATTTTACTGTGTTTCTCCCCTCCATCCCATCCCTCCCTTCAGACAGGCAGACGGACGGACGGCAGGACGGATACACGGGTGGGGGCTGTGCTCGGCGGCTCGGCGGCAGGCTGGTGGAAAATGTCGTCAGGAGCCGGTGGGAGGGGAGGAAGGCGGCTCAGGGGGACAGCAAGCAGCGGTAGTGGCGGAGGGAGAGGAGGTGCGGGGGAAGCAGAGGAAGGCCCTGTGGGGATCCCTTTCCCTGAGCACAGCGCAGATATCCTGGGCAGCCTGAATAAGCAGCGGCTCAGCGGCCTGCTGTGCGATGTGCTCCTGGTTACTCAGGATCGGGAGTTCCCAGCTCACCGCTCCGTTCTGGCATCCTGCAGCTCCTACTTCCACAAGCTCTTCACTTCAGGTGCCACAGCTGACCAGCAGAACGTCTACAACATCGACTTTGTGGCAGCAGAGGCTCTGGGAGCATTACTGGACTTTGCCTACACAGCCACACTGACAGTCAGTCACAGCAGTGTTGCTGACATCCTTGCCGCTGCACGCCTCCTGGAAATCCCACCCGTCCAGGATGTCTGTACACACCTGCTGGACACCAAAGTGCTCTCCCCGCCGGTACAACTCTATTTCAGAACTAGAAGTGACATGAGTTAAAGCAAAATTTAACCTTTAAGATAAGATCTTATCTACAGTTCCTAAATGACGTCCAGTGTGAGTGTTTAATGATTTAAGAGCAGAGCTCAGACTGTGAGCTACAAATGCTTCATGCTGAGGAAATACTTTGTGAAACTCTCATCAAAAACCTACTTCTCTTAGGGAATGAGACTTCTAGTTATCATACTATCACCTTTATTGAACAGTCGGCACAGTCAAGCTTACATCATGGCCTTCGTCGGCCTCTCTCACCATGCCAAACACACGCCCACAGCCTCTGGGTTAGTTCAACACTTAGTCATTCTCAGCCAATCGCGTGTGTGGAAGGGCTCCGTGGTCTTTCACAGACTACGGACACAGCATATCACAGCTATGCTTTAACACACTCAAGTATAGCTGCGGTATGCTGCTTCTGAATACACCATGCTCTACATCATGTGATAATCATGGCTTTCGAGAGAGGCTGAATTTACCAAAACATATTTGGGGTTTCGTGCTGCTTGTTGTCAGTTCTTCCCAGAGCAGTTTGTTGAATTTGTTCTTTCTGTTCAGCCTTTGCCTTAGCTGATATTTTTGGGAGATTGTGATTTGTTTTATTATTACACTTCTTTCTCATTTATTTCACTTTGATTTGCCCTCTTTTTTTTTTTGCTAACCTTTACTCATTATTTTGATCTCCATTGTGTTTCACCAGGCGGGCAATGAGCAGAGAGATGAAGGCGAAGGTGAGGGGAAGACCAGAGGCAGGGAGCAGGGCAACCGGGTGCGGGCCCAGGAGTACCTGGAGTACTTCCAGAGAGGGGCGCACTGGAGCAGCAGCTGCAGCACACCAGAGCTCAGGGACCTGCCCACACACCTGCACTTTAACCACGGGAATGGGGCGCCTCCCAGCAATGGGGGTCCTGCCAGCCATGGTGAGTACTTCTCCACCTTGGCCCTCGCCTTGGCTCAGGCCCCCACGCAGGAGCCAGAGGAGGAGGATGAGGATGAAGAGGAAGATGAGGATGGGGAGGTGGTACAGGGGAATGGAGCAAGCTTGGGTACATCTTACTACCCTCCATCTCAGAATGGGCACTTCTACCTCCCTCCTGAGTCCAGGCTGGGACAGGAGACAGAGATGGAGGAGGGAGGCAGGGAGGTGATGGCGAGGGAGAGAGGCTCTGCCAGCGCCCTTCTGCAGCATATGATGGACTCCATTGAGAGGCAGAAGGAGCGCGCAACAACCGGGGAAGAACAGGGAGATGGGGACGACCCCGACATGGAATTTTACTTGAATTATTTCAACAGTTCGCAGCATGAAGATACAGCTTCTGCTGCTTTGACACAGGGAGTGCCGCCGCCCTGGTTATCACAGGGTAGAACAAGCCAAGAGAGAGGAGGAGGAGGAGAGAGGGGCAGTGGAGGAGGAGGAGGAGGTGGAGAGAGGAAGATGCGCTCTAAGGCCTTTCAGAAATGCCCCATATGCTCCAAGGTCATCCAAGGAGCCGGCAAGCTACCCCGCCACATCCGAACACACACGGGAGAGAAACCCTATGAATGCGCCATCTGCAAAGTGCGCTTTACCAGGTAAGCCCTATTAATGAAGTGAATACCCCATGTCACATGTACTAATACACTTGGACTTGGCACCGTAGACAAATGGTCCAGCAGTGGGAAACACCACAAATCCCAGAGCAGGAGAATTAGTACTAACCAACTTAGCTCTGCATTAAAGAGGCAACACAGTTTGTGAATCTAAGTGTTTACCTTGATCACGGACTTACGCCGTATTTCTTTTTTTCTGTCACGTTGCAGCCAAATGCTAATCAAAATGGCATGTAGAATATTCCAGCCCTCCGAGCGGGGGTCAGATGGCTGTAAAGGTCTGTTTTATTGTGACAGCCTTCATAGCAAAGTCCTGGATTTTAACATAGGGGTCCTATAAAAGAAGGCAGTGCCATGGCGGTGTTATCTCGTAGAGGGCTGCTATAAAGTGCTGTGTCCTGATACAGAGGGGGATTACAGGCCCTGGATGGTGCTCTATGTGCTTCAATGCAGTAATTTGAACTTTTGATCTCCAGTTATGTTGATTATTGCCCACAGCGGGATAGTTACACCCCCCACCCCCACCCCCCCTCCCCGTCTCTCCTTTTACCTCTATAATGAAATCCGCTGTATGCTGCCCTGAAATATGTGGCAAGTCCACAGCAAGGAACTTGAGTGCACATGGTTTCCCCGTATTAAGGAGTCGTGCCTTTTCCTTGAAATCATTCCTTTAATTAATTAATCAGTAGACTTGTGCTGGAAATAGATACAGTGGACTAGAAATACCCGGAACCTCTGCTGGCACGGCAGGTAGGGAAGACCAATCTGAATTTGCCTTCCAGCTAAATTCGACCAGCAGAGGGAAGAGGGTATTGTAATCTTAATCCCGTTTGATCGGGGTTAAGAGTGTGCCTCACACAGTAATAAATCACTCTGTCCTTTAAATAATTCACCTCTGTCAATGTGCCACTTTGTTCAAAGGCTTTCGCCCATGTGTTAGTGAATTAGTTTGTGTGCACACATATATGTTTATGTCCTCACCTATGTACAAATGTCTTAATTGTTTTTATATTGACAGTGCAGTTTGTGCAAACCTATAAGGTTTGGAGTTGGTTTATTTATTTGCTTGTATAGCAGCTAATCCACTTAGGCGGCTCGTGTGTGTGTGTGTGTGCTTGAGTGTGCGTGTGTTCAAATAGAGTTGTCTTAACTACGCTTCTTTGTTTAGTAGCCCTCTGCCCTGGGTTCATACGGGTTAGACGATTAAAGAGCTCAGAAGCTAGAGAGAGATAGTAAGAGCTAAAGGGGGTAGGGAGGGACAAGAGTCACATGAAGGCCAAGGCAGCCTGATAAAGTGAAGTGGGTGGGGCATCCTCTAAAATTTGACAAAATAAGAACAGTTCCAGTTTATTATGAGATGACGATTACACTCGGAGTGTAATTGTTGTTCAAATCTGACATTACTGGAAAGCAAGTCTTCCACTTCAGCTACTTGATTTGATTAGAAGTGGCACACGTACACAATATTCACACCAGTTGCTACATTTAGAGGGATTGAAGAAGGCTGAAAAATAGACGGCTGATGATTTTACAGACTCGTCGATAATTCAGTACAACTCAACAATAAAAGTCAAGTTTTCAAAGGATTTCTAAATTGTTCAGCGGCAGGAGAGATTGATTTATATCCACTAAACAAACACATTTCTGGGTTTTGTTGGTTGTCATGCTGATGAAACAAAAGAGAAATCATAAAACCAACAACTGACACAGTGAACATTGAGCTTCCCTGTCACTCTACAGTTACACTCCTGTCTGCTATTACACAGATAAGATGTCAAGTTTATTGCCACTCTTCGGTTGTCCCTGACGGATTTATCTCATTGAGAGAGATCTCCTTTAGTGGCTGTTAAATAGGAAATAGAATTATTCAAAGGGTTAAACATGGATGAGATTACATGTTGAAGTTACTAATAGTCTTTCAGGTAAATCTGGTCTTGTACATGATATAAAAAAAGCTGGATTAGCATCTGACCCTAACAAGAAAGCCTACAGTTAGCTCTACTTGTTTTGAAATTGGAGTCGGCCAAACCTCTTAATCTCATTTGAATTTTTTGACTGTGTTCTGATGTGATCTTTTTTTGTTGTTGTTATTTTTTTTCCCCCTTAGGCAAGACAAGCTCAAGGTTCATATGAGGAAGCATACAGGAGAGAAGCCTTACCTGTGTACGCAGTGTGGAGCTGCCTTTGCCCACAACTACGACCTGAAGAACCACATGCGCGTACACACAGGCCTGCGCCCCTATCAGTGCTCAAGCTGCTTTAAGACTTTTGTACGCTCAGATCACCTTCACCGTCACCTCAAGAAGGACGGCTGCAACGGCATCCCCTCTCGCAGAGGCAGAAAGCCTCGGGTGCGAGAGCCAGGGCTCCTCGACGCCTCCCTGGGCCTGCTCAGCCCCAGTTCTGACACAGGCCCCGGCCCTCGCACCATCAGGGGACGGAGGCGCTCTGAGGCATCTTCAGTGGCAGAGGTGGAGGGGACTGTCGGAGCTCTTGCACATAGTCCTCAGCTGCAGGAGTTGGCTGGGGAGGCAGGGCCCTGAAACTGCAGGGGCGACAAGGACACTGCTGGACAAGTCACTCTGCAGCGCCTGTGAGACAGGCCAGTGAACAGAGAGGAGAAAAAACACACAAAGGCAAACTTTAAAAAAAAAAAACAAAACAACTAGCTATTCCTCTATAAACCAAATCAGGGTGTCACAAAAATCTTATCTTTATATTTCTTTCTCCTTTTACCGTAGAAAACAGAGTAGACTTTTAAGCACTTAAGTCTGTTTGTTTGTTTAAGAGCAAAGAACGCTTCAAATCATACACCCATGACGTCCACTTTCTGGGCCATGTCTTTCTTTATAATGTTAGGGGGTTTTATACATTGGCATATGTGCTTAGGCAAATGTATAATAGATACAAAAACACTCTTTGCAACTATGCAGTTGATTTAGATTTTTATCGGTTTTGTCCTCACAGCCTTCAAGCTCTAAGCAAGGTGTCTATCAAGCACCTTCTGGCTGCTGTACGGGTGAAGCGAGGACAAATCCTCCCAGTGAAAACAACTCTTTTTCTATTCTTTTGCAGGTCTGAAATGTACAGTTACCATAGAAACAACATTGCCACAACATGGCATATGCAAGGAAAACTCGCCACAGTTTTGATGCAACAGTTTTTCTCTCTAGATGTTCCGGAAAGACTGAGACAAGGGTTTGATTGAAGTGTTGCTTTCTCTATAAAATACGTTTTAGAAGATCTATGGTTTGTCCTATTGAAAAAAACTATTTGTCGCTGAGTCAAATCCACTTTATTGGGGACTCGCCAATTGCAGAACTAGGGAACATGAGGGGTAGAGGGGTCTGTGTTTCTAAAGCACTACCATCGTCAATGTATCTGTTGGCTTGACTACGTTGCCTCTTATCCCTCACAAAACTGCAGTTTCAGCATTTCTTTTTTCCTTTTGATTTGTCTTAATTTGTTTGTCGTTCCTTTTTTGTTGACTGCTTCGGGTACTTGACACTTTATAAATGTATACATGTATATACAGCAGGTGGTGATATGACATTGGTCCCCTCTTAATGCTGAGGTGTACTCACCAATCGGGTTTTTCCTCTTAGGCTTGATGTCATATTTCTCACTGAGTGGAGCTTGTGGGTGAACGAAACAAACTGTATGAATGTTTGATGAAAAAAAAAAAAAGAAACATTGACTCACCCATTTGTTCTAAACTTAACACTTGACATGTATAGTTCCTGCCCAAAGGATGAGGAGGTGGAATGAATGAATGTGCTTCAACTTTGTGCAGTTTTTTCGGAATCTGTCCTTGTGTGACAAGGCGCGGGTAGCATTTAACCAACTGCAGGTTAAAGGAATGGCAGGGAGCCCGAGTGAGAGAGTGACAAAGAGTACGAAGAAGAGATAGATGAGCACCTTTTTTTCTATGTTTGCACAGCTTTACTAAAGACATCCAACAAAGCGGGAGAGAGGTGTACTTAAAGGAAGTGGGATGGTGTTTAGTGGAGGGAGTGAGAGGAGGTTTATGTATCATGCTTATTCCAATCTTTTTTTCGCCCGAGGGACCACACAACCGTGAGGCAACCTGTATGATGAAGAGAGCAATAAATACCTGTCCAAGTTTGGGAGGCCAAATCGGAGCGCAGCTGCAGCTGGTCGATGGGGGGAGGGGAACAAGGGAAGGGGAGGGGGATCTCACAATGTCTGTTGCATTCCAAAAAATAATCTCCCCCAGCTCAGCCACGTTTCCAGGCAGGAGGGGATCAAATCAGGCCTTTTCTCTCCCTCGCTCTCCCTCTGTAGTCCTCTAATGCCCCCGGACCAGCCTGGAGGGGATATTATTATATTAGAGCCTGGTGTTGCCGAGGGTAGGACGCCTGGTGCTGGCTGTTTAGCGCGCATGTGTGTGTATGTGTTTGTGTTTGCATGTACGCGTGTTTTTGTACATGTGTGTGCGTGGCAGCCGGGGTCGCTCTGGCCACATCATCACTATGTGAGTCAGCCACAGCCTGTTCAAACATGCACCCTTAGCTGCCAAGCCCAATGCACTTTCTCTGTCTCTCTCACCGAGACACACAGACACACACACGCATGCTCGCACAATCTCACTGGGTCCAGGTATCCTGTGGAGAATGGGAACCCACCAGAGTAGACGTATTTGTTTGAATATTGTCTGGGACTACTTACATCTGGATTCATTCGTCTCCAAAAGTCCAAGTTGTCTTGTTGTGCTTCAGATATTTTTATTCCAGACTAGCACATTTCCTTTGAGTCAAGGAGGGAACACGCGTGATATTTACTCCCCCTGCTCCAAAAAACCCCTCACCCCATCATTTTCGTTGTAGTGCTGTAGTTCAACTGTCAGTCCTTAGCACCTTAATTGGAAAGATCCAGGTTATGAATGCACTTTGTTACTGAGGAGGGCACTTTTGTTAACCAAACGGGTACTTTGAAACAAACCAGTTGCAAATGAGATCAGTCCATTTGTCTGTCCATGGTGGTGAAGAAAAACTCCTTCACTGGTTTTGTTCAGGTTTCGACGACAAGCTGCCAAAAAAGAAAAAAAAAGAAATGTACAAGTTCAGGTCTCTGAAAGAGATTCTGGGTCAGTTCAGATACCAACATGCTGGGTTTTGTGACCTTAAAAGAAACAGTCTAAATTAATCCTTGTAACTGATTGCACTTGAAGTTAGTTTAAAGAAACTTAGAGTTGTTGTGTCTTAATGCAAAGAACGTGGGAGGACGAGGAAGCAAAAGAAGAATGGGGCTTGTGTGCATGAGTGTGTGTTCGTATGTATGCGTTTTTTAATGCATGTGCACAAGTATGTTTTGCTGGCTGGCAAGCTGGAGGGTCTCGGGACAAGCATGGATAAACAAACTTTGTGTCTACCCCATCTGTTCACCAGCTACTCTCATAACTACACGTGTCCTCTGAGGGACTACAGCGATAATAGGTCCACAGTACCACAGAAGCAGAATACTTAAATATAAAACAACTCATTGGACAGTTGCTTGTTTACTTCACGGCTCTCTCGGTGCAGATTTGCATAACTCTCTGTTTACCGTTGTTGGTCTTGAGAGTTTTAGTTTCTAATTTTGCTTTTCTGTTATGATAGAGATGGGGTTAATTAATGCACAGATTGACTCCCACGGGCAGACCTATGTAAAGTGTATATGTCTACCTGCTTGGCAATTTTTATATAGTGGTACTGGGTATGAACTGCCATTGTGTCTTGATGATTGGGACCTATGAGCCATCTTAAATATATGTTGCTTTGAACCTTAATAAGTTCCCCAAAAGTCTTATGTTGTTTGTTGATTAACCAAAGCTTTTTACCTTCAATCTTAGTCCACTGTAGGCTAGAGTTATTGAAAGTAGATCTATAATTTATCTGGACAGGAGTAAGCCCTCCTCTTGAATACATATGCAGAAAGATGTGTGGAATCATACAGATATATTTACTTGAGTTTGCTTTCTCTCGCTCTTTGTACCCTTACGGATAGTACAATCAGAGGTAAAAGGATGTATAGATGTTGGGTCTGTCGACAATTTTTTTTTTTTTTTCTTAAAATATTGTGTTGTGCTACAGCTATTTTTTCTAACTATTTGACATGGCTGTGCATTTGTGTGTGGAATGAGTGTGTGCTTGTGTGGGTTGGGGTCATGGCTTTGGGGTTGCTGTGCCAGGAGGGTGGGTATGGGTGCTTTTGGGTGGGGTAAATGGATTAAAAGCCTGATAGCACTGGAAATGGTGCTTTAGCTGAGAGAGCAAAAGTTTGCACTAATGTTTAATGTCCTTGTCCTGCTTATGGGAGAAGGACAGGAGACCTCAGAAAGGCCTGCGAGTTTCCATGAGCACAGAGCAGTGTGGTTAATACTCAATGGTCTCATATAGAGTCCATCCAAGCCCTCCATAGAAATTATCATGTACAGTATATTAAGAATATACAGGCGTCCAACAACTACCAATACCAAAGCAGAAAAATGGCTTGCACTAAGTCATTGGACATTTTAAGCTACCAATCTAATGTTGGTTTAAAGAGTTTTACTGTTCAATCTGAAGCCTCTTGAAAAGAGATTCTGGATGTAATTTTTGTTAAAAACTAGAAAGTATGTGGTTATAGCAAATGATATTTGCTCTTTATATTAAGAATAATTCCAAATACAACATGTAAGCACTTAGAAGGTAACAAAGACATTCTGATCTGATGGCTGAGATGTACTGTGTGCAGGTGCCAGAGATGTTTGACCTATACTTTGTCCCCTGATTGGATTTTATAAACTTTTTTCACATGCTGATGAAAAAATGTTATGAACTGAAAATGAGAATATTGTAACTTTTGAACACTTTTTGACTGTTTGCTGAATTGAATGATTTCAGTCTACTCTCTGAAAAGGTTGAATGATTTGAAATGATCTGTGGTTGAAGCAGACTGTGGCCTTGTCTGAGCAGCACTACGCTTGTTTGTTTTTTTTAATGTATGTTGTAATGTGCAGTTTGGGGCTGAGGCTTTTACTCACCAGTGCGTGATGTAAGGGCCACAGTGGACGGAGGCTGACAAAACTTAAACGTTTGCTTAAATTTAGACAGGCTGATTGACTCTCTTCTCAAAAAATTAAAATAATAAAATCAAAAACTTTACTTGAATCAAAACATTAAAATGTTTCTGTCAACCTCAATGATTCATAACTGGTGTGTCCCCGGCCTCAGCCCCAGACTAAGGTTACGCTGACTCTGGCTACACTGAGACAGTCTCAGAAAACTTGCAAGTGTTTTTCCAAATTGACCTTGATATGTTTTTGTTTTTTTTTTCCATGCTGTTATCAAAGATTTGTTAAACCTATCTGAAAGGCCATAAAACAAAACAGCGGAGAATTACATAACAGTTCTAATGTAAATAATCAAACGCAGCAGGACAAGGTGACTGTTATCATTGAGATTCACAACGGCAGAAAGGGCACTATTTTCTTTGCTTTGTCATTTTCCTGCACACCTGATTTTTTTGTGTGTTCTCCATCAGCAAGCTGAGCGCAGCATATGCAGAATAGCACTATGCACAGCATGGCTCTGGCACTTACTCAGACAGCCCTGGGTCCTTCAGAGAGGCAGGCTGCTGTCTGTTGGCTGCTCTCAGCCGAGTGGGGACAGTTTGCAGTATCTGGGGATGCAAAGGTTGCCGTATGGGGAGGAGGACTAAATACGGGTGGTAGGGCAAGGTTAGGTGTCGTTTTCAGGGATGAGAATAGAAAAGCCCAGGTGATGGACTCATTCGCTGAGCAATGATTCAGTGATGGTCCTGGTATGAATTGCACGTCCAAAATATGACAAGAATTGTAACACACGGAGGTCATCACAGATTTCAGATTGAGGCAACAGGGAGCATGTTGCTGATCTCTTTTGTCTCTATGTAAGTACTACTCAGGTGGAAGATACACTGCTATGCATTGGTTTTAATGTCTGCTAAGTTAATAATATGTTTGATCATCCTCCAAGTCACTTCTCTGTCCTCGCCTTTCTCGTTTTTTAAAAACCCATATTTAACATTATTTCCAGAAAGAAGAAGAAGCAGCAGGAACAGTTCCCTCATTGTAAAGTGGCTGTGACCAGCCTATTTCTCTGTCTAATATCGATCCAGTGGATTGTTTGTTGGAGGGAAGGAAGTCACTGGAGATTCAGTCTTATTAGTCAGACTGTAACAGTTTTGAAAGGAAATGGGGTTGGAAAAATCACAGGGTGGGGTGGGGTGGGGTGGGGGATATGTTCTCCTACTTTCTGCTCCCATTACTCCCCTCTCTCCGGACTAAGAGTCTACATCTTTGTTGCAGAGCGGCCTTTGATCACAGATCCCAAGTCCTCGCAGGGAGGACTCGACAGAGAGGGAGAAAGGAGGGAGAGGGGATTGGATGAGGAGGAAGAAACAGTTACAGTTTGACGTCACCTTAACCAATTTAGGATACATTCCATAACTTCATACTGTGATTCCCACTTCTGAGTTTGCTTAAGGGATGTGAGCTGATGACAGAAGGAGGAAACAATCAACACAGTGCCGTTGGTTGTTTTGGACAGTCTGTCCGGTATCCCTTCAATGTGTGACAGACAGACATTCAGACAGACAGTTTTTAAAGACCCCAAACTACCGTGATCCAACTGCCTTTTTTCAGCCTCTGCGATTGTAACAAAAGCACTTTGCGAAAGGCCATCCTGAATATTTGTGTGCTTTTATTTTATGGTTATCACTATTGTAATTATTATTTTATTGTTTCTGTTGATGTTTTATTTCTCAGTGCAGATGATTATTTAAATGCAAAAAAACTAAATGAGAAAAATGAAAAAAAAAGAGAAAAACTTGAATACTTGGTATCTGGATCGAAGGTGGTCAAAGCTGCCACCTCGTCTGGACATAAACAAACACATCTCTGTTATTCTACCACCATACCTGTTTTATGCAGCTTATTGCATAGTCACACACAATAGTAAAGGGGGGGAACAGGACAGATCTCACCCTACCTGCTCTCTGCTTAGTGTCCTACTTCATGTTGGGAGAAAGGTCATTTGATCTCATTTTGGGAGACTCCTTTTCTTGAAAAAGAAACCTGTACAACAGTTGCAAAGCTTTCTGAGAAGGCTGGCTGTGCTGAATGTTAAACATGCAGTGTTGTACCCACTGCAGAATCTCTTTGTCTGCAATAACGCCCTGTCTGTGTAGTTAAAGGCTGGATCTGGTATCCCTATAGAGCTTATATGTATATGAAAGACAGATGAAATGGCCATTGAGCACTCTGCAAATAATCCGAACAGAAAAGTTATTCTTGGCGTCAAATCAAGATTATTGCAGTAGAGAGTGGAGAGAATAATACTGATCATAATAAACATTCAATAAATCCATAGTTCAGTTAATGGTTTAACTTGGGAGAGACAAAAATAGGCTACTATTTATGATAGAATGATTTATAACTGTGATTGTTATGAAAATCTTTTAAAGACTTTTATCTCATGTATGTTTGAAACAGCAGAGTGTGTCCCAAACCCAGACAATAACTGTTGACGCACACGGGAAAGAAAACTGATGGACTTCTGTCTGTGTTCAAACTTTATCCTTGTTGCACATCAGACCTCATTCAAATAGTGCATGACGACAGGTGGATCACAAAGGTAGAGTGTTTGTGAACTGTGTTTAACTGAAGGGATGTGGCCGCAAAGTGCAACATTACAGAAAGTTTGAACCAGCAGAGTGCATCAGCTCTTCTTATTCCCAGTCTGGATTTACTATTTAGGTAACCCCTCTCTCTACACAAAGATTATTGTCTCTTAGCATAGCAGTCTGTCAGTCGGTATCTGTTGAAAGCTGCAGGGGTGCGATTGGTAATTATTTCTTTTTCTTTTTTGAAAATTTGCACTTTTTGGCGATGAAAAAAATTGTATTCTATATGAGACCACTAAATCCACACAGTCTAAACCATATAATTCCATTTTGTTTTGTGTTATTTTTTTTGTTCGGTTTTTCTTTTTTTTTTTTTTATATATCCAAAAATGTCTGGCATCTGGTTGTCTGGTTTAAAGGATATAAAATCTTTCTATTAAAAACAATGGTTGCAAACTTTTGTGTGGATTGTCTTGTTTCATAACCTATTAAATATTATGCACAGGTGTGTAAGGTGTGGCATCTGTAATAAGTAGTGTATGGCACATATGAGTATTTCAATAAACAAGGTTATTTTGTAAAATAGATAGATAGATAGAGAGAGAGATAGATTCCCATGTTACAGCAGCAATAAAAACATAAAATTAAATAGAATATAAGAGGAAGTATATACAATGCAGACTAAATTACTAAATAAATACAGACTAAATATACTAAACATCCTAAGAGAAAAATAACAGTCAAAAGTCCAGTTACAGCAGATTCCAAAATCATAAAACCACATGGTATGTCTTTATTCGGCCAGAGTTTCTGTACAGGATCACAATAATAAACAAAAGTGTTCAAGTTAGTATTTTCCTACTATTCACAGCACTTTACTTTAGATGAGTCAGTTCACCAGAACAGCCACTAGGTGGCAGTAATATCACTTATTATCACCACCAAAGGAAGCAGTGAACCTGGGTGCAGCCAGCACCACTGCTCTCTCTCTCTCTCTCTCTCTCTCCTCACATTTTTGCCAGCTCACTCACTCTCTTTACTGACCATGACTGCACAGATCATGTTGCTTATCTTCATATAGTCCAACACAAACACTGAGACACGCAGCCATACTCACACCACAAAGAAAGAGACCTTAAATAATGCCTCACAGTATATAATGCAGAAAAAGTGTGCTTAGATCAAACATATATGAGGACTACTGCAGAGAACTACCTTGTTTCACTAAATAAAACCATACAGAGACTGTGGATGTTTCAAGTATCAAAGATGGGCCTGCTTTAGTTTTTTTAATGTGACTTGTCCCAGAAGTCCAGCATCTGACTGCAACCATGGGCCTGTTGTCACCCTGCCTTCCTGTTTGTGTCGGCCCATCTCCCTGAGGCGATCCTGTGGGGTGACAGAGGTCATAGAACAGCTCATTAACCCCACCCCAACAGCCCACACATTGCTGCAGTCCTCAGGCCTCGGCTGCACACACACACACACACACACACACGTTTTATAATGCTCCACTAATAGCAGTTAAGTCGACTTAAGCCCACTCTGAAAGCATTGTGCTTTCAGGGATGCACCATGAGACGTGCGTGTGTTTTGCATGTTGTATGTATTAGATCGGCATTTTAATGTAATTGCGGTGGTCCTTATAAATGATTCATGCTCACATTTTCCTTATTTGTGTGACAAATGGCCACAAATAAAACCTCTTGTCACAATTTAACGTCATGGAAATCCACACTGAGTGATATATTAGTGCATGAGATGGTTAATTCAGTCATGTTGAATCTGTTGGCCAGATGTCTTGAGGCTCCAAGTCATTAATTGTTATGTTTGTAAGGTATCTAAGAACACAGTGGGAAATGGTGTTATTCTCTGTGTTCAGGCATCATCGTTGCAGTCAAAACACATTGGATAAGAGGAACAGCAGCACTTCAGGGGCTGGGAGATGCCTGGGAGCTGTTGTCTGGCGTCTCTAGTTATTTTATTCCCTCGCTTTGTGCATGTGAATATGCGTGTGCGTGTAACTGTTACTCTTAACATGTTTGTCTATATGCTCATGCGCCAAGGTGTGGTCTTATAATTGTTTTTGCTTGTGTACATGTGCATGAACAGCATCGTCATTAAGGCTTGCACAGCAAATGAGGCTATAACTGCCCTCGCAATGCACACACTCGGAGGCAGCTGTAATGTAAAGGAAAAATAGTGACACGCACGCACGCAAACACACACACACACAAACCCGCGCACTAGCCTCATTTTTACCAGTACACACCTTCCTCCTGGGATATAAAATGCCCCTGCCTCTGCTCACCGTGGGACATGAGTTTCATCCAAACTAGCTGCCGTCCTCAATAAAAACCCACGTGAGCAGTCTCTGCAGTATAGATTTCCAGTTTCTCTGAGGGTATATTTTGTTCAGATCAGGTGTTTAAACTGCTCAATATGACAATAATTAGGCAGCGCTCAAGACATGTGTTCTTTCTTATGTTGATAAGGGACATTGACCTTTCACCTGTGCACCCCTGTAGTCCCCCCCCCCCTCCACCATCTCTACCACCCACCCATCCCACAAGCCCCATAGCCAGCCCCCCCTTGTTGTGTCCAGCGTCCATCAGGAAGGAGAGAGCGGGGAATTGGACAGGCTTGGAGCTTTGCCTCTGGCCATCTCTCCTCCTCCCCGGAGAACAGAGGACTGAGGTGCCTTTAAACCACTGCGGCAAAAACCCTACCAAAACCCTGCAGTCATTAATATGCAAAAATGCAAATGAGTAGGTAATTAAGAGCTGGAGCTCTCTGGAGGCTCTTTGATTGCTAATGAATTCTAATCTGCAAAGAAAGGGGGGAGGGGAGGAGGAAAAGAGATGAAAGAAATAGAGAAAACAACGAAAGAGAGAAGCCTTAACCCCCAAATTTGTCACATCCATAAGTTAACATATCTGATGTACTTTTGTCTGAGAGATGCATCCTAGATTTTAGGTATATTTATGACTATAAATGTGTTATACACATTCTTTAAAGCATGTTTCACTCAAGTTTATAATGCATTATTTCTCACCTGTGTTTTTTTCTGATGCAGGTTATACGTATCTACGCTATGAGTATCAATGGATAGAGAGTCGTTTGTAATGGACACAGTGTAGTCTTTGTGTACATACAGCTAATTAGAGGCGGCCATGATAGGCGTGCAGATATTTCTGACTGTTGGGTATCAAAGAAAATAGAAGGTCAGATATCTTAACAGTGTGTTCTTTGCAGCAAACAGCAGCTGTGCATTGAAGTAAAGGAGATGTCATTTCATCACTTTTGTGAGCCATAACACATCCCCACTTCCACTTCAACTCATTCACTATGTCACTCACACACACACATGTACACACGCATGCACACACTGCTGTTATTGTTGTTGCAGTGCTCCCACGACACCAACAATCTCTGCTTCCCTCCCCCACACGGGCTCACATCTATCTCCCTTTCACTCTCTCTCTTCCCTCTCCTGTCCTGGGCAGCCCTGACATGCCTGCTTCAATTGATTTAGAGTCAATTCAGCTTCTGATCTGATTGTTATCATGTGACTTTTTGCACATCTCCCCCTCGATATATGACCAGTGTTTTTATTATCAGATTGGGAGAGAGCTCTTTCTCTGGCTCAAGTAGGACTTTTCGCCTTCTCCATTTCTCTGTCTGTGTCACCTTTTTATTCTTCATCTCTCAAACCACCACCAGGGTCTCCTATCTGCTCTGTACAGTCTGCTGGTTGGGCTTCAATTGCCTGGCTTTGTAAACAGGAAGCTGGAGCTCTGTTCCTTGCACCTGAAGCGTGGGTGGCAGAACAGGGGCACCCATACAACTGTGCAATAATGGGAATCCAAGATGGCAAGGAAGGGTCCCATAAAATCAGCAGCGAGAAGTGAGGAAGGAAAGTCAAATGAGAGCAGACAGAAGTCAGGGAGGTTGTTGGTTTAGTTTTTCCTGCAGTAAATAGATTGTTGATTTGCTTTGTGTTTGTCTCTCTGTATTGGATCTGGAACTGTAGTGTTTGGGAGGATTAATGTCATGGACAATCCCTCAAACTCATTTTCTTTCTCACTGTGGAGCTCTGTGGGAATTACAGTTTCAGGACGAGGCAGGCAGACATTGCTTTTTTTTCTGCTGGCATTGGTCCCATTTGTGATGAATTGAAAACTGGGTTCATCGTGTCCCTTTTGAGTTTGGCTGTTTTGAACACTTGCACGAAATCGGGGAGATATGCTGTCCTCACTTTGTTCCAAAACAGTTGTCTTTCTCTGCTTATGTTTTCGCTGAAAGGTGGATACCATAACCTTGTGGATAACTGCCTTGTTTAAATCACTCCCTCCCCTCTCCACGCATTTTATTGTTTTTGAACATGTTGGAAGTCGGAGCGAGTTTGGGTGTTTTCTGCCAGGCAAGCTGTAATAGGGGGGAAGAAGCTTGACGGGAGTCAGTTTATCATGAGCACAGGGAGCACAACAGATAGATTCCCCCTGTCTCCTCCCCTTCAGCACAGATAGATTCAGAGCATGGGCACTCAGCCAACACTATCAATCTATCCGCTCCTACCCCCAGCCTCTAACTCTTATTGGAGGACAGCTTCCAAAGGGGCAAGGAAGCATGAATCATGGCCCGGCTATGAGGAGTTGTTATGCCTCTAAATACACGTGTTGAGGGTCAAAATCACTCTGTCGCTTGGCCATTAATGACAATCCTGCAAGTGTTTGTCACACGGCCTGTAACAAAGTTGTAGCGTTTAGAAAGGGGCAGAGGCTGTTTGAGGAGAGGGATTGTTGGTCTTGGCCTAGTTTTCTTGTCTGATCAGAAACCTGTGCACCTCTGCCCTTCCCCCACCCAAACCTAAGCCTCTACTATTACAGGCTGTGAGGGGCTCAGTGTGGAGCGAGGTGAGCAGCTTGCCTCACCATTGAGCGCCGTGTGCGTTAATGTGTGCTGCCTATAACTGTATGTTTACAGGCTTATGGTTGTGAGTGATATAACCTGGTGATGGGGTTTTGCTTGCATGACCAACTACTTGTGGGCAGGGGCTGGATGGCAAAGGGGGCTAAGGGTGCGCAACAAGAGCGTACAGGCAGGCAGATGGCTATAAGACTCTGGGAACAACACATTGCTTTTTGATTGGACAATAAAGCAGTTTAAGTGACGCATATGTGAGATATCAATTCTATGATGCGGGCCAGCTCTCCGAATTTATTCTCTTATTGATTGAAAAACAAAGAGGATTAAAGAACTATTACACCTCATTTTACGCTCTGTTTTTGTGTAACTCAAAGTGCATTGCGTAAATGTATTATTAATATACACAAATATATGGCTGATTAGCACCAATGTGCCAAACGTATGCTAATTTTCCATGCGCATCTGTCGTTAATTACAGTTATGAAGCTGGGAATGGCTCGAAGGAATTATGGAGGGCATGTGTGACAGCATATTCCCTATTCTGCCCTTAACCGTCCACTGTACTGTAAATTTCTGAGATTATTGATGACATGTTTGTGTGTTTGCTCAGTCCCTCCTCTATAATGATGCTGTGATTTTCTAGGTTAATATGCGCTAGGTTACCCATAGATAATGAGTCTTAATCTGAGCATGAAAAATTGAGCTTTTGGGGTTATTAGTTGTTTTTTTGCCAATTATTTTGAACCGTAAAAAACAGGGGGCGACTGCACTACAATTTATTCGCAATTAAATACGAAAATTCAATGTTAAACACCAGGGAAAACACAACAAGTCATATTCTGGAAAAGTGTTGCCAAAGAAATCAGAGATACGCTGTCAATACAGTTGAAGTAAAGTTAAGCTTTAAAGCACATTTCTCATGGTTTGTATTTCATATTAATTTCTTTTTAAAGTCATACCACCTTTAAATGCACTCTGCTTATTAAGGTGAAAACTCTCTCCCCATATATGTTTTTTTTTTTGTTCCTTTTCTTCCGCCCCCTCCCTCTCTTCAGCCTGGCTGCCCTTGTACATGCTCTCCATGTCAGACCCAGCTGTTACTACAAACTACTTGGAGGGCTTACAAGCTTCATTGCTAATACTGACAACAGCACTATTCTTACTCAAGGCCTAACGTTTACTGGAAAAAAAAAGAGAGAATATGAGAGATTTTCTCAGCCTCCACAAGAAATTCATCTCCCCAAACAGATGTTTCCATCTGTTCAGATCTAATCTTTTGATTAATACATTCCTCAATGAAAGGATCCAAAAAGGTGCAAGATAAATAACTCAAGATGCCCTTTCTTTGATAGCTTAGATTATTTTCTGCTGCCACGGCTGTGTTTGCTTTTATTTCTGTGAATGTGTGTGAGTACCTGTGCGTGTGTGACCAAATGTGAGTGTGTGCATGGTATGTTTGTGAAGGTATTTATGGCCCATATGTGCGTTTGTTCCGAGCAGTAACCCCATTACATTCCTAAGACGCTCCATGAGACTAATTAATGTTCTGTGCTGAGGCTTTCTTTTACCCAGGGGACACCCAATGGATTATTTACCTATATGTCCTATTGACAGCAAATCCCCTTTCCAACGGTAAACTCAGTGCAAATAGACAGTTTGAGGAATTAATGGACAAAATAGCAGTTGGCCATGTAAATCCACCTTCGCCGTGTCTGCATTAAGTCGCACAGCACTCAACTAAGTCATGGCCTACTGCCCACACACTAACTAAAAAATATGCGAGTCACTGTAGCCTTTAAAGTGGTCACTAATTACTGTGTGTTTTCACAGTGAAGAAATATTTCAATGCCAACCTTATTTTAGTGTTGTTGTTTTTTTGTCCCTCTGAAATATTGTCTAGAATTTGTGGTAATATAATGGTAATTTTGGAGGGTGTAGACTGGAAAACAAAGGAGGGTTATCTAAACTTCCCTCTTCTTTGACGAGGTTTGCCCTCAGGATAAAAACAACAGCTGTCTAACACCTACCTACACTTTTCAAAAGAGTGGTTATTGTGTGTTTTTGTGAGAGGGATGCAGTGTGCATACTGAATAAAGGCGGTAAACACATCAGTTACATATCAGGGTCATCTAATCTTATTTTCTTTGTAAATAGTTTATGATCGCTGTGGCTACACTGCTTTTTGAATATGTTGCCGTTATTGTCTGTAAGGCAGCATCTGAACATTCGAGACACATTTGCAGCAATCATCTGGTTTGCCCTCCCTGTTTGAACTGTTCTCTCTGAACCCCCCCACAAACACTTACACACACATTAATACATTTACACACACACACACACACACACACACACACACACACACACACACACACACACACACACACACACCACACTCTACCCCTCCTCCCCTCGCTGTGTGATCCTACACTCTGCTCTCCCTCCTCTCCTCTCTGCTCTGGAGCAAGCAGTTGAGCTACTGGGGTGGTGTTGGTTTTATGTTTATCAGCTCATTCGTGAAAGGCAAGTTGGTGGGTATTTATACCTATTGTATTACTCAATAAAGAGAAAATAGATCCATTATCTTACTTCATGATCAAATTTATTTTGGTGAGTTTTTAAAAGGTACGCCAATAATTTGTATGTTTTGGTTTGTCCTTTGTTAATTTTCTTTTTTTTCGTTCATGTTGAATTCAAATGGATATTTTGGGCATACGTTGCTGGTTAATTGAATTAGCTTTTTGTAAAAGAACCCATTGACTTCCATTCAGTCCATTTTGTAAAGTAAAAAGTACATGAATTGAATACATTAACAGCTGGTAAATCCATATTTCTTTTAACCGTGCCAAAGAAAATGTGTGACTGAACACTTTTAGAGTCAGAACATAACTACGATAACAGGTACCATATTTCATTCAACATTTAAAAGATGCTTAAATTTATTTAAAAAGGGGTAATAAATCAGAATAGAGGCAGCTTCTCCAAACAGGCCTGATTCATAAAGCAGGATTAGAGTTGTAATAAACAGTCATAAAAAGATTATAGCCTACATTTAGCAACGTTGAAAGAATATTAAACTAATGCCTAAATTTGGAATTGAATGTACTGACATTGCTTTACGGTTATTTCTTTAAAAACATAGATATTTAATTTTGGTATTTTGTTGTTTTAAAAACAGAAGAAGCGGACACGGCAACCACAGTGATAACATGATGTCAGCGGGCATGTTGGAGCCCCCCTTAGCCAGCCTCCCTCAGCACACAGGGAAAGTGAGCGTCGAGAAGAAGGCGGGGATAAAACGGATTTCCAAGCCGCTCGACGGCTGCCGGTACTGTCAATCAAGTGTGCACGCTTTCCGATTGGCTGAGCACGCTTGCATTTATCGTGCCATCTCGTCAAGCTGCTGCTGTGTAATCGCAGGTAACTTTCTTAGGATAGCCTTCCGCTTGACGACATAGTGCTCGCCGCGCTCCTGCATCTTGAAGACCACAAAAACATTTCGAGACACTGTGCCTCGGGAATAGGTATTTCCACAATTTTAGCCATCGGAAGACGGTAACGCTGCGTTTTTCCCTCTTTAAAAACACCCAGTATCTCGAAGGCGTTTGAAATCGGACACCGCTGGCATTGAGGCCCTCAGTTTCGTGCGGAGGGATACGGTGTTGCGTCTGACAATGTGGACGGAGGTGGTGAAGATGTCTACGAGAAGAATGAAATCATCTCAGTTGTAACAACAAAAAAGGAAGACGTGAGATTAGTTACTATAATAGATTTGTTTGCACACAGACTTGTTACATTGAAGCAAACACGTGGGTGCTGCGTGAAAAAACAGGCTTTACCGGGACAAAAGGAAGACATCTACGGTGCTCCAATGCGTTTCATGCACTGAGGTCGAAATTCTCTTGAAGTTTTATGTTTTTCCCCTTGCGAGTCTCCGCTTTTCTTTTTACTCTTGGATATCAGACACTTGGCCAGGAGAGGTAAAAACACCGTCTTTTACTTCATGTTTTGGGGGAACTTGCATGAATTCGATGTGTTTCACTGTCCACCAATTCAGACGCCTGCAATTTTTGGAAAAGTTTTTCTGAATGTGTGGTTAAAGCGGGGGATGTTAAGTTTTTGTCTGGTTTGAGGGGGCGAGCCAAGTGTGTGATGGTCTCCGCATCGACCACGGAGAGGAGGAAATTACTCCTTTGTTCTGCAAAAAGACTCGACTTACCTTCAATGTTATTCCTGCCAAACTAGCCTCGTTTTGTTTTTCACCCTCACTCTCCGCTATTGCTAAAGCTAGTAGGAAAAAAAAAAGAAATATAAGCGTCGCGTAATGTTGGAGAGCATTTTAGCTAAAGTTTGCGTCGTGGGCCTATACGTGAATTTTCTATACAAGCCAGAAACTAACTTTACACAAATTCCCTTTTGAAGCCTTTTAAACATTCCTCTGTGGAAGTGTCTAGCCACCAGCTAGACTTTATTTTATTGCACATTTGGCAGGAAATTCCTCATGCTCCCACCCCCACCGTCGTCTCCTCTACACAACTCCCTCATAATGCAGGACTTGAACCCTAATGTGGAAGAAAGAGCTCCCTATTTGTTGCATAAAGTTTGGAGCATCGCTTTTGTTCTGCACTATTACCGCCATTGCAGCTCTTATACACACATGCTGTTTACTCACAACAAGTTACAACTACATGTGTTATTATTTTTTTAAATGTAGATGTTTAGGATGAAGTAGTTCAAAACAAATGGTGAATGGATTAGTTGTCAGTAGTAGCTTGGTCTTGAATGTGGCCCAGTGGAGGTGGTCAAATAGCGTAATGTAGAGGCTACACTCTTTGTTGCCGTGGATTACTGTCGTTATTTACGATCTTTTATCGTATTATTACCGTTTTACTCAAGAGTTACCCTCTTAGCTTTCCAGGACACACATAACCCACAGTTGAAAAAGCTTTTTGGACATAATCCTCTAACTTATGATGGCTATAGTTTTGTGCTTTGACATGTTTTCTTATTTTGGCTAAAAAAAGCACAAAAATAAACAATGATAAATAATGTTTTTATCATTTCAGCAACAGTTAGCCAACCCCGAGGTAATACCATGTTAAACAGGTTGAAGGAACTTAATTTGGTCCATTGTTTTCTTAGAAAGCAGTGGTCCAAACACAAGCCAAGGCCACACTGAGCGTGTTTGCTGTGCAGAGTTATTATGAAACACTAACTTTGTGGTACATAGCATCTGTTTAGCTTATTTCCTTGTGTGAAGGTTGACCTGCCTTCTCTCTGCCTTGTATGGGGTGACAAAGACCCCTAATCTGCTAGCTTCAAATATTGATCCAGCAGTAGCTGAAGATGCCATTTTGTTGCACTGAGCCCCTCCATGTGCTTTCCTCTTATTAACTTGGTAGTATTATAATTACAGCAACTCTGTGGCTGTTTTTAAGTGGCGTGTTTCTCTGATTTTGACCTAGATTGGACATCATAGTTAAAGTTTGGGAAAGCAGTGACAGCCCGAGTTATTTGCTTATTTACTCCGGGGGCAATGTGTTATGTGTTCACTTACTTTCTCTGGCTCAAGGTTGCATTAGTTCTGCTGACCTGAGGCTACTTAACCAGACTTGGAAATACACAGTTTGTCAATCTGAAAAGGGTATTTACATTCGCCAGACATATAGGAAATAAGCCCCTTCATTGTTATACATGTATGTTTTGCTTTTAAGTGGCTCTTCCTCCATCCTGTTTTCATTTTCAACATATTTGTAGTGATTTTTTTGTTTTAATTCTTCAACATACATTCCCTCTCAAACACTTTCTTGTGTTTATATTATATCAATGTATGGTAGTATGCTGTATGACAAAGAGGCTGTAAAAGCACACCACCTGTTGGTGTCTAAGTGCCTCTATTCCTCTGCTCACTACTAGTTCTCTGCGTGGCTCGCAGATCCTTCGCTCAGCATCGAGAGAGCGGCCTCAGGCTTGTGTTGGAATGCAAAACACAGGGTAAATCCAGTATTCATGCTCACTGTGTCATTTGACAAGGCTCTTTCTGAGTTGACATATGGTAATTTGGTAATGACATGTTTGCATACAGTCATTAGCTCTGCCTTTCACCCCTATTTCCTTGGGCTAACAATAGTCCCAATTATGTCTGTAATTGTAAATGTATTATGTTCTCTTTTATGTAGCAATGATCGACATATGGTAGTGTTATTTGCCAGGGTTGCGTTAAATGAAAGACAATTTTTTTCATTACTTGGTAGTGATTCAACTAAGGGCAGAGTATTCATCATTTCATGGCAGTGTCTCTTCTGTTTGGATGGGAAGGCAGTGCTTGGCTTACATTAGCATTTTTAATAGACCCAGCTAAAGTGTGTAGTGTTAAGTAGCCTGGTGTTTTCAGTTTTCCCCTCATCAGCCTGTATGTCAGCGAGGTAGTCATTTGAGCTGTATGTTTGGGCCAGCTGAGACTCAATAGACGGTCATTGATTTTTAGAGTAACTTCTTCGGGAGCCAACAGTAGAACTACACATCTAGATTATTTATTTTGATAGAAAATTCAGTTGAGATCAAAATTAGATGTATTGGTGATGAAATAAAAGTTTTGGATTTTAATGCAGACACAGCCCTGTCCTGGTTTTACATGATGGACCAAAAACTTTCCCAATAAGAACGATCTCCTGGGGTGGGTGATAGCAAAGGAAGCACAGTTAAATTCATTCATCACCTTGATCATCTTTATTTTTTTTCTCCTAAAAGCTATATGTTACTTTTTTGTGCTTGCTAGTGCCATTAAAATCCTGTATCTGCAAATTTCTCTCGTAGGGTTTATTAGAGACTGAAGGGTATGAGCGAACAGCAGCAAAGAATGGCTGCAGTGGGAACTGACAAGGAACTCAGCGACCTCCTGGATTTCAGCGCGGTAAGAGAGTGGGAGAGCAGTCTGGGTGGTTTCTTGGGGGGCAATGGGAGGAAGGGCCAAAGTGAGTGCGATACAGGTGTGGGTACGGGCAGAGGAGAGCTGCAAGTCTTAGCCAGAGTAGTGGGGAAGAGGGGGAGGGAAGGAAAAGCTTCAGAAATGTTAAAATCGTTCAAACATCAGGTTAGGTTAATTCAAGATATTTCCATCTGTTTTTCTTGGCATGCAGAAGGGGTGCTGATAACATGCACGTGAAATACCTAGGCTTGATGTTGACACGATTTTGATTCTTAAATATGGGGTGTTCACTTGTGTTGGTGTAGCAGTGGTACAAGAACATGGAGGTAGTTTGTTGATACAGTGAACTTGAATCCTCTAAAAAGTTAAAGAAATAATCAGGGTTGATTACAGGAATTTCCTCCAGTTTTGTCTCGTTAACACGATTTCAGGGCGCTGTTACATACGAGCTATGTTTGGTAAACTGCTTCAGCAGGTCCTTCTCCTTATATTTTCCCAGTTTTTAGCCTTTTATAAAGATATCCCAGTGAAATGTTTCACGAGGTTTCTTCCCGAAATACAAGTAGTGGATGAAAAAATGTTTTTTTTATGTTCCGCTTTTATTTATTTGTTTTCCTTTGAGTCAGGAGTTCTCTGTTAAGCTTTATATAAACGCCACATAACCCCAATTACACAGTTTGCCTTCAGAAGAACAAAATCGATGAAAAAAAGTCGATGAGGCTAAATTGCTAGCTCTGGCTAACTATTTTATATAAATCACAAAAGGTAATTCAGCAGTTTAACTTTTAAGCGCACACTATGTCTCCGTTGATGTCTCATAATCAACTAAGAGTTGATTAAAAACTGAATCTCGGTACCATTGCAACACTCTTTAATTATTTTTGATTACTTTTTTTAAAGGCATGATTCTATGATAATTGTGTTAGTTGGACTCTTCATTGTTAATGATCAATTTAGTCCTAATCTCTGCCGCACCATCAGTATTTAAAGGAAGCGTTTACCTCTGAAAGAAAACCAGCCCTCACTGTGAAGGGGGTTTTATGGGACGCTCTCATTAGACAGTTGGGTTGTGTTAAAAAAGCTCAGATTGATCAGCTGCCAATTTCTATCAGCAGATGTTCCATCTAAATCTGACATTGATAATTGGGTGAGAAACTGTCAAACAATGTACAAACATATTTCACTATCTCCGTTTAATTGCATGCTGGGTTGGACTGGGAATAAAGCAAGATAACAAATGTTTAAGACATTGCTAACCAAACCCAAGTGATCCAAAAATGGGGAACAAATCAGTTTTTGGACTGAATATTGTTCCCCTTAAAGAAAGGGAAATCATAAGCGCTTTTGTCACATAGTCTTATGGTGTCCTACTTAAAAAATCTGTGGTTTATGCTGCAGGTTTTTGCCACGTCACATAAAAAAAGCCAAGTTTGATTGTAAAAAAAAAAAAAAAACAATACTGATGGTTTTATTTTAACTTGTCCAAAAGGTATTTTGTCCAAATACTGTGTTTCTAGTAAAAACTACTCTGTTTTTTTTTTCTAATTGGAAAAATTTTAATTTTTGGTGAAATTTTTACTGAAATGAGTAAAAACCTCCATTACGTCCACATGTTTGTTTTTAGTGCTTTTTTATGCTTTGGGTGGTGGTATTATGTAGTTTGTGTCCGCCTCTGGACTGTTTCAACACTGAAATGTCTTAACGATGCGTCTCTTGTTTATTAGAGGAAATGGGAAGTGTGAAGTGTGCCGTTCTTCCCTAGTTAGTTACCATATCTTTTCCTCTTTTGTCTTGTAGATGTTTGCGCCTCCAGTTGCCAATGGGAAGAACAGAACAATGACACTCGCCAGCAGTCAGTTTGGTGGATCAGGTAAGCTTTTAAGCTGCATGTTAAAACACAAACTAACTAAAAATTCTTCTGGAGAGTAAATGCAGGTGACTGTTTATTTATTTGAGGAGTTTTTATTCTGTTTTTTCTTTTTAACCCAAGTAAGCATCATTGTTCAGCCTGCTCTCTGTGGCTTCTTGATTTGATTTGGAAATAAGTTTTATTTTAGTGTTATTTTCTTTTCCCATTTCCTCCCCCTTCAAGTATTTAAAGCGTAAAGATGCATAGTCAACCCCCTCAGCACCTGAAGCCTTTGAGTGGGCTCCTCTCTCTTCCTGAATGTTATTAGTTGGTCGTGTTACTTTCATTCCTCTGTCACCCTGCCAACCTGGCGTGTGAAATCGAGTCACACTCCCCAGTGTTCCCCAGAGTGAGAACTTGGCCACTGAGGAACAAAGGCAAAAAAGGGGCTTATGGACTTGAAACGACTCCCCCACCCTGAAGTGTAAAACACTCCTCCCCCAACACCGCACAGGGCTCTTACCCCCACTGATCTGCAGGAAATGGCTTGAGCCCGAGACAATGTCCCTCACCCCCAGCTTGCAGCCTCTTAAACCGGCGCAGCATGCAGTGAGTGGCCAGAGTGGAAGAGAGAGCTTGTTGAATAGAAGGATCAGCCCGAGGAAGGCAGGATTCTGTTTGTTTCTATTACAGCAGGCAATTACTAAACAGTGAGGAGTTAATTCCTTCTCCCCCCTCCTCATGCCCCCAAAGTGTGGCCCTCGGTCATTGACGCCCATTTTAATGTGATACTTCAAGCTGTCTGATTTAACTTTAGGAGATCTGTAGGTATCCTCCAATTGCACATGTAAGTCAACATGTCTGTCGTCTGTGAATTCCGGCTCAGGAGGCTCGGGTACATGTTTGGCAACTTATAAGAACAAATAATAAACAGAGGGGAGAAAGCTGAGACTGATTGCATGTACGAGGGGATCAATCTGGCGGTTGAATATTGGGTGTAAGTGATTATTTTTTAATGTGATGGCTGATTTTTATCAACAGCACCATCTTACAAAACTTGGCCAAGAAGATGGGTCATTATTAAATAATAAGGTGTGGCTCCAGCCCAGGAAACCTATTCATTCCACGCCATCATAAAATATGATGGCCATTAAAGAGCAGTGTCCATCTATGACGTCACATAGGGGGCTTGTATATCCAGGGATCCAGCAGCGCGGGAACAGCAGCGAGCAGCCTCACAGCCCACCAGACCACCTCTATTCATCAACACAAAAGTGCTCAGAGGGGTGCTAATTGCATTAGGCGTCCTTCTCCCTTCCTCAGTGGCCACAGTGCGTGTGTGGGGATGGGTGTGTCGGGTAGAGTGGAGGGGAGAGGATTGGCAAGAAGTGCGGGATGTTTGAGAAGTAGGGGAGGCAGAGTGTGACGGTGTGTGGTGGGAGCTGGCCAAACCCACAAGCCTTTAGGCAGGCGTCCCCTCTGTCACCTCTGCAGCTGCTGGCAACATCTCCAGCCCCCCCGCCACACACACCGAAAATCACACACACACAAATACACAGGACATGACAGGATCGCTTCCCTTAGATCACAACAAACAACACTGTGAATTTACACATGTGGTTACCCCGGGTAGCTAGCTTACAAGTGATGCATTTGGCTTTTGCACTCTCAGTCGTGTACCTGCACCCGCCTGCAATTTAATGTCAAGTATTACTCTTGTGCGTTGGCAGGTTGTAGTTGAAAAAAAATCGAAGTCCTCCAAAAAAAGAGGGATTCTCAAAGGAGAGTGGCTTTCCTCCTCAAATAAATTAGTTGTTTTCAGAGACCGCAGCCGTGAGAAGGCTTTGTGGCTTAGAAAATAAATATTTTTCCGGGTTCTGGTTGTGAGTCAGTGTTTGTCTTGCTTTGTGACTTTCACTTGAAGTAGACTCACACCAGCTAAAATCTGGATGGGTGCGATATATGTTTAAAGAATCCATTGTTTGATGACAACTAATGTCTCTGCAAATGTGTGTGTCTGATAAGTAAACAATACAGGAAATTGCTAATTTAATCTTTATTTTCCCTTGTTTCCTGGTCAGGCAGTTGAATGAATGTTTAGTTGTTGATCACTGACTTCACTTTGAAACTTGTGTCTTAAGTCTAGTTGTCTTTTGCGTGAAGATGGGATAGACTTTGGTGTTCGTTTTGTTTGCATGCATAAGCTCTTGTTTTTAAGTGCTCTGATGCCAATAAAAATATCGGATGTCCTGTCCTAATGGTACAGTTTCCCTTTGAATTCTTCCTACATCTGCTTTCAGCTTCAAAAAGCTACAAAAACATGGAAATGGTTCTTAACATATGTTAAGACTATAGAGCATTCATCAGGTTTTAATACCGTGGGAATCAGAATGATACCGTATCAAACTATAAAACCCAGACTTTTGAAACATTGGAAACCTCTTGTCTCTTTCTGCCCATGTGCACATCTAATGCATAATACTGCAGTTTTAAAAACACAAAGATACTTATCTGATACTGTAAATAACACAAAGGAGGCATGTATGAATGCTGAGCAGCAAAATTATCTCTTTTTTTCCCTCTTTCTATTTTTGTGCATGTTTCAGTGAATATAAAAGCCACTACCGGGCTACTGTAAAAAAAAAAAAACACAAAACTGCAATGATAATATAAGCTTGTGTGTAGTAAGTGATGAAACGAGGTTGAAAAAAAAAATCACAGATTTGGCAGGAGAATCTGCTGTGTCTCATGAAATTGGAAGTGTTTGGAGCCATTTTTAGGCAACAGGCAAAGTGTTAGTATAAAACAAAGTAGTGAAATATTTTACTGGTCGGGATAATTGAAGTAGAAGTACATAACTGATCCACTTCAAATTCAAATCATCTTTTGTACAAGAGCAACACCTTTGGTCTAAAAAAGTTCTCAGATTCATTCGACCTCTATTAGATATTCTTTTACAGTATGTGAACCGTCGTGGATCATTCTGAGATAAGACTTAATTTGGGTGACTTTGGGTTTCTGGCAGTCTGTGTTCAAAATTGGATGCGACAGGAGACTCACAACAACAAAGAAAGACCTCTCTTCAGGCAGTCAGGCTCTCCTAGGCTGGCTGAGCGTCAGTGTCACCTCAGCAGCTCTCCACCTTGTTTTAATTGCCTCCGAGTTAATTACTCCAGTAAGTGTGAAACAATGTTGTCAGACTTCTCCTGCACAGCCGTGCTTTCACGCTATCCTCCGCACCCCTGCTGGCCAAATGGAGGCTTCATAGGTGGATGAGTTGTGTGTTGAAAAAAGCTGTGAAGATTATGAAGTTACTCTGTTGGTCTGCTCCAACTATTGTGGACAGTGATAATGTGTAATGTTGCGGGTAACCTGTTATAAGCTTTTTGTAAATTGGAAAATAGTTGTATTTTAGATATTTAGTTTGGCTAGAAGGAGAGCAGTTTTTGATTAAACATGTGGATTTATTTCTAGTCTGTATCTGACAACTCCAAAGTATTGTATATCACCAGTCTGATATCGCTTTTGTTTGCGTAAAGGTGTGGGGGAAGCATCTTCATCCTAGGTCTGTCATCTTTATTTAGCAGTGAACCTGTCACTGGAGTCCTGTGCCATTAGACATGGTTGACGCTGGTGCGGCGTTTTATTGGTGTTGTGGCCTTTCAGAGAGGCTGATCTGACAGTGAGCGAGGCTGATCTTTTGAGGTCCCCTCTCCTCCCTGCTCCCCTGATTCTCCATGCCACTGGCATCAGCCCCATAGATCACGGCTGTCCCACCGTGTGTAGGTACTTGCACCGCTCTGTTAGTCTCATCACTCATTCTCACTCGTCAGCCAGTCGGCTGATCTCGCCCAGACCCTCTCACGCTGCCTTTCCCCTTGTTCCTCCCCCTCTCTCTCTTTCTCTCTCTCTCTCTCTCTCTTGTCCCCTTGCTTTCTCCTTCCACCCGTTCACTCTCTTTTGCCTTCTCACACACATTTTTTTAATTAGGCAAAAATCAAAGACGAAATATGAATATTCATAAGGCAAGCACATTAATATGCACAATTATGCAAATCAGCATGCAATTAAGGCTTGTGTCTCCAGAGAGCCCGGGTAGCATTAGTGCATAAGACAGGGAGAAGGGGATGATGGGGGTATTTTGGAGTTTTCTGCTCCACCAGTCTTTTGACTGTGTTTTTCCTTTGTGCCAGATATTGATTCTCTCTTTACTTTAAACATCGTGCTGCATGTTTTGGCTGTACATATTGTGTTTTGTGCTACTTCAGGTGTTCGTATGTGTCAAATTGACTGTGTGTAAATTTGATGTGGTTTAGATAACATTTTATCATCTTGAATTACATTAGGGATTAGTGGGTTAATTTTATGCCATTCAGTGACCGTATCGAACACTAATGGGAACACTGAGACGTATTTCCATTTTTTTCCATCAAGATGTATGACATCTAGAATATGAAAGTATCATTTTTATCCAATCAATATAGATGCTCGTAACTGTAAAGCCCATTTTGCCACTTAAGAACATTAAATCTTTAGAGTAAGATAATAGTAAAAGGTTCCTTTGATATGAGGCTCACATTAGAGCGTTTTTTCAGTATCATCAGAATTTTTCACATTTAAACACCATCTATGGGATTGGTACGGTTCCACCTGCTTTACGATTCCTTTATCTCTGCCCCAGACTAACTGAATGGTCTCCTGACCTACCTGTCAGCATTAACCATATGTCTGTCCACAGCAATAGATGAGCGCACCGGCTCGGGGTCTTGGGGCTCAGCAGAACAGAACAGCCCCTCTTTCAGCCAAGGACGGGTAAGATCTGAGCACACACTCGCACTCTTAAGTAGCACATGAGTTTAAGTTTGGAGATCTTAGCATTAACACCAGATGCCATGATATTGTCACACACTTGCACATGTTCAGTTAATCACTCCGCCATAGACGAACACACGCACACCCTCTCCCCCCTACCAGCGAAACAGCTTAGTACTTTTTCATGCCGCGTGCCATGTTTGATTTGAAGTGGTAGTTTTACTTTCTACCTAATAACCTTGGCTCAGGATCCGGCGTTGGCAAGCTCTCTGGTAGCCCAGAATCTCTGTGGAAGCCCACCGGTAATTGCGGCTTCACATCCGCTGTAAATGTCTTGGCACAACACAGTGTAAATACAAGGAACAGGGGGTGAAAAAGATGCAGCAGGCTTTGATTACCACAAGTTGATAATTAAGAAAGTCAGTCTGAATCCCCGGAGCTGATGCAGATTTGTTTGGCATGGATCCTGTTATACAGAAAAACAGAGGGAGGGTAACCGCTAAGGCATATAGGTGTGCCAGCAAGAGAGGGACGGACGTAAAGGGTGGTTATCAATAAGTTCTGTGGGTGTGGAAGAGTTTGTCCACATTAAGTCTCTGGATGTCTTATCGAAACTTTTTTTTTTTTCCAAGTTTCTCATGTTGTTTTGTGTTCATCATTGTTCCCACAGGGCTATGCTGAAGGATCCCACTTCAGTGAGCATGAAAACTTGTCCTCTCCATTCATCAGTTCAGGTATCCCAGGTATGTTTGTTTTCATAGTTTTCTTGTTTTAAATAACCTCCTCATATGTGATCTTGAAGAAAACATTTAATCATCAGGTTAAAAATTATTGTAAACGTCCTCCTCAGTCTCAGGGAAACCATTGTCCACTCCGGTTTTCAAAAAAGCCGCAGTCATACTGTCTGTTCCGACTCTTGTATGTACTTATGCACGATTGTTTTCTCAGAGATAAAATGTGTATATCTCTACATGCATGTATGTGCGTGTGTGTGTTCATTCGTTGAGTGTTGGGAATGTGAGGGCAGCGGAGCAGAAACTTTCCCCAGGGTTTCGTCTGGCAGGCGGCTTTATGCATCTGAGCGTACTGAAAAAATGGGAGGGCATCTCTGGACTTTTTGTACTTTCAAAAACCCACTTGTCATTTGTTTAGCACACACCGTTACCTCTTATATCTCATGGTTTACTTGCATTACATTTAAACAAGCTTCCCTTTAATCTCGCAGGTAAAACTGAGAGGTCACCATACCAGCCCTTTGGAAGCCAGGTATGTTGCTATTGGGCTTATAAGCTCCCGACAGGGTTATGTGTTTGTATTTCTGTGTGTATTTAGAGGAAACCCTGTTTTCTCACTTCTCTTTTCACATGAAATATTTTGAATGATCTTTGTTCACTGCTCTCCCACATCCCTTCATGTACTGCTTATAAAACCATGTTTTCATATCTTCTCTTTCTAGCCTGGTTTTCTTCCTACTGACATAGCGATGCCCAGCCCTGATGCCATGTCCCCCTCTGGCTTGAAGTCAGGCTCTCAGTTTTATCCATCATACCCCAACAACCCCAGGAGAAGGCCGCCTGAAGGAAGTATAGGTGAGTAAAATGCCTGTTTTATTTCCCCCAGCAGATTAACTTGTGCTAAAACAAACAGTTGTCAATCAGGTAAATCTGATGGATGTCGAGGTCTGTCATTTCTCACAGAATAGAACAAAACTGTACGATAATTTTAAAGCCCAGAGCAAATTCTTAATATTTGTCAAGTCTCTTGATTTAAGTCACATCAGCACTTAATCCATCGTACTAATTTAAACACTATAAAACATCAAATGCTGACACTGATATACAGACTTGAAGAAGATATGTTGTCAGAAAAATTGTTGGATAACTGTTTTACAGGATTCCTACTCAGTTGGAATTTCCATACTTTTCCATACCCTGCTTTTTAGAATTTATTTTTGGAAATACCTACTTTTCTATTTTAGAAAACAGTATTTTTCTTACTGTGGTAAAAGTCTGGAAACCTAAATATTTTTCTATACTTTATTTTTCATTTTCCATAATTTTAAGACCTGGAAATTGATCAAATTACTTCATACTTTCCATACTTGCATAGGAACCCTGGTGGTTTTAGCATAATCCTCATTTTCTATTTCTTTCTACTGTTAACGGAACTTCAACAGCCAACGATCTCAAAGGGTTACTGATATGAAAGCAAACAAGGCTGAGATGGTTTTCTGCAGCGTCTTTTAGTCTTTTGTTTTGTTTCTCACCGAGCACATGGAGGAATTGCACCTGAACTGATTTAACATCAACATATGTGTGCTGATTTGTATTTTTCTCTCTCACCTTTTCTCTCCGTCTCTGTCTCCCCTGAATGTAGAAACCCAGCCAAAGAAGATTCGGAAACCCCCTGGCCTGCCATCCTCGGTGAGAGCTTATTTCTGCTCGCCTTCACAGCTCAAAGCCAGTCCTTTCTCTCTCTTTTTCTCTCTCGCTCTCTCTCTCTCTCTCTCTCTCTCTCTCTCTCTCCTGACACACTTTCCACACATGAAAAACACATACACACTACATGTAGACACAGCTACCCTCCTCTCTGCTTGAGCAGTTCTGTGACAGACAGGGGTAAAGACCCTCTGCTCAGTCAGACTATGTGAATTGACAGTCAGGCAACTCAGGCCCCGATAAACATCATCACTGTGGTTGTCTTTACACTACACTCAAGTGGTTTGAAGTGGCGTTCGGGGTCTGGTTGTCATGTAGACAAGCAATTTTGTCGGATTTTGAGGTACTTTGTCAAGTTTGTTAAGTTACCTTCTTCAGTGGCCAAATATGTCCTCTGACTGCTTGAGGAGACTGGTTCTGGATTTGAGTTGAAAGGGCATGTATGTGTGTTTATGTAGTTGTCCAAGAAGGTTTAAGTCGAGTTGCTAATTTGGATTTGGTTCAGAGTTCATAAAAATGGACCATAATTTGTAAATTTTAGGGTTTTGTTCTTCTTTTGCTGGATTTTGGCATCATAGAAACTTTTCAGGAAGCTACAGATAGATTCTTGATTTGCTTTTAAGCTTTAGTTTCTCCTTGTGGAATATTAATCAAATAGTTCCTGAATACATTTCGTGGTTAGTATTTTTTTTCAAGTATAACAATAGTTGGGTTTTGATACGGGTACATCCAGCATCGAATGTGCTCTACGGAGTGCAATTAAACCCCAATCCTGCGCCAAAGCAGTCTGAAGTGTCATATAGAGCTTTGATTTACTGTACCAAGTGTCACATCTTGTCAGTGGGCCCAGAATTCCCAGCAGCTGATGTAGCTGATGTCTGCGTGGATGATGGCAACCACACATAGCTGGAAACACAAGTCATCGTTGCATGCTTGATAGTTACTGAATGAATTGCACTGTTAGTTTAAACTGACTGGACAGCAACTTGACACACAGCTCTGATGTGTACTTTTCATTTTTTGATTCGAGCCTGTGCGGTTCATTCATAATTGTTGCTTCTATTTTCAGTTCTTGTAGTTCATAGATGTGTCAAAGGTCATTTATGTAGTTTTAATCTGTTTTATAGTCGATTCAGTGTTGCATTTCCACACTAGTCAAGTCACTACTTTTCATATTTTATAGGCTAGTAAAGAGACTTTTAATTCCTCGTGGTTTAAACTGACGGATTCAAAGACAGAGAACATGATGTATCAGGTTCGAGGAGCCAGACTGGGTTGTTGAGTGGCGTCACTGTTGGTATCAAAGCCCAATCTCGCTGCTTGAGCTGCCTTTGGATCATCAATATGAAATACTGCCAGTACACAAACATTTTCTGTAACCCAGTCCTCACGCTACTGTAGTTCTCGGATGACGAGAGTGACCTCAAGCATGAACTGGATTGGGTACCTTTTACGTCAGCTCACTACTGGCATCTGTGTTTCAGCACGACACCTTGCAGCAGCACAATGACTTCACAAGCGTAGAAGATCAAGAGCAGGATTTATTTTCCAGTTTTTGTCGACATTGAGAGTGTGGGGACTAAATAGTGTGAAATTTTTGCATTTGTGTAAATGCTTTGTTTTGATATTTTTGAGTCAAATGTCGATTGACTGTGCCAATACTTGTTCAACATAAGGATAAAGTTAAATTTAAAGAATTAATATGGTTGACTAGGTTGGAATCACAGAGCCAGGGATGCGGCAGGAAAGGAAGTTGAGCGTAACAAGTGTTGTGTTGCCGTCTGAAACTCTCCCGGTTTGAGTTAAAATGTTGTAACAGATGCAGCTTCTGTAGCAGCTGCATCGATAAGGCTTGTTTTTATCGGATTGTCTAACAGTTAGGAGGCAGATCAGAGTTGGACCTGCTGAAGTTGCTGCTTAGTTTATTTTCTTGATCTCTTCGTCACAGGAGTGAAGCGATGTGTTTTTTAAGACATCTGTGCTGTCCTCCTCCTCGTGTTGGTGTTGTGAAACCTCTGCGTGCAGACACACTCCACCACGGTGACTACATCACAGAGTTTTGAGTGTGGACGCTCTGTCTGGTGGAGGCCCCCCTGCTTCACTTTTTGAACCTCAGCGTCTCCCGCACTGTAAACGACGGCCGCGTGGTTTCGGTGCGAACGATGACATGTTTGTGTGCGCGTGAACCCCCCTCCCCCCACTTCGCCCAGGCCTCCGCCTACGCCTCACCACATGATGGCCTGGGTGGGCCTCCCCCTGTGAGTGACCCAGTTGTGAGGTGCAGTGCTTGCAGGCCTCTTAGCCCAGTGTCTGAGCCCAGATTAATGACTGACGATGATGATGATGATTCTGTGGTCTTTCCCTCCTCCCACACTCCCACCCTCCCTCTCTACCCTTTTGACAATTTGTCTATTTCCTCTTGTCTACGTCCTAAACTTAAAAAATGTTGCTGAAAACCAGTGACTGGACAGGTTTGAGCTTCACCTAGGATGTCATTTGTCATCCCTTCATGCTCCTAGACTTCCTCAACCTGCACACCAGACCCTCGCCTTAACCTTGTGAACCGTCACCTCCTGTCACCTGTAACAATCATTCAGCACGGAGAAATTTCTCTCCTGCCCTCTAGTTGTCCAGTCGACTGATAACAACACTTGAGTGGGTGAACAAATCAGTTTTGAGGTTTGTTTGATGTTAATCTTTGTCCACTCCCCACCCTTGGGTTCATGTTTTCTTTCTGTGCACGGACCTTCTTTCGCGCGGTCATGACCCGAATCACTTTAAACTCTTATTGGTGACGGATCTTAACCCAGAAATCCCTTTACTTTCTGAGAATACAATCATCCAGCAGCACTAGTGGTTGTGTAATTTCCAGTTCCCATCCAAAACAGCAGGATTCACTCGACATTGTTCCCCGTGAAAGAACAACTCAAAGCCCATTGTTAAATGAAGCCATCTCCGTCATGTTTTCCCCCGAATTAAGCGTGATCATTTTAAATCCCCTGTTTCCTTCACACTCCCCTGGCCATATCAAGCTTTGTTTAAGTCATTTAGATTACCTTCTCCTGTCCCCCCTCAACACCCCTTATCTCGCTACCCATTTCATAAATCATCAGGGCCTTCATTTTTTTTTTCCTCCCTATCCTCCCCCCTGCCCCTTTACCATCCCCTACCCACTGCAATAACTCTCTCTCTCTCTCTCCCTCTCTTTCTCCCTCTCTCTCTCTCGCTTGCTGACTGGATCCCAGCCCCCATCTCTCTCCCTCTCTTCGCTCCCTCTCCCCAGCCCAGCTGCCTGTGGAGTTGGATGTGGTCCAGGAACAGGCAGATGGCTCTGTAATTAGAAGTGCATCTCTCCATTCCCTTTCCACTTCTCCCTGTTAAATCAAATTACAGAAAAAATCCCTTCTCTGGATTAGCATTCTTTGCAGCATAGCCTCCGTTCTCTTCCTCTCTTCCTCTCTCTGTGCTGTGTACTACAGTGAGAGGAGGAATAGATAGACTGAGTGGTGGCTGACGGTGTGGGGGGAACCAAGGGCTTCTCATGTCCATCTTCAGTTTGAGGCTTTGGAGGGAAGAGATATGTGTCACTTAAGGCAATGACATTTGTTCGCTTGATGTGGAATGATGTGTGATTGGACTCTTAAAAAGGAGCTGATTACAAAACGTCCAATTTCATCAAAGCGGCTTATTCTCATATTTTCTCTGATCAGTCCTCTGTTGATACCACAAACAGTGTGATAGTGTCAGTTTAAGGGTTTTGCTGGCATAGTGCTCATGGGTGTGTGTGTGTGTGTGTGTATGTGTTGGCTCACTGAATGCATGGTATGTGTGTGAGTGGATAGTGAGTGTGTTATAGGGAGGGGCTGCAGGCCAGGCAGTGCGATGTCACCGGGGTCCTGGGAGCTAGAGGAAGTGCTCACTGTGCGCTGGGATTCAAGCCGTCGCTGTGCCCAGCATGGCATGGCCGCTGTGTTCTCCTCCACAGGCGAGGAGCCGACCTGCCTCTACAGCCGGCAGACTCCCTTTTGCCATCTTGTGGCTGCTTGAAGCTAGTGTAATTAGAGGATTCCTGAAAGCCAATCAAAGAAAGATGGCTCAATACTTGTGCTCACAGAGCGCTTAGAGCTGCGCATCTAATGTCCGTGTTTAAGGATGGTCAGTGAGGATATCACTGCTAACTGCTCACTGTCTGCACCTTTTTTTAGGTGTACGCCTCCACATCTGGCGATGAGTATTCCCGGGACAACGGAGGGTATCCCGGTGCAAAGCCTGGAGCTGTCTACCCTGGCTCATTCTATATGCAGGGTAACAATTCACATATTATTACTAAAATTACTTTGTTTTTTCACTCTGTGGGTGATGATTGTATTCTAATACGTGTCTCTGCTCTTCTCAGAAGACCCCTGGTCATCTTCTGGCTATTCGGCCATGCTGGGAAACTCTCCTCACATTGGACAGCCAGGATCCTTCTCTGCAATTAACCCACAGGACAGGATGGTGAGTTTGAACAACTTTCAAGTTCAATTTTTGCTTTGTAGTTTTGTGGTTAACATTAGAGGATCTTTTACATAAAGGGCCAACATCCCGCATCAGCTTATTTCAAGTCAGATGCGTGAATCAGATAGTTTACTAAGTTTCACATAAAGTTCAAAAGTAAAACCAAAAAATATTAAACAGCAAAGTCACATTGCTTGAAATTTCCTGTGACGGGATAATGTTCCTTATAAAAGTACTTGTATCCCTTCTCCAGAAGCGTCAACCCCTGCCTCTGTCCCCACAGAACTATCCCCTGCATGGCAGCGATGTCAATGGCTTCCACTCGGCCTCCACCACCTACAACCACGCACCCACCATCAATGGAGAGGGAATCATGGGTATGAGACTCTTGAGATTAACTTATCAAACAAATATCGTGATCGCATCTGTGAACTTTCATTTAAGTCATGAAGTGATTCTTTTCTTCAGAAACAAATGAACAGGTCACATGAATCACACTATTTATTTTGTTCTCAGCAGCCAGCAGAGGCACCACAGCTGGCAGTTCAGGAGATGAAATTGGGAAGGCTCTTGCCTCAGTGAGTTATTTACTATTGGTTGTTTTTTTGAGATTAGTGATGGGCAATAAAACGGACTTTTATTTTCCCAAGGGTTTTATTTTCACTTAACAGAATTAAAATCTGATCTAGGACAGTTTGGCTGAGCAAACAAAAAGTCGCAAATAAAAACCAAGCATGGTGACTTGAAAAAACATGATTCTTTTCGGCTTTAGCCTCATTTCAGTAGCTCGTGTTTTTGTTGGAAGTAGAAGATATTTCTTTTCTTAAAATGTGCAGAAGTCACCAGCCAATAAGGGCAAATCTATGAAGTATAAGAACCTGATTATTTCCAAGAACTGTTGTAATAAGTGCCTAATCTGAGGATTTCTTGATCCTTAGATTTACCCATCGGACCACAACAGTAATAATTTCTCCTCCGCTCCATCTACTCCCGGATCCCCTCAGGCTATTGCAGGTAACATGAACTTCCATCAAACATAACAATCATTCCTATATTTGTGATGCAGAGGACTTTAAATCCAGTAGGTATAGACCCCTTGTTATTGTTTTTTTAAGATTGTAAATGTGCAATTCTACCAAAATGGAAAAATCCGCCTTTTCGTTAATCCATGATTAATCTCTCACAAAAACTTGTCTCTAGCTGTGGTTGGGTACCACCTTACTTTCCAATCAGTTTACTGTTGGGCTGACAGTAGAGAAAGTTCTCCAATCAGAACATTCGTACTCTGAGTTCAGGTGGTTTTATTCTGTGCTTTAATCTCACTCATACAACCACAAAGTCGGGTTAAGATTTCAATCTCAGGCTCAGAAAAACTCCATCAGTCCAAAATAAGAACTTATTTTGTTTGATTGCAACCTCGTCTCTGGGCACATCAAAATGAATTAGTTGAAATTGTTGGAGCAAAAACTGTTTCTGTCCATGTTTGATGTTTTCAAGCAAAGAAATGTATCTGCAGCTCTGTTTACTATAAGTTTAAGCTTGACATCCTCGTTATATCCTCTTATTTCTCTCAACAGGAGCTCAGTCTCAGTGGCAGAGACCCACCACACCCAGCTATGAAGGGCAACCACATGCACTGGTACGACCTACATCATTTTAGATGTTCAAAGTTAGATTTCTCCACATCTTATTAAAATGTTTAAATTAAAGGAAAATAATCACTGAAGTCACTTTATTTCTCTAGCAAAGTAAAATGGAGGACCGTTTGGAGGAGGCCATCCATGTACTGCGTAGCCATGCTGTGGGTCAGGGTCCAGGCTTGGAGGGCGCCCACTCCGACATGCACAGCCTGCTGTCCTCAGTACACAATGGGGGCCTCGGGGCCCTCTCTCCAGCTTTCCCCAATGCCAGCCTTGCACTCAGCAACAGACATCCTGCTATGGTGAGTCACTTACCCTGCGCGGACTGTGTTTCACGCATGCTTGTTTAACCGTGGGTGACAGCAATATGGAGAGAACTTAGGTGTTAATTTATATTCTAGTGAGCTTTGCTTTATATATTATCTCTTATCATGTGTTGGAACTTTCTTGGAAAACTATAAATCATTGCAGCAATGGGTGTATTCTCTGATATTCTTAATATCATCATTGTGTATTTCACAGTTTAGATATAGGAACTACACATACATAACAATATCACAAAACCTTTCAAACAAGACAATAAAGTGGATTTAAACGTAATGAGTTGAGGCTAGCTACATTTCTTTAACATTTTATTTGTATGACTAACTTCAGGGGAAAATAAACACACAAACAGTATGACCACTTCAAGGTGAAAACTGAATCATGCTCTCTCTGCTGGTCAAAAAGTGGAAGTGCATCTGCTGTAAATTGATAGTATTTTTATTACTCATAAAAATGGGTCATATTTTAAGAAAATCCACTACAGGTGTAGAGGTATCGCAGGTAAGTCTTTGTCTGGGACTCTTTGTTTAGGTTTGGATTCTGTTAGAGAAATCTTTGAGCTTCTTTTATGATGGAGGTGTTTTATTATATCTGAACTCATGTGATTTGCATTATGGTTCTCCACCTTTATCAGCAGGGAGGGAAACACGAGGAGCCCACTGGTCTTCCTCCAAGCAGCACTCTGCTGCACGGTCATCACGCATCTGGACCCACACCGTCAGGACAACCAGAGGGCTATACCAGTAAGTCTGATAAGACCTCTGAACCAGAAAAAGACTGTCTGCACTCTCAAATGATGTCTCTGTCAGATTTAGCTTTTCACTCTCTGTACCAGAGGCTTTAATTCTATATGTAACACGATCCTCCCATGTGTTTGTTTGTCCTTAGATCTCCCTGGTGGTGTGGCTCGCTCTACACACTCCTCCAGCAGCTCAGACATCAAAAGGGAAGACAGAGAGGATGATGAGAACTCGTCTATTGCGGACAAATCAGATGATGAAAAGAAGGAGTCCAAGGCAGCACGAAGTCGAATAAGGTAAGGCTACCTTAACTATGTTTTCAGACTCGCTTTTAAAGCTAACTACATAAAACTTGTTTTGTTAATTCCGTTTAATTTGTCCCACTAAGGTGGATATTTTCTGAACACTTCTACCAAATATAAAAATCTAAGTGAACCCATTTGCTGCATGTTCCCACATGTCAGCTGTAAAATAATCCTGCTTTAGAAGAAAATGTTATTCATGTTAGTCTCCTTTGTCCTGTGTCCCCTCTGATTCGAGACGATGTTAGGTATTTAACAATGTTAAAACCCCCCTTCCCTTCATGTCACGTTTTCAGAAAGGAGGCGTTGACCCTCCAGATGCTCTCTGGCCTTTCAGACCAGAAAGATGAGTAAGTTTCTCCAAAAGAGGACCAGTTTCTTGTGCTTTGTGGGCTCGTTCTGAATACATGTTGATGCAGCGGGGCTCACTGAAAGCGCATTTTCAATGGAGCTTAAATCTCACTGTGGGAATTTTATTTAAACTTTGACCTGTGAACTTTTTTTGCTTCAGAATTTTGAATTTTAGAGAAAACATTTTTTTTAACAAAACAATACATTTGGAAACCATGATATTTTAAAAAATCAGCTGCAAGGCTGAGGCTGTACTATGATATGCCTTCCCCCTTGAATAACACAAATGATGCGCACACACAGCTCTGTACTTTTTCAAAAGTGAAAAAATCTTGTTTTGTTTTATGTGATCGTCTAAACTGAGAATTGCCACTTTGATTTTAGCATTCATTTTTCTATGCTTTGAATTTAATACAGATAAGATGCATGCAATGTGTGTCAACTTTAACTTTAATGTTCAATTTTTAGTTGCTAAATACCAGCCATAATGTAGCACAAACTCTCTTATATCTGATTGTATTAAACATTTCCTGTTTGTTTATAACCAGTCCAGAGGAAGATGATGAAGATCTGCCCCCTGAGGTGAAGATGGAGCGTGAAAGGGAACGGCGAGTGGCTAACAATGCCCGAGAGCGTCTCAGAGTACGGGATATCAACGAGGCATTTAAGGAGCTCGGGAGGATGTGCCAGCTGCACCTCAGCCATGACAAACCTCAGACCAAACTTCTCATCCTGCACCAAGCCGTCAATGTCATCCTCAATTTAGAACAACAAGTCAGAGGTCAGTGTGCAGCACATCAGAGGCTGTTGTGTTCAGCGATGTTGTGGCTAAATCTACAGTTTGTCATTCTTTTATACTGAGCTTGCTCTTTTCATTTTCCCTTTTTCAGAGCGTAATCTTAACCCCAAGGCAGCATGTTTAAAACGCCGCGAGGAGGAGAAGGTGTCTGGGGTGGTGGGTGAAGCCCCCATGCAGCTCTCAGGAGGCCATCCTAGTATGGGAGGGGATGGCCACAACCCAGTTGGCCACATGTAACACCAGGTCAGCCTTCAACATTAACTACTAAATCATTTCTTTAGGGTATTGCTCTGGTTTTGATTTAGGTTTTGTTTTTGTAACAGCAGCTACAATGAAAGTAATGATCCAGTTTGTAAAAATTAGATGTTGTATTAACCCTAATATTTTATTCATATCTCTATAATTTATAAAATAGTAAAACATATGTTTGTGATCCTTCTCACAGATCTGGTGGTGTTTCCTTGGCTGTCAGAGGATGTGGCCTTAACAGATTTCTTCCACCCATTATTCTCAGTGTGTGTGTGTATATGTGGACATGTCTGTGTATTGTCCGTTCAAGTTTCAAGGTGCACATTCACACACTCGTACACACATGCATACTGCCAAAACTGACACAGCCTGTTTGTCGCACTCCCAAACATGACTACAAGCTCAAATGTGAAGAACTTTTTTTAAGTTTTGCTTTATTTTATACATGTAAGGATTTTTTTTTTCCTCTCGGTTTCCACAAGATGACGGAAACCGGAGTACTTTTTGTCCTGCCACTAATTGGGACTTCACACACTGCCGAGAGGTGCTCTTGTGAAAGAAAAGAGACCTAAACAAACACAAATTGAATCAAGGATTTGTGCCTAATTGTTACATGTTTTCTATTTGACATTTAAGCAAATTGCTTTACATGTGAGGAACATTTATTGTGAGGGATTGCTTATGTGTATGAGCAATTATTTTCTAATGTATGTCATTCCCAGCGTGATGGTACAGTCTTACATATGTTATGTAACCAAGCCCATAGTTGAAGTTGAATTGTCTAAATTCAGTGACCTTGCCTTGATCTTGTCAGCAGATGTTTGAGGAAGGTGAAATTTTTGACAGTCCAAAAGCAGCTTAAGAGAGGAGGGAACTCAGACTCTGACCGAAGACCTGGTCTTATCCCACAATGCGTCTGGAGACCCGGGAAGAGAAGTTCTCTTTTATTTTTAAGCTTCTGAATTATCCAAGTGGAGTCTGCCAGCGGCAAAACAGTTCTCCTTTTTATGTTGACCACAAATTTCAGACCCACTCCAGTAAGCCCCCTGTCATAGGTTCAGAGTTTTGTACTGCTTTATGTGTTAGAGCAGACAGGGTCAGGACAAAGCACAGACGTAAAGGTTTAATCTGGAAGTCAAGTGTTGATCTGTTGTGCATTTCAGCTCCTGAGAGTCGTGTTCAAAAGCCATTCGTGACACTCGCTAAGTGATCAGCACCACTTAGTGCTTTTACTTACTTGAAATGGTTTTTCTGATGATGCCAGCAGACTACAGCGTAACTTTTCTCCCTCTATGGATCTTCAGTTATCCAGAAAACTCTGGGCTCCTTTTTGATGAAGGGATCTCATCAGTCCACAGTTGTTCAAAGCAGACAAGCCTTTGTTTGACGAAGGCTTTATTTTCCTAAACGAGCATTCCCACTGAATTACAGCCCCTCACCTTCCTTCTGAGTAAGTCTGTTCTCACGTTTCTTACCAAGAGAAGTGTGACGTGTAAATTCACTTCATACGTTACTCTGATATGTTTCATTTTTCAAAATTAAATATATATAAAAATATATATTTTTTGTTAGTCTATACATTGTAGATTTTTTACATAAATGGCAATATTAGTTTGAAGCTTAGAGTGTATTGTAGATGAGCTGAATAAGGGGATATTTGACATTTAAATGAAATTGTTAAAAGTTAATTCAAAATTGAACCAGAATTGCAGAGTACCTGTGTCATCATATGAAAAAGGAAAATGTTGAAAGTGTTTGGTGTATTCTTGATTCCACTTTAGTTGTAATGCTTGTCATCGGCTACCCAGATTAATTGTTTTCTATTCATTTGGGGGTTTGTGGATGATATTTGTGCCACGGGCCTGTTGAATTGTTCTTACTTTAGCGGTGAGGCACTGAGGAAAAATGTGGAAAGGGATTTTTGTCTCTAACAGTGATATGCAACTGGTTTTTGAATGTAGCTACCATACAAATGTGGATCACCTTCATTTTCAAAGTTGTGTTCCTGGTTTCTTTTCAGTACAGTTTTAATAGTTTTCATTTCACCTTTTTCTAATGTCTGCCCAAAACCAAGTGGCTCTCAGTGTGCAGCTCACTTTGTAGAAGCCTGCACATTTATTTTGGAGGTAGGCATTGGTATTTGGGTGTAAGTTAATGGACAATAAGGAGAACAAAACAGTATTATTGTGATGTTATTCCCATGTCATGTCATGTTGTGAATGGAGTTACCCAACATGTAATCACAAATGGGAGGTAGAGCATTTTTGTGTTTAATTTCTACAAAAAAAGAGATGAAGAAAAAGACCTATACAAATCAATAGTGTGGCCTTTTCATTCTCAAGACTTAACATGATGGGAGAGTGATACCTTATCAGTGCCTGAACTTGTATTTTTCATTTAAGACAGTTTTATTTTGTGAACCATATCATTTCATTTCTCATGGAGATTAAAGAGGTACTTGTTCATTCCCCAACCCTACCTTCTCCTAATGCTTTTTTCAATTTTCAGGAAGAAGTTAAAATGGTATAAAGAGATTTTCTCTCAGTGTATCTAGTTAAATAAATAAATGTTACATAGATCTTGTTAAGTTTTTACTCTTTGTTTCCTAACTTTTCAACTGGATTATGTTGTCCAAACTGCTGTTTTAGTTAAGGTCATGGGTCCAGGTAATGAGTTTTCTCTCTAGTCAACCTTAATTGCAAAACAGTTGACATTACTGGGTTCAAGAGATACTGCTTTTGACTCTGGTTGTCTGCTTTCGATGCACATTAACATGTTTCAGTGTATATGTTGCTTCAGTTTCAACATAGGGAGTGAGTTTTCTATCCTCTGTCATAGCTGGAGCCTCTAACAACTTGGAGTATTTTACATTTCTATATATCGGAGTGCAAGCCTATTGCTGCAGTGACTTCCAGTTTACTGCGTCTCCAATGACGACTTTCAACTCTGACCTTGACTCTTCAACTTTTGATAGTGTTGATGTTTGGGTCACTTCTTTCAGAGTTGCATTTGAGGTTTTACTTTTTCTTATTACAAAACCACTTAGTGTAATGAATATTGAAGACCTACTCCAAGGGAAAAGACTAACTTGATGTCATTTAGTATTGTGCAACAACGTTAGCCTACAACTCTTTCAAATTGTTTGCGGGGGGAGACCTTATTTCTTCACATAAGTTCTGACAAAGACACGTTGAACTCTGTGAACAGCAAGCCAACCACTTCAAGAGCACATAATGGTAACAAAAACAATTGTCATGTTCATTTGATGGGTCTGATCTTTTTTGATATGAGAAGGCAGTAATAAACACGTGCTTTCAGCAAGTTTGTCCGATTTTTGTCGAATTCAAAGTGGGGTGGCCATTGAGTGTGAAACATACACCAGTAAAGAGCCCGAGGTCATGGCAGGAGGACACTGTTGAGGACTCCTGCAGTGTCCTCAGAGTGCCTCACTCTTATCTTTCTCTCTCTTTTTTTGATAAATATATATAAATATATATAGTTGAACTGTCTTGTATATAACAGTAATGTAGCAATAAATGTGCCATTTTTAATAACAGATTATACATTTTCCAATGTCTGGCTTTTGAAATTGTATACATAAAAGGAAAAATAAAGGAAAACATTGTAATAAAGGGTTTACTGTAGTTTGGAAAGTGAATTTGTCCATATTTTCCTTTTGTTCTTTGTGCAACCCTACAAGGCACTACACAAGTTGAAGCAATGACACCAAGAATCTATTTCATTTCTTTACAAAGTTAACACATGCAGCTCCGAAGTAGTCTCTGAAACTGGTTGGTTGCCACATGTAGATGGCACGGACCTGAATGCCCTGTGCCGTAAACGGAGACCTTTGAAACGGTGGCCTGAAACGACCCTGAACCGCGGTGCGCAGTCTGCTGGTTATTTTTACCAGGCATCAGGGGAGGCAGCGCTGGGTCCTTAACAGCCATCTACGAGAAAACAGTGCATGGAGTGAAGACAACAACCAAGAGAAGGTCAGGATGGTCCAGAAAATACTAAACAAAATCATCGGAAGCAAGTACATTTCTATCGTAAGAACGTGGTAAGTAAAACGACCAACTCCTGCGGTACGCAGTGTACGATATCCTACATTAATGCCATTGACAGTGTTATAATTTACGACATTTACGCTTCAGTGTCCTGTGTGACCGCTTAGCTCTCCAGTTAGCATTAGCCTAACTTTCCTGTTAATGCTCCTGTGGCTGATCTGGCAGAGCTAGTTAGCATTACACGGCCAACTAGATTTCAAGGAGGCTAAAGTAAATGAAGATTTCCCTGGTCTCTATCGCACTGCACATTAATTTCCGTGTAAATTACGTCAAATCGTTTCCCATTTACTTGACTTAAACGCCAAGCAAATATACTGTATGGTATATTTAATATCACACCGTGTTGAACAGATTGATTTTGATGGTTGTGACAGTTCAATCACCTTCATCTCAAACCCACATATCATATAGATGACTTCAACTTGGAGACTCCAAAAACAAGCAACTGGACTGGGTAGAGTTTAGAGGACGTTTCGCCTCTTATCCACGGAGCTTCATCAGTTGCTTGTTTTTGGAGTCTTCGAAATAAGCATGACCTGGATGAATGAGAATCTACATGGACAGATTGACTTCAACAGTGGTTGAAAAAGGACACTTAAAATAAATAAATATTCATTCCTTTATTAGTAAGATGTATAATCTTGTTTAACACCAGTGATGGTATAATTATTGAAGGTGTGATGAAGGTAATAATATCAGATCACTAAAATTTAGTTATTGGTAGTATTGGTAAAATAATAGTGTGCAAACTGCATGTTCTTTTTCATCTGTGTTTTGCTATGATGGATGCTTTTTTCTTTTTCTGCCTAATTGATCTGTGTCATTTCTTTTCCATCCAGGGTGCCAAACATGGTTGCCTGGGGAACAGTTGGTGGAGTGGCTCTTGTTCACTTCACAGACTGGCGGTTATTTCTCGATTATGTGCCGTACATTAAAGGGAAGTTCAAAAACGACGATTAAAGCGCAGCGCAACTTGATTGTGAGTGTATTGTCATTACACCCAATACTTGTGTGTTAAGCATTGTTAAGTTGAGTTGCTTGTGTGTTCAGCTCCACCCATTAACTGATGTCAAGGTGTGGGTAGGCGCAGGCCACTCCAAGTAAAAACTCCTGCACATAGCATGAAGTTGCTATTTCTTATCAAACAGGCTGAACTCTGCTTATGCATCTACACAGGCAACACCAACCCAAAGTCAGAAAACCTGTCAATTTGAGTTACCTGCTGTGTTCACTAACCCAAGTGACTCTACATCTGGATGAACAGTCACAGAAAATAAGCAATGCTTGAGAGTTTGTTAGATGACAAACAAACTTTAAAAAGAAAAAAATTACTATTATTATTCTGAGCTGTTTATAGAGTGCAGAATACATTCCAGATGAAAAGCTGATTTGCATCCAATCCTAACATTATTCCTTGAAACCCCTCTTAGATTAGTAATGTCAGAAATTCAACTTTAGAGGCAGAGGGCATGTGTTTATGTATGTTTTTTGCTAATGAATGGGCTGTGTGTTTGCCTACAGGATCACATCTTGGAAATGGGCACATGGGTGAATGGCTTTCATGGCGCAAACTTAAGGGGGATGCCCTGGCTCAGCAATCACAGACACTATGGGCTTAAGCTGTGGACGACGGATTCACTCTGTAAAAAGGCTGTTCATGACCCAGTATTATTTAATGTGAATAAAAGTCTAATTTACCCCTTTATGTCCAGTTATTCAGCATCACTTACATAAAAATTCAATATTTTGTCTGAACTGCTTGGTGAAGGGATTTAAAGCATCTTGTGTGAAACGCCTCATGACACTGCAATGATATTATTTTTTTAGTTTGTTTCTGAATTGTACTTTCGATTGATTGGATTTCAAAGCATGACTTTTCTTGCCAACTGTTTATGATCTCTTGTATTGTAAAATTAGTGTGAAATAAAATATATATTGAACAGAATGCATATGTAAAAAATCTCCGGCAGTCTATAAACACATTAATTATGCTATTCCTGGTTCAGATGCACACAGAGATTACACTCTGTTCAAGCAGGCCCTCGCTCATTTTTATCAACCAGACAGCGAAATTTGCGTGGATAATGTCTTTCATTTCTCTCATCGAAGGGGGAGGGGACTGAAAGAGGAGAGGGGAGAAGGGATTTAACATTGCGAGAGGGAGAAAACGAGATAGTGTCTTCAAGATGGATAAAAACGAGTAAGTACACAATCTACAGGATGGTGAAATTATCAACAAGCCTTTTAATAGTCACTGCACCATTTGATGCACATGTGTCGTTTTCATGATTTATCTGAAAAGTGTTTCATCGATTAGGCAGATGCACTCGGTGGTCTCGCTTTTGCAAATAGCTATGCCGTGGTCACTAGCTAGGATGTCGGTCTCTCAGGCATCGTTTTAACACGGTTTTCTATCTGACACTTGCAGCTGGATTAAAATATGCATCCAGTCGGTACACTGCGTCGACGTGAACGTTTAGACAAGATTTTTTTGTCGTGCAAAGTAGTTTAGTTTGCTCTGTATCATTTTCGCACGAACAGGATCCTCTTATATTCACTAGAAATTGTGTATACGTGCAGTGAATAGGATTTACTTCATGTATTGATAAAAGCCGGCTTCACGTTCATGACGACGGTCGGCATTGTGGTGAACACACGGCTCCCTTTATTTCACCGAGCTAGCTTACATGAAACTTTCATATTTCGGACTACTGGACGAGCTAGTGCTTGGAGCTAATTGAGCACATGTAGTGGAAATGAGAGTTAAACGCCGTCGAGGGGTGTTGTAATTGCATTTACATGACTGTTAATTACACTGAGTGTATCACTGTACATTTTGCATACGTTAACGTTGATGTTGTATTAGCCTATGGTGTCAATTTACTGACCGAACCTACGATTTCCGGTAAAATTGCAAAACAAAGGACACTTAACTCTGAGTTTGAGACGATAAATCATTTTATTTGTGTTTAGTATTCCAACCTGATGAACAACCAGACCCTCTGAGACAAAATATAAATAAATAAACAAATAAATAATGGGCTTACTTATCTTATCTTAGCTTCCCACTCCTTTTTGAACATGAATAACTTTTTGTCATTTGTTGTTGTATTCTTTACTTTTTTAAAAATCATTATTATCTTTACATGTTCAAAATAAACTTCAATCAATCAATGAATCAATCTATCTTATACAAACCAAACCTTTACGTGACGGTCATGATCACTGAATAAAGCCAGTAAAGAGGACTTAAGGTAATATCTTTTTAAAACACTTTACATCAGATAGGAATAGCTATGAATTTTGCACATTTGAATGCAGGGTGTACTTAAAGTAGCCTAAATATGTGATTGATTTCATCATCTTTTTCGATAAATACAAGGCAATAATTTGAGGAAGCAAACTTAAATAGGCCAAAGTTATTGACCTTGCGCATTAATCAACTTTAAATTTATACCACATTATTTTGTAGCTTTGAAAGAATGTATTTATTAACTTTTTTATAGCATTCAATAAAATATTGGAAACTTCAAGAGTTCAGATCCTTCCTGTTACTTAAGTAACTGTTGTTTGACCCCCTTTTAAATCATTGTTGTATAAAAGTAGGCTACTTATTGATGTTTCCTTTTTTAAGATGGAAATATAATTGATTTTTTTAGTGTTATTGGCTGAAAACATTAATTTCTAATGAACTCAAATGTTTCCCTTTAAAATATGTATCATCTTTATGTTGGCATAGTTTTGTTATATAACCTGTCAGAAAATTTTAAATGACAAAATCTTGTTGAAAGGGAACCCTTAAACCAGTGGTTTTCAACTGATGGGTCTCGACCCAAAAGTGGGTCACGGACACGTTCTGGATGGGTCACAAACAGCCGATCAAAAAAGTAAATATTTAATGCGGTATTTATTAGATATTTGATATTTTTTTTGTACATGCAACTTCAGTAGTTGTCGTCCTCATGTTGTCCCCTGCATGTGCTTTGAAATGCACTTTACTCAATAAAACAAGTGGATTTATGTTAAAGATTAGAGTCTTTCAATGTTTTTTATATAAAAATTTAATTTGCTTGGTTTGAATTCTATAAAAGTGGGTTGCGAATGAAGGACCATGGGAAAATTTGGGCCCTAGAGTGAGACAAGTTGAGAACCACCGCCTTCAACTTTTAGAGTACTGAAATTATAGATCAGTAATTGAATATGGTTAATGGTAAATATGCTCAAAACTTAATCACAGAAAAGAACTTTTTTATGTTTCATTGAACATTTTGAGAACAGAAAGTATTTTACATTTCATGTGCCAGAACTAACTTGACATCAAATTAGATTGATTTCTCATGAAAGCTCGATGCCTTCTTGTGTATAGTACATTTTCGTTTCTTATTCTGAAGTTATAATCCTTACTTCCTGTCTCGTACTGGCTGCCTTTCATTGCATAGACGCATTCAGGTTGTCCTATGTTTTCCTTGCGGATGTAGCCCTCGTGCCCCGACGAGACAGGCAGGTAGTGATGTGGCTGAGGTCCGCGGCGGAGCGATCTGCGCGACGACAAAGAGATGAGATGTTGTTAGACCGGAGATCCCATTACAGAGAACGCATGTAGTAATATGGTCGAAACAAAAGCGTAAGAGGCAAAAGATTTGCCACAAGAAATCGGCACTTTTCTCTCAAATCCAGTTTACTTACACGCGGTAACTTTTAGAGGACTATTAGGCAACTCGCGTGGGAAATGGAGAAGAAAAGGTGGGATTGCACTGCTCTCCCCAAGGGCTGGAAAATGGAAGAAGTGACCAGAAAGTCGGGTTTGTCAGCTGGAAAAAGCGATGTCTATTATTTTAGGTACTAAACGACCGTGGGCTTGCAAAACTTAACTTGTGCACAATACACCGAATTTACCGGCGCAGAATGAGGGAAAAAAAGAGACGGTGGTCGGTCTAAAGTTTGAAAGTGGAGGAAGAGGAGGGGGGGATGTTTGTAGCAGGGCAACAAGGCCAGCCAGGCCAGCCCCACTCCCAAGTGTTGGGATAAGTAGGAGTTTATCCAACCGTGCAGGCTAGCAGCAGCAGGCCTCTGATGAATCCAACTCAGTGTCATATCAGTTTAATACTTTCTTATTTCCCTTTTGCAATGAATCAACAACGGCAGATTTGTTTTCATTTAGCAGAGGAGAAGAACAAGATGAGGAACAGAGGCAAGAGAGGGGGGAGGCGGGTCGGTTGTATAGTTTGTGGTAGGCTAACTGTACAATCATACTGGTGTTAACTGTGGTGTGTGATGTAAGATACATTTGCATGAGTTACTAGCACGTATCCACCCACAGTTGTTCTTTGTTAATCATTGCTCAGGCTAAAGATACTGTTGCTCCCCTCAAGTGGAGTCACAATGTTTCCATTTTGAAACATTTGGTCAGTTTTGATGTGTTTACTGGATTTTTGGAGTTAAACTCTAAAGCTACATATATGATGAATGTGTTTTCTGTAGGTGTATTGACCCATATACTCATATGTTAACATGTCAAGTTTGTTAAAGATAAGAGGGCTCAGAGAAGTTTTAAGACTGCATCCATTTCACCAAGTAATGTGATATCATTGACCACTTTAAAGCCCACTGCTTCTGTTGCTTTGACTTGTTGCATGTTCTGGTTCTTGTTTTTTCTGTCTGCTATGTGTGTATGTGTATGTATGTGTTTTGATGTGTGTGACCTGTCCGTTTTGTCCCCCGCCTTCATCTCTAATTTTATTTCCTCTATTGATGTCTTTGTCGGTGTTGTTGTTGTTGTTGTCGTCTCTGTTTGCGATGATATAAGTATAGTGGTTTCTCTCTGCCTCCCTTTGCCAGTCCATCTGGGAAGAAGTTTCGGAGCAAGCCTCAGCTGGCCCGTTACCTTGGCAACCAGATGGACCTTAGCTCCTTTGATTTCCGCACTGGGAAAATGCTGATGAGCAAGCTGAACAAGAACCGTCAGAGGTTGAGATATGATAACAACAATCAGAACAAGGTGAGAAAAACAGGCTCATGAATGTGAGCTGGTGACTTACACCTGGACCATTTTACTATAACAAAACTGTGAAGTTGTTCAGTTAAAAGATCACAAACTTTAAACGGAGTGAGGCAAAATCACACATTTCTCCCAATATAGTGAGTTTATAAAGCAGAGTCATGTCTAAAGTCCCATCCTGTGCACAAAGTTCCTGAAAACTTCCCAAATTAACCTGAGTTAGCTGCATGGGTAAAAACAAACAGCCCAATTTTCACTCATCTTCACCTGGAATAGTTTCTACTAAGCTCTTAGTTTGATTTTCAAGTAAAATGGGGTGAGCTCATGTGAGAACAGCACTAACAAGTGCCCAGGATTTGGGCCCTGCATGCACAGAGCCACGTAGTTGCACATCTAGACGAGAAATATTAAATCCAGCACCAGTATAAACCCAGAAGAGCAACATGCAACAGTGTGAAGTTAACCTTATATCGTAGTGAGACTGCATTCAACTCATGCCTTCTCTCCAGTGTGCTCTTTTTCAATTATTTGTTGATACTTTTGATATGCTCAGATTATTGTAGCATCAACAGGCAAAAACCGTTGTAAAAATGTAAGACTGCAGAGTCTTTTAGATTTGCAACAGATGCAAACAATTGAATAAGAGGGTTCAAAATTAGACAAAATAATATACCTAACATACATTTTTATGATATGGGTGAGTGAAATTAGAGAATCTGTAGTTTTATTCTTGGATAAGACTACAAAAGATCACTCCTTGCATCTATTTGACAACACGATGAGCCTTCTCACATCCTCCTTACCCACCTATTTCCTTGCATGCTGGGAGGGCACTTGTGAATTGTGAAGTCAGGCAAAGGCTCCTGAACTAGTCTATAAGTTTTTGTAATTTATGTCTGAAGACAGCTGATGTGCTTCTCGTCTCCCTTGTCATTAAGCTCACGGTGTTGTCCTCTAAATTAAACTTCCTCTGTCCTAAGTAGGTAGGAGTGAACAAGTTAACTATAATGGATAAGAAGTCCAGTATCCTGATAGAGCCCCTAAGTCTTGACAACAATTAAAATGTCTTGTTAAACTTTCAATAATAAGACTTCTAGTGTATCAGATGTTCAGGCGATCAGATCAACTTAATCATTTTAGAAACCTTTTTGAATACAGAGGTTAAAAGTTGTGTAAATTAAACTCGACATAGTTGTAATCAGGAATGAGGGGAAACATGTGTCTCTGCCTTTGTGTATTTCTGCACTCTTATTGTCCTCCTGTCATTTGTTTTTAAGGGTAAACCTGACCTGAACACTTCACTACCAGTCAGACAGACAGCATCCATCTTTAAGCAACCTGTTACCAAGGTTACCAACCACCCAAACAACAAAGTAAAGACGGACCCTCAGAAAGCTGTTGACCAGCCTCGACAGGTGAGCACCTTCTGCCTTTTACAGTTCACACCATCCAGTTTACACTTCAAACTATATAATGGGCAACTTTTTAGCTGATAAGAAGTCGATGGAGTCACATTGGATTTGTTTGTTTGGACTTTTACATCGTAGCTGAATTTAAATGTATGGTATCTTTATATTAAAACTGCCTGCTACTTTTTTTTTTTTTTTTCTGCAGCTTTTTTGGGAGAAAAAATTGAGTGGTCTTAATGCATATGACATTGCAGAAGAGCTTGTGAAAACGATGGAACTGCCTAAAGGCTTGCAAGGTAATGCACAAATTCTGCACTGATCTTTCAGACAGAATAGCTGTCTGGAAAAGTATTTGGTCATGTTTTAACAATCGTTTTTTATCCTAACATGCAGCTGATTTTAACAAAAGGTATAGTTTGCTTGTTTTAAATGCCCCTCTAACCACCCTACTGGCCCCTCAGGTGTTGGTCCAGGCTGCACAGACAAGACTCTCCTGTCAGCTATTGCAAGCGCTCTGCACACCAGCGCTGCCCCCATCACCGGCCAGCTGTCTGCGGCTGTGGAGAAGAACCCTGGAGTGTGGCTCAACACGGCACAGCCGCTGTGCAAGGCGTTCATAGTCACCGATGAGGACATTAGGTAGGAGATCACAGAGCATCATCACACATCATTGACCTGTTTGTTTTTAAAGTTTTAGAATTAACCCGTTCTGAATTAAAAAAAATTAGAAGCTTGCAAATCCTGACAGGGAGAAAAAGCAGGGAGTGACATGAAATCCAACAATGGGTCAAACTTGGATCATTAGGCCAGCGGTCACCCACTGGTTTTGCTTTCAACCCTTCCAAGAAAGACACACAGTGTAAATAAATGTGGTTTCCAGATTTGTTACAATAGCGAGTATCTGAGGCCTGAGCTGGAACGAAATCAGAAATACTCTGAAAATCTTGACGCGATTCATCCAAAGGTAACAGACTGAATCAGTTCAGAAATCCCACAGCCTATAACAGGGGACCCTGTAAAAACACACCATCTGCTCTGTGCTGATTCTGTGGCTGCTATAGGCAGCTGTAACTGCCAACTCTAACAGCTTCCTGTTGTGTTTACATGAAGGAAACAGGAAGAGCTGGTGTACAGTGTGAGGAAAAGGCTGGAGGAGGCACTGATGGCAGATATGTTGGCCCACGTCGAGGAAGCAGCCAGCGAAGGGGAGGCTCTGAAGGAGGAAGGCAATGGCAGTGAAGATATGGAAGGGGTATAGCACAGGTTGGTTAAGAACACAATACAATCTGACTTACAGAAAACTGACTTGTCAAACTTCAAATCAAGCAGAACTTTAAGAGTGCACAAGTTAACACACAACATTGTAAAGACACTACAAAATGTGCATCTTTTAACTGCATACCTTTGTCTCTTGCAGGTTTTTGTAATGTCCCAGATTTGTTTGACACCTGCACACACACGACCATGAACAGTAGGAGCCCCACAGCAGCCCAGCCTTGATGAACTGTCCCTTAGTATCTGCGTCCAACTTTAACCTTAACCCAACTCACACCCACATTCACAACCCACAGGAATGCTACCTTGAGTCTCAAATGTGTCTATTCATCATTTCCCTTTACCAGATGGGACTCTTGAATCAGCATCAAATTAAGTACCCAAATTATTTCTGTGTTCTGATGTTCCCAGAAAATATTTTTAAGAAATCCTCTTGACAATAAAATGAATTGTAGGTGTTAAATTAGCTTATCAACAGTGTTTTAAACTCAGTGTTTGATGAGTGTACCCTTCACAAAAGGTTTGAGTGGGTGTGTGTGTGTTCTTTGTGACAATCCTGTCAAATCAGTGTCAAACAATAACACCAACAAAATCATGATCTGGGTGCTTCTTTGTTTTTGTGCAGATTGGAGATAGATATTTTGTATTTTTTGACATGTCTCTTAAAGTTTATGATGCACTCCGTGAAAGACCGGTTGCTTTTCTCCTGGGCCCAATTTCAAATGCAACAACAAATACATTAAGCTATTTTAAATGAATGACAGTGCTGACCTAGCAGGTGATGTTACTCATGCAGATAATGTAGTTTTAATGCCACAAGTTTTTTCTTGTGCGAAAGCATGGAAATATCTTTCATGTCAACTGTGTTAACCTGAATGATGTTCAGTATTGGCCAAAGAGGAGACATGTCATGTTGAAGAAGGTGTAGGTTTGAATCCTGCTTTGTATTTTACTATAAGTCGGTGTTTTAGCTCTGATGTTTTACAACCAAACTTTAGGACGGTAAAAGGTACACATGATGGGGCTGAGCACAATGAAATGGAAAGAAAGGACTTGAAACCTCTTTTTATTGTAAAACTACTACTGTTTTTAGCTCTTCGTTTTCGGTGCTTACTGATGTTGTGAAACATTGCTCTTCAGTGCCAAGGCTTTGTTTTTTTCACAGCTTCAGTCCACTTCTTTTTTTTTTTTTTTTTATTGTATGTGTCAATGTTACCACACACATGCTGCCTCCTTGTAAACCCACGCACAATACGGTCACGCAGCAAACTACATTAGGTTTTTATGTCTTTTCATTCATCAACTGATAAAAACTGTTACATGTTTTTTTTTTTTTTAATCCCTGTATGTCAAGGTTTCATGATAGATATTACACACGATTGAAATCACGCAATTCCCAACTTGGTATCAGCAGGCAAATTGCTGGAATAAATTTGATTGTATTACTTATTAAAATGAGTTGATATACCAATAAACCTTGTTCAAGTGTGGCTTCTTTTCATTCAAAGTTAAAACCCCACTTCTTCAAAGACGGGGATGCTTTCAGATCTAAAGAGCAGAATTGATTAATTAGATTGATAATCAGTTAAATCCTGCATGAAATATAAAATATTAAAACAAAATTTTTAGATCTATGAAAAATATGTTTCTGTTTCAAAATCTATGCCAGTAACATGTTTCACACCAGTTTGAACTGAGGCTGTTTTATCCATGTGTTACATCACCTCTTGTTACAACACTGTAAACATTCAGGAATTGGGGAGACCTGTCAGTAGTTTTTGAAAGGATTTCAGCTGCTCAACACTTACCTTGTACAAAAGAGGATTAGGGTCTCATGAAGAGAAAAAATATAATTGCAGGAAGGAGATTCAAGTCGAAATTTCAAGATTAAAGTTGAAATTTGACATTAAAAAAAATCAAAATTATGTCAATAAAGTCGAAAATTTGAGATAAAAAATTAATATTGCGAGATTAAAAATTGAAATTTCGAGATTACAAAATGTCGTGAATAGTGTTGAAATTTCGAAATTAAAAAAATTTGATTTTGAGATTAAAGTTGAAATTTTTGAGATTTAAGTCTAGATAAATAAAGTCGAAATTTCGACTTTTTAAAATTTTGACTTAAATCTAAAAATGTCGACTCTAATCTCGAAATGGAAATTAAAAAAATCTTCCATCTGTAATTACTTTTTTCTCTTTATGTGGCCCTAATCCTCTTTCATACCCTTGTGTCAATTTTTGCGTTATCATTTTATATATTTAGATAAGAGATAAGTCAGGGCTACAGGTAGACCAGTGAAGCGTTTTATCGTGTCTACCCATTCACTAACCATGTTATGGACACTAACGTATCTTTAAACCATCCCAGACACAGACTTTGGAACTGTAGACAAACAAAGAAACAAGCCAGGCTGCCCATCTCCTTTACAACACTGTGTCCAGGATTTCCAAAAAGGATATCAGATTTTGATTTGTCAGACTGTATCACTGTTCTCCACTTCCACTCAGGCCTACTGCACCTTTTTCATAAGATGATAAAACTTTTCAGTTTTAGCATTTAGGCACCAGGGGTTACACCCAAGGACAATTTCACATCTAACATGTGAAACAGTGTCTAGTTTCTCTTCAGGCCACTCTGCCTGTCAGTGTTGATTCGAACTCAACACATTTGTGCTGAGAAACTCCTCCACCCAATCACTGCATCCTCCTGTGGATTAACAGTTAACTTGACAATCCTTCTGCTTCTATGTCAGCCTGGACAAAGTGCACAAGACTTTCTCTGGGGCACCAGTGGCTCCTCTACAGTCGTCAAAAGGATACAGACTGTATCTGCATCTTGGTCCTTTTAACTTTTCTTCAGTGATGTTTCAAGATAGGATTTAAAATGACTTCACTGGAGCTGTACAGTAAGGTAAGGCTAATTCTTATTCAAGAGAATTTCAGCTGTAAAGGCATGTATGAAGGATTTGAGCATACGGCCCGGCTGAGCCTTCAAAGAAAAATTAATGATTTGAATAAGAAAACAAAACTCGTACAAAGGCAAACATTATTATGTTTCAGGACTCCTTTGGTTAACATTGGTCATCCTTTTTAAGTTGTGTTGTTAGTGCCCTGTTCAGAACATTTCCTACTTTTGTGTGTGATCTTGAACAGATACGTTTATCTCCCAAACATGAGCAATTTCAATCTAGATATTAAGTATGGGTTGAAAACCATAATGTCTGAATTATTGTGGTAATATTGATGTATTGATAAGTGAATTAGATCTATAAGAACTAGAGAAGTGGCTGGTCTTAGCAGGCTGTGTAGAGGATGACCGGTGTTAATTGTTAACACAGTTTAAGAGGCTTTTATGCTGATGGCTGACAAATATCTTGTCTGGGTGAGGCCAGGATGTGTTTTATGTACATGAACTGTGTCAGAACAGAAAATGAAATATTACATAATGAAAACCTCTCTTTTCATGCACTATAAATACATCTAGTGCATGACGTCTGTTCAGCCTACAGTCACTATTTTTTTCTCTAGGTCAGCACTCTGATCATTTTTAATGTACTAAAGACCAACTATCCAATTGTCAGGGAGCCGGTGTGTGGATTCCTGACCCAGATGCAGTCTGGGTATCAGCCCAGATCCTCCAAGACTATAGCCCCGGACAGAAACATCTTCTTCTTCAGCTCTCAGATGGACAGGTTGGAAATGCAATATTAATGTATAACTTAAACCTTGTGAATCCTGGGCCTCATGATCCAGGGTCCTGCCTAAACATACCGTCCTCTGTCTATGTCACAAAAACACCTCACCGCTTTTCCCTAGTTACAAGAACTCATATTTCCTCTTTGGTAGGAGGTCCAGTATCCTGTGGGGTCCACCCAGGATCTCCCTCCACTTGGGAACCCTGATATCCTGGAGGGGGAAAATGATCTCACAGCTCTCAGTTTCCTCCATGAGCCTGCTGTGCTGCATAATCTGCGGGTTCGATTCCTGGACTACAGCAGCATCTACACCTACTGTGGTGAGCACTGTGCTGGCATAAGCAGATTTGCCAGTGCAGAGATGACTGTGTTACTTCATAAAATAGGAAAATAAGAGAAACTGAATTTCTTATAGATCTGAGCTGGCAAAGAGCCAGAGAAAAGAAGCTCCTGTGAGCTTCTGTCTGTGTGATAAGAGCTCATAATGTTCACTTTATTGAGGCGGGGTAAAGGTTGAGCCCTGGAGGCTGTTCCCTTCTCTGCTGAAGTTGAAATAACATATTTTGTTTTTACTGGGTTTTTCAAACCCACTTTGTCAGTTTTGTTATGTGATTTGGCAGATTTAAGTCTTGATTACCTTCAAAATCATTAATGTTTTGTGTTATTACTCGCTTAACCTTCCTCCTGCGTTAGCTTCTACTACACACCCACTATGTTAAGGGTCGGTTTCTACTCGTGTCTTAAATCAGCTGTAAATTACACTAAAAACAATTCTCTATCATCCAGTTTGGTTCTTATCTTTAGGTTACCTTGTTAGGCTTCATTATCCATGAAAATATTGCTTAGAATATTTTTTGTTGTTGTCCTCTGGGCCTTTCTTTGTCAGTATACCCCTCACACAGACATCTAGACTGAACTGATCTCACATGTCCGGACATGCCTGACGTTTTTTGTGCAACTTAGCAGAATGAGAAATTTCCTAAATCTCACATGATTGGAAAATGATCTGACTGTCAGTGTGGTGCCTGACAGTTCACATATGATTTCAATTTTTGCTCTAATTATTAGATATTGATCTATCCGGGTCAACAGCAACCCTAACACGACAAGTGCCATAACTTTAATAAGAGCATTTTATAATTTAGTCAATTAAATGTTTTTATTTGTATTTTGTTGAAATAGTGGTTCCTGACAAAGTCAAAAAGTCTTGGTGCAAATAGACTAATTTATATTCTTTTAAGCATTTACGGTAAAATAAAAAACAGACCCTAACAGAGGAGGAGTGTTAACTTGTGCTGATTAAGTAGGAGATATAAAAATCAAAACTTTGAAAGGAGGATAGTATATTTTGTACATTTTCTAGACAGTCCCATCAGTGTCTTCTGTTACCCATGTCATTTCTTTTCTGTGTCCCTCCAGGTATTGTATTAGTGGCCATCAATCCCTATGACCAGCTCCCCATCTATGGAGAGGAGGTGATTGATGCGTACAGTGGTCAGGACATGGGTGACATGGAACCTCACATCTTCTCTGTGGCTGAGGAGGCCTACCGCACCATGACCAGGTCAGCGGTCCAACAAAAACTTACAGGTTAGATTATATCTTATACTCTATAATGTTAATGATGTTTGTTTGTGTAGGGAGGAGAAAAACCAGTCCATCATCATCAGTGGAGAGTCTGGCTCAGGGAAAACCGTCTCAGCTAAATTCACCATGAGATACTTTGCTGTGGTTGGAGGAGCAGCACAGCAGACCAGTGTGGAGGAGAGGGTTCTGGCCTCCAACCCGATCATGGAGGTGATAGCTAACTTAAGTTATTTATGACTTATGCTCAAAGATTTTCTGGTGGATATTTATGTGTATGTACCAAGTCAAAAACTCCTGATTCTTTTGCCTGCAGTCTATTGGGAATGCAAAAACCACTCGAAATGACAACAGCAGCCGTTTTGGGAAGTACATCGAGATTGGCTTTGGCAGGAAAGGGGACATCATTGCAGCAAACATGAGGACATATTTACTGGAGAAATCAAGGGTTGTCTTCCAAGTAAGTGAGAGAGGTTTAATGAAATTACTGAAAAATGTGAACCTTAGATGATCTATTTACTGATTTACTGTGTGTTTTTGTATCTGCAGGCATCAGCAGAGAGAAACTATCACATTTTCTACCAGCTGTGTGCTGCCAGAGAGCTGCCTGAAATGAGATCTCTTAAACTTGGTGAGACTTGATTTGCTTTAACAATATCACCACACTTTATCAGTAAAGAACACACTGTGTATTATAGTTATTTCCATATCAAATGCAGTCTGACTGGATCTTTTTTATGCACAGATGCACCAGAGCACTTTCGTTACACCAGTCAAGGTGGAGAGATGCAGATTCCTGGGACTGATGATCTGTCAGATCTGGAGCGCACTCGCCATGCTTTCACCATTCTGGGTGGAGTTTTTACTGTCACACGCAAATTAAGCATTAATTTCTTAGATATGTGAGGTAGAAGGTAGAAGGTAGAAGGAGGATTGTATTTTCATTAAATTGTATTCCTGCTTATGGAGATAAATGTTTGCTCTAACTGCAGGTGTGCAGCCTGACCAACAGATGGAGCTCTTCAGAATCCTGTCAGCAGTGCTGCATCTTGGAAATGTCAACATCCAAGCCAGTGGGAGAAGTGCTGAAAGGAGTTACATTGATGTGAATAAAAACTTTGATTTCAACTCTCATTTTTATTTCTCTGTGTTGAGCAGGTTTATCTGAGTTTCTGTTTTTACCCAGGCAGATGACCGCTCTCTGGCTGTCTTCTCCAAGCTGCTTGGAGTGGAGGGGCCTCAGATGGCTCACTGGCTGTGTCACCGCAGACTGGCAGTAGGGGGGGAGATGTTAGTCAAACCCATGTCGGGTCAGCAGGCTCTAGAGGCCAGAGATGCACTTTCCAAACACATCTACGGTCAGCTGTTTACATGGACTGTTCAGAGGCTCAACTCTGCTCTACGCACACAGGGGGCAAGGACCAAGTCGTTCATAGGTGTGTTGGACATATATGGGTAAGTTGATAATTTTTATTATACTGGATAAACTGTAAATGTTCCTATTTATGTTCAAAGTACTATTGCAATGGTCTGAAGTGTGTTTTAGTAGGCTGGACTGATAGTTCCTCTCTCTGTGTTCAGGTTTGAGACTTTTGACCGCAACAGTTTTGAACAGTTTTGCATAAATTATGCAAACGAAAAATTACAACAGCAGTTTAACAGGGTAAGTCCAGTGAGACAAGTTTATTTCTCTGTCCCCCTCAGTGTCTGGTTGTATTTGCACTTGTTGATTTTCATTTTTTATTGTTTTGTGTTTTTCACGTCAAACTTTGGAAGATATTTGTCTGATGGCCATTGTCATGAATCACCACAAAATCCCCCGAATTTAAAGCTCCCATGAGCGTTTTTCACAGTTTTTTTTTTTTTCTGACTGTAAACTAAGATGAGGTTTAAGTATTTGTAAGAATGAATTTTTAATGACCATAAAGCCAACTAAGGATTTGGTGTCAGAACAAACATTTTAAAGTACACATTCACAAGACAGCGTCAACAAGAGGTAAAAGCAGGGTGACCATAATTTTACTTTCTAAACAGAGGACACGACTACACGGGGGCGGAGTCACAGAGTTGCACAAAGTTAATTTTGAGAGTTTTTCTGGTCGGATCAAGTGTCTTTTATGTGCTTCAAACTAAGTAAGTCCACGTGACACAAAATCAAAACTCTTGTTAAAAACCGCAGACGTTTGAAGGATTTTATAAACTTCTCCAGACTAAGCCAGACAAGCCCGGACAGCCCCCAAAAATAGGACATGTCCAGGTAAAAGAGGACGTATGGTCACCCTCGTAAAAGGAAGCACTTTATCCACAGGGAGGGCAACTGAGCTCAAACTGGCGATTCCTCACAGGAGCTTCAATTGAGAAGATAATTCAGCAACAGATGTTATTCTGTTTAGAATAATTTGATTGTCATAAAATGCATCCGTCTCCGTGTGTGTTGTCTGAATTTTGTGTTTTTCTCGCGCAGCACGTGTTCCACTTGGAGCAGGAGGAGTATGTCCGTGAGGAGCTGGCATGGAGCAGGATTGAGTTCAGTGACAATCAGCTGTGCATCAACCTCATCGAGGGACAGCTCGGCCTGTTTGATCTGTTAGATGAGGAGTGCAGGGTCAGCCCTTCTCATCCTCTTTTCTTTTTTTTTTTTTACAGGATTATTTTCTGTTTATTTGGAAATTTTCTTTGTCTGTCTCTCTTACACACACAAACACTCGTACACACAATGCTTTTAGTTTCATCTTTCATCTTTGAACAAAACATCAGTCGTAGTCACTTCACATCAGATAGATGTTTTTTGTTGTAAAGATGAGCTTCTCTGTGGTCATTGTTTGTGTTTTCAGATGCCCAAAGGCTCAGATGAGAGCTGGGTGAGGAAGCTGTATGATCAACACCTGAGCAGCAGGCCTCACCCACATTTCAGAAAGCCTCGCATGTCCAACAGTGCCTTCATTGTTTTGCACTTTGCTGACACGGTGAGTCAATTTGCTGATTCTGAGAAAATGGCAAAACATTTCTTGCAAAATTTTGTGCAACTTGTAATTATTTATGAAAAGTTTCAGATAGGTTCATTTAAAAACTATTTGGAGGTCTCTAAAGATTTTTTTACTTGTGTTTTCTTTGACATCAGGTGCAGTATGAGGGTGACGGCTTTTTGGACAAGAATCGAGATACGGTGTTTGAGGAGCTTATTAACATCCTCAAAGCTAGTCAGGTAGATATATCTTACTCACTGAATGTCAGGTCCTTTAAGTAACTATTTTAATAAGTGGGTCACTCATGTGTGAGTTTCCTGGTGTGTGTCAGTCTGAGCTAGTGGCTGAGTTGGTCCAGCAGCAAGGAAATTTGTCACCCGTGGCCAATGGAAGTGTTCGTTCAGGAAAAAGAACCACCAGAGAGCACAAACTCACAGTGGGCTTCCAGGTGAGCTGCTTTTACTCTACCTTTATAGTTTTTAAACTTACTCTTGGTGTATAAAGATTATAATTTGTGCACCTTGTGCTCCTTTGTTTTGCTCAGTTCCGTCAGTCCTTGCAGATGCTGATGGACACACTGAACAGCACCACTCCTCATTACGTTCGCTGCATTAAACCCAACGACCTCAAAGAGCCCTTTATGTGTGTAGCTGTATGGTTTCAGTTTGACATCTGACTTTACTTTCTTTTTTTGTTACGTGCACCAAGCAACCTAACAGTCCTGCTTTGTCAGGTTTGATCCCAGGAGGACGGTCCAGCAGCTGAGGGCCTGTGGGGTGCTGGAGACGATCCGCATCAGTGCTGCAGGTTATCCATCCAGGTACTGACCTCTTCTAAGACCTAGATCAGCTGTCTTTTAATGCTCTTCAATATACTGCAGCTTCTTTTTGTACTTATTTGTGATCAATAGATTATCAGCTGTCTATCTCCTCTTTGGAGCAGGGAATACTGCGTCCATGAATCCCAAAAAGAATGGGCTTTTAGGACCCAGATCAACTTTTTGTTTTTGAGATTTCTAAGATTTTTGTTTATCTTTATTTCCAGATGGACGTACGAGGAGTTCTTCAGCAGGTACCGTCTCCTCCTCCGAGGTTCTCAGAGCCAGGAGCAGGCCCAGGCCCTGTGCAGACAGGCCCTACCTGAGCTGATCCCAGACCAGGACCAGTACTGTTTTGGAAAGACTAAAGTGTTTTTCCGGGCCGGACAGGTGGCTCTGCTGGAGAGGCTGAGATCGGAGAGGCTGCGTGTTGCTGCTGTGATCATCCAGAGCCGGGTCAGAGGATGGCTGGCAAAGATTAGATACGATAGGATGTGTTGGGCAACTGTGACTATACAGAGATACAGCAGAGGAGCTCTGGCCAGACGGTGAGGGTAGAAATCAATTCTGTGATATTTGTGATTTGTTCTTCTAATACTTTGTTGCCCCTAAGATGTGAAGTCATATAAGGTTAATGACGCTTGTTCAAGTTCAGGGTACTCATCTAATACTTAAAGGGATATTCCGTAAAATTAAGTTAGGGTCAAACACACCGTAACACCGAGTTAGACTCCCAGTTGAGAGGTGAATGTTGCTGACCGCTTGCTTCTCTAGTTATACCAACTTGAGTAACAACCGCACGATAGCAATAGCAATGAAACACAACTAATCTACTCTCTTCCAGCAGCTGCTTGTTTGTATGGAGACCTCAGGCCAGTCCATTACAGACTGCAGCGGGGTGACGCAGCTCTAGGAAGAACATATATCATAATTTCTTTATCATTTCCTTTAAGTAATAATCACCATATTAATCATTTTCCACTGCAGACCCGGTAGTTCTTCTGCCTTAGTGTCTCGGTCTGATTGTATTTCCATGAAGAAATGATCATAAACGTTCTTCCTTGAGCTGCGTCACCCCGCTGTAGTCTGTAATGGACTGGCTCGAGGTCTCGCTACAAACAAGCAGCTGCTGGAAGAGAGTGGGTGAGTTGTGTTTAGTCTCTTTGCTAAAGAAACTAGACAAAGCTAAAAAGATGTTGGCTAGTACTATGGCTAGGACCCTTTATGTACTGTTGATGAAGTTAGGTGCTGTTCTGAGCATTATTTGTGGCTTTAGAGTGGCTTTTTGGTTGAGCGCGTGGCTCCTTAGAGCGATGTGTATTGCTATCGTGCGGTCGTTACTAAAGTTGGTATAACTAGAGAAGCAAGCAGTCGGCAACATTCGTCTCTCGACGGGGTGTCTAACGTGGTGTTACAGTGAGTTTGACCCTAACTTAATTTTACGCTGGAATATCCCTTTAAAAATCTTAAAAGTTGATAATAATGCTGACATTAAAGAGCTAACTTCATTCTGAAATATGTGTGTTTTTCTATGTTGTGAAATAGTCTATAGAAATTAGAAAAAAAGAGCCAGGAAAGATAACCCAAAGCTTGAGATTAACTTTGAATTTGACTCTTAATATCTTCAGTCTGGCACTGACTCTGCGCTACACTAAGGCTGCCTTGATAATCCAGAAGACCTACCGCATGGTGGTGGTCAGACAGCTGTTCCTCATGATCCGACAGGCCACCATCACCATCCAGGCCTTCACCAGGGGCACACTTGAACGTCGCAGATACAAACAGGTCAGATTTTAGCACGGTTTTAAACAGCTGGATTAACAATCTCCAGTTGCCCATATTTAATCTAAAACCTTCAATTCTAACTTCCCTCCTCAGTTGATGGTGGAACGGGCTACTGTTCTGCTCCAGGCGAGCGTGCGTGGCTGGTTGGCAAGGAAGAGGTTCAGGCGCGTACGTGCTGCTGTGGTGTTTATGCAGTGCTGTGTGCGTCGCAAAGCTGCAAGGAGAGAGCTGCTCAAACTGAAGAAAGAGGCCCGCTCAGTGGAGAGGTTCAGAGAGCTGAACAAAGGCATGGAAGTCAAACTCATGCAGCTGCAGCGGAAAGCAGACCAGGAGGTGGGTGAAGAGGATTTGACTCTGTGTCGTGGCCCCCGACAAGATCTCAAATGTTCTCGGTTCTTGACATGTTTGTGGTTTTTCAGGCTCGTGAGAGTGCAGCTTTGAGGGAGATCCTACACGCTGAGCGAGAGGCCAGCAGTGTCAAGATGGAGAGTTTGAGGGCAAAGATTCAGAAATATAAGAACAAAAACCGGGAGAAGGCTCTGCTCGGCCCTGTTATCAGTGAAAAAGAGGTGGAGGAGAGGAGGAAAGCAGAGGAGAAAGCTGCTCAGGAAATTTATCAACTCAAACAAGTAAGTGTTCACTTCCAAGAATAACTTAACACATTTCATCTGTGCAGGTGATTGTTACTGTTAGGAGTCAAGTTCATTCATTGATAACATTTATTACTTATGAAATTAGGAGTTTGTCTTTATTAAACTGTCTGTTATCATCTTTCGGTTTTGTTTAAGGAGCTGCAAGACCTGCAGAGAGAAAAAGACAGCTCTTGCAAAGAAAGAGAGGACCTCTCTGCTCGCTTGCTTGAACAAGAAAAAGCACAAGAAGGTGGATAGTCACACTGCAGCAGCAGCACAGTCTGCACTTCTCTCTCTGTGTTTTATTGTGATATGATCTCTGTTTACTTGCTGTATTTTTCTCTCTCTCTTTCTTTTTTCCTTCACTTGTGTGCAGAGTGTGTAGAGAAGGCTGTGTCTGCAGCGTGTGAGGCTCTGAGGGCAGAGCTGGATGAAGAGAGGAGGAAGTATCAGGGTCTCCTCAGAGAGTTCACCAGACTGGAGCAGAGATATGACAACCTGAGGGAGATGAGTCTGCTCACTGAGGTCTGCAACACACACACACACACGCACACACACACACGAGACGACACATTAGAGCACGGGTACAAGTTTAATCATGAAGTCCATCTTGGTTTCTGAGACTGTTTGCTCTCTTCCTGAACAGCGCACTAAAGGCCACAGAAGGACAGACTCTGCTCAGAGTCTAAGCTTGGAGCCTCTCTCCCCTTCCCCTACTCCCACTCCTCTGTCACCCCAGTCTCTCACCCCACTCTCCCTGTCACCCTTCCCATCTGCCCTCCCTTCTCCAGAGATGGTCCGCAAGATCAGTGTGACGTCTCCCTCCTTCGAGAGGAAGTTCTCGATGTGGGGCTCTGACGCATCAATGGTGAGGGGATTTCTTAGCAGTTATCAGTATTTTAACTTTTTAAGATACTTTTCCAACATCCATCATGATTCCATTTGATACAGAAATAAAACACCAAATTATCTTCCTGTTTGCACCGACAGGATCAGTTGATGGAAAGGATGGAGGTCGCCAAAGACCCGGCAGTGAAGATGAAAGCAGAGGACCTGGCTCATGCTTATGATGCAGTACGAGTGGCCAACAAGTCAGTTTGATAACTCTTTAAGTATAAAGTCCTGCTTTATCTTTAATTTCATGCTTTGGTTCCTGTTTGGTGGATAAACTTTGTCGTCTGAGTCAGGTTTCTGGAGAGTCAGCTGAGAGGCCAGCGCAGTCAGTGGGAGGGGGATCTGGAGGCCCTGAGGAGCCAGCTCAGCCGCGCTATTTCAGGATCTTCCTCCACCGCAGGGAGACAGGTACGGACTTATGAAGGATGTTTTTTCATGCATGTAAAGAGTGCAAAAACTGGAAAAAGACATGTCTGCAAGAGTTTCAATGTATACCTTTTATTTATAACCTTTCTGCACTTTCTCAGATATAATTAATCATCACAGCAGTAAAATAACACAAGCCTTCTTCTCAGTTAATTCTCCTGTGAGTTTGGCTTCAACATATGAGCGTGTTTGTGTCTAAAGGAACAGCAGGAACTACTTGAAGCCAGAGAGCAAGAGTGTGTGAGGCTGAGGAGAGAGCTAAAGGAGCTGAGAAACACAGTCTCTCTCAGAAAATTCATAACACAAGGTAAGATCTCATCAGATAGCAGGATTATGCTCTATTTTCTGTCGACTTTTGAAAGTCTTTCAAGCTATTATTTTGTTAATTTTGGTGTTCAATCTGATTCATAAAGTCAGAACCTATGATTTGTCCTACGCAGTATCGCCTTTGCCCTTCTTTTGTTTTCTTGTGCTGCTTTCCTACTTGTTTGTTTTGTCTTGATGTTTCTCTTTCTGAAAGTTCTGCCAACAGCTTTAACCACAGAGACCTCTCCTGCTCCATCTCGACCAAAGACTGCGACTGTCACGGGTTTGTTGGAGTGTAGAAAGAAAGATGAAAACAAACTGATCAAGAACCTCATCACAGGTGAGACTCAAAAAAAAAAAGGTCTCCTGTACTTCTTCTCATCTTCAGACTTTTTTTCCTATCCAGTTAGATGCTGACATTGACAGAGTTTAAATGCAGGAATCAATATGTGATTTAGTGTCATATTAGAAACTGCTCTTCATCAAATTTTTATTTTATTTTTCTTTTATTTTACCTGATGGCAAATTAAACTAACAAGTCACTGGCTTCCAGCTTTCTTTTTGTGTCTGTGAGAGCATTTGTGCTCATAAAACAACAAGGAATGCAAAACAAATAAACCAATACATTTTTTTCCGATCTAATCCGATAACGATACCTGGGCTGAGCGTATCGGCCGATATCTGATACTGATCTAATACTTCTGTTTAATGAATGAACTGTATACCTTGACCTGTGAGTGAAGACATCAGGCTTGATATTAGTATTGTAACAAATTACTTTTATTTATATATAAATTACTTGATATTATTTATTAACAAATAACAAATTGCACATTAGCACACTGCAAAAAGAAGTAAGATTTCAATGTAAACATTTAGTGCAAAAGGATGGCCATACATAGAATATAGAGCGAGCAGAATCGCTATGTTGCTGTGTATGATATTAATTAAGAGGGGAAAAAAAAGACTGGATCTGATCCGATCCAGTTAATTTGTCAACATCTGAGCCAATATCCATTCCAAATATTGGATCAGTGCATCCCTAATATTTTTAAACTTCGACTGCTTTATTAATCAAAATCAGGGGATGTTCAGATATGGGATAAAAATATGACTTCTGTTGTTAGTTAATCCCCTGACTATTATTTGATATGTAAGATATATCTGGGATTAAAGGCTCAGATTGACCCTTAAATTTGTTTTTTTTTAAATCATTTAATTTTAAGATTGTCAGAAAAAGAGGAAAAAAAGATCCTCTGAATTGTGAAGATGAAATTCAGACATGAAAGACATTTGATCTCTTGAAACTTCAAATAAACTATGTTTCTTATACTATTCTGCTAGTATAGATCATATAAACACGTATTGTTTCAGCTCTAAATAATCTGTGTCTGGTTAACAGGGCACTTTTTTTTCCATTGTGAGAATCTTTTGCATTGAAGAAACAGTTTTTCATTGTTCACTGAAAATATGAGAGCTGAGAATCTTGTTATTGTCTCAAACTGCTCTGTACAGCTCTGGGACGATGTTTCAAAGTCGCAGTATGACTCCCACGAATAAAGACAAACATGACCGTGTTCACTTTGCCGTCGCTGCTCTTTCTGTCTTTGGTCCAGACATTCGTGTTGACAGTGCCCTGTCTCTGCCTCCTGGCCTTCCTGCCAGAGTGCTCTTCCTGTGTGTCCGTCATGCTGACTGCAGCGGAGACCAGACTCAGACCCGCTCACTCTGCGGCGCTGCTGTCACTGCTGTGAAGGCAGCTCTGAAGGTAACCTGAGTTTTCAGTCTGCTTGATGCACCATATGGTTGAGGTTGAATGCATTAAAGAGGAACACCTCATGTCACTTACAGAGAGGAATCCACATCTGACTTTGAAATACTTTTCTTGTGATTGTTTTAATTTGTGTGCCAAACAGTTTCAACAACCTTAAAGTTCTCACTTTTTATTCACATTAACGCTCAAGTTACGTAAAAGTTTTTTTCTGTCTTATTGTTTTTGCAGAAACACAGTAATGATGTTGGTATGTCAGCACTGTGGCTGAAAAACGCCTGTCTGTTGCATGACCTGCTGACCAAGCACTCCCCAAAAGAGGTAGGACAATGACTGTGTTTGTTTTCACTTACATTTTGAGATCTGTGCCTAAACAAAAATCACGTTGCTGTGATTTGTCACCTTGCAATAATTTTTTCTGCTCATGCTTACAATCTAGTCTGTGTTGAAAGATGTAATAAATATACAGTCATTGCTGTATTCATCATCAATACTTGATAACTGTATGACTTAAATACTTTACAGACCCTCGACTCAGGCGATCTGGTCCCAATGACCACTGATCTATCCGACTTGATCCGCGCTCTGAGTGACCTCTGCATCCAGGCCTACCAGCAGCTCCTTTCCATCACTGAAGATCGTCTACAAAACATTATAGGTACCACAGAAGAAGGCTTCATATGCTTTCTCCTCCACCAACCCCCTTATCTAACCTTCTCCCTTCTTCTCCCCCAGTTCCTGCTCTTCTGGAGAGTGAGAACATCCCAGGTCAGTCGGCCTCAGGGGTAAAGTTGGTGACTTCCAGAAAGCGAGCAGGATCAGACCCAAGGCCTGTGGGACGTGACGCCCCCACCATGGCATCTTTGCTGAGAGAGCTGGGGGCACTTCACACTGCTCTGACCCATCAGGATCTGCCCCCCACTCAGATAGAGCAGGCTTTCCACCAGCTCACCTACCTCATCTCTGCGACCGCCTTCAACAACCTGCTGCTTAGGAAAGATATGTGCAGCTGTAGCCGTGGCCTGCACATAGGGTAGTTATTTTTGTTATTTTCACTGTGGTGATTATTTTTATTGCTATTATTATTATGGTGATTAATATTAATATATGATATGATATTGTTATATATATATATATATATATATATATATATATATATATATATATATATATATATATATATATCACAATATCACAATATCATATATTAATATTAATCAACATAAGTGCAGGAGAAGGAGTGGGACTAGATAAGTCTCTACTTCTTCCCACCCCTTATTTATTATTATTATTATTATTATTATTATTATTATTATTATTATTATTATTATATGTTCAAAATAAACTTGAAAAAACTTCAAAACTTAGTTATATGCAAAACACAAAGAGATATGCTGTATGATATGAACTTTGATTTGATCGGGTTAGTTTCAGGTTTGAAAATAAACTGTAAACACAGTCTAGTGATTTTATTTGAATATTTAATACAGTTTGATCATAAAAAAATGGGTAAGACTTTAAAATATGGTTTTGATCCAAGTAGATCTTCTCAGAGCATTTTTTATATAATTTACATTGAGGATAGAATATAACATGCACCGAACTATATATATGTAGATTTTGTGATTACAACCTGAACCTAAAGCCTTGAAATGACCTCAAATTAACTTTAGATAAAAAGTGCAAATCTTACTTGTTACCTTACATTGTACCCTTGTCATATTAATGTGAACACCTCCATCTTGAAGATGTACCTAAGTGCAAATGTTACTCACTGGGTGTCTCCTGTCTCTTAGCTACAATGTGAGCGTGCTGCAGGACTGGCTGCGGAGCCGTGGTCTGCAGGCAGGGGGCACTGTAGCCACACTGGAACCCCTCATCCAGGCTGTTAAGCTGCTGCAGGCAGGAAAAAAGACTGAGGCGGATGCACAGGCTCTCGTTGAAACCTGCACTGCTCTGTCCAGCCAGCAGGTGGGTCACTGTCTACCTTGATATAACCAGTGCAGAGTATATTTAAAGTGTAGCTTGATTACATTTAACATTTTTTTTTTCTTTGTTGATAGATTTCGAAGATTCTGACCCTCTACACCCCTCATGGTGACTTCGATGAAAGAGTCACCATGAATTTCATCCGCATTGTCCAGGTACTGCACACAGATGATAGTGTTTGTGTGTCAATCAGTTGACAGTTGTGTGTCTCATATTAGGAGTCTTTTGTCTTTGCTCTTTCAGGGTCTTCTTAAAGGTCGCTCTGACAGTCAGACTCCACAGCTCCTGATGGATATGAGGCGAGTGTTTCCTGTCACATTTCCCTACTCGCCTCCCCCCGTCCTCCATGCAGAGCAGTTAGTCATCCCTGACTCCCTCAAGATCTCCTTTCTGCGCAGATCCTAAAGAACAAGATATCCAGCAGGGTCTCTTTGGAGCAAATACAGTCTGTCAGTATTTTAGCACACTAAGTCTCTAAGCTCTTGAAATTTGAATCACCATGTTGTATAAGATTTTATGCCTTAGCCACTATTTTTTTTATGTTCATGATTAGTTCTACAAACTTTAAGAGGTTAAAAAAGCAGCCATATCTAAGACAAGTTTGACAAACAAGGAATGAAACAGTCTGTTTTTCATATTTTATTGGAAGCAGAAACACGATGAGACCGCGGTCTCAGTAACCTCGACCTCCAATAAGAACAACCAGAATAAAAAAAAAAACTCAAAAAATTAGAAACATCTCGTGTATAAAAAAATTCTCATGCGAGTACTTTGTACCACTACACATCATCAGTAATACATATTTATATATTCACAAACATTTGAAAAATAGAAAACAAGAATGAAATATCAAAATTAAAGGAGACAACAACTGGCAGTTAACATCAAATAATTATGCGTGCTGGCACAATACATTTTTTCTTTTTGTTATATTGTTCCTGTCATGCACCATTTCTGGAAGTACAGACCCAGCAGCGCTGTGCAGGCGTCTGTCTGCGTGGTCTGATCAGCGAGAGACAGAACGGATCATGCATGTCTGTCCGCTGTGTGTCTGTGTGCTTGCTTTTCATTGTGCTTCTACATTTGTCCTCATCTTTGACTTCTATACGCCCTCAACATGCCAGTCCGCCACAACCAACACGCAAACTGAGCCTCTAAAGGAGGAGGAGGAGGAGGAACTCCCTCCGTTAAAGTATCATTGTCAACAGCAATAAAGAAAATTATTTTTTCGTGGCATTTCCAGCTATGTGACAGTTGTGTACCTTTTATGTAAAGTATAAAGACTGTGCAGATGTCCCTTTAGAATAAAAGACCTTATACACACCAGAGAGAGACACACATGTTTAGATTTAGCTCCTTTAAAGTGGTACTTTTTTATTTGTATAGTCTATAAGAAGATATATAATGCCAATGCTAAAACTGGAGGCAACCCCTGTATTCATGAGGCTCCTAATCAGGACATTTTATCATCAGATTAGTGCAATTGCTTCTTGTTCATCTCCAGTGTGTACACGGCCTTCCTATAACTCTCAGTAATAGCTACATATACAGACTGGGCATCCAAACACACACATTATCCCAGACTGCCCAGTCACCCAGAGCAAAATTCAAGTCTACAAAAAGAGCAGCAAACTTCACTTCACGTACTCTGACATGTTTGTTACATCCGAGCTATTTACAACGCCAAACGGTTACAATCAATCTGCGCTCCACATTACGTTCTCCGCACTGAAAAGCTGTACAAACAAACTTCGGTCTCCACTATTAGCTGTGATATTTGGCCCATTACAATAGAGACAGCATTTACAACATATCAGACAAACACTTGTGCTGATAGAAGAAGAAGAAGAAGAAGAAGAATCCACAATGTAAACATTATAAGACTGCTTCATAAAATGACTCATCTACATATATCTGTATAGATTAGATGCATAGAGTTCAGTTCTTACACCTTGTTCAAAAAGAGAGGGGGGGCCTGTTCAGTAAATAGGTGTGATCAAGTGCCTTAAAGGTAGAGATCCTCATCAATGAATGAAAGACACAAAAAGTTTTAGGAAAATCACCCTGTCATTATTCACTTTGGACCATTTTGAAGTCCATGATTTTTCAGCATGTCAGAACAGATACAAACCTCTACATCAGTAATAAACCAATGAACGTATTTTCTTCATCAATGGGCCTTCATAGTAAAAAAAGTGACCACAGACATGCTAGAGAGTCTCTTCAGGACATTTCTTCTTTTATGTGAAACTGACTCCACATCTAAGTGTAGAATGAAGCCTTGATGTGTTACCTGTCATCACTTTATGAAGAAATGGAAAAGAATAAAATGAAGATCAGAGTGTAAATATGTTGTAAAGGTGTTTTTTTTTTTTTTTTTAAACAGACCCTGTGCTTCTAAATCTCTACTAAACTGTAGGCCCTCTCTGAAATGTCAGAGCCAGACCTTCTGTGGTCTGGATCTGCAGCCCTTTAGCAGAGGTCTGAGTGCTTAGTGTGAGGGTGCAGGCTCACGGCATCTGCAGCTGGATCAGTAATGACCAAAGGTGGCAGATCATTCATGATTTGTGATCTCCCTGGAATGCAGATTGTGTGGTCATTGTATCCTTCAATATAGACTTCGGTTTGGCAGGTTGATTTTGTTTCAAGAGATAAGGTGGCAGAAAAAAGTGGCGTATTAGGGCTATTAGGCAGCCGTGGAATGTTCAGAGTTCCACAAAAACATTACAAAACTAACCCTCATAGGGAGTCAATAAGCCCCCTCCTCAAATTAAAAGACACTAAGAAAATCCTCCAAAGTCTAATCTGAGTGAACACCCCCCTCTGTGTGATATTCTCTGCTTGTGATGGCTTCCTGTGATTACATTTGCAAGGTAACAGGCAACACGGGCGGCTACATGAGGTCAACAGTAGAACATTTTACAGACACGCTCACACAGAATCGACTCAAACACCCTGAGACTCACATATACACATATAAAGTCTGATGAAAGGCGTGTTTTCATCAGATTCGTCTCTCTATACAGCTGCAGTATAGGAGACGGGTGAACTGTACGAGGGTCAACGAGACAGAAGGCATTGTGGGTGTCAGGCAGTGTGCTCTGTTACAGGGTAGACGGACGAAAAGACAAAGACTATCGTTCTTTCTTTACCACACGCTCAGTGAAAAATCCTATATGTAACTTTACACACATCTTCCTTATATATATTTCATACTATGATTTATATATATATAATCATTTCAATATAAATATAATTTAGAAGAAAGCGGTAAAATAAAGAATAAAACTATCATAACTAAATATTGCTTTGTTCCTGTTTGGTGAAATCTGGAATGTTTCAGGCCTTGCAGCCGTTTTGTTGTTGTCAATAGGTCTGTTGGACAGTTGGTCCCGTTGTGCTCAGGGCTGGTCTTGGCATATTTCACGGATTATCTGTTGGCACTTGCGGTGCCTTTCTGAGTGGGTGCAGGCCAAGGGAGGGAGTGGAGTAGAGAGAAGAAGAGGGGGAAAGCAAAGAGGCAGGAAAAAAGTGAGAAAATATGAAAAAATATTCAAGGCTACAAGATGTGTGTCACCCTGACTTGACGATCAGGGCATGCTTGCGCGTGTTTGTGGGTTTTTAATATCATTACTAACCTCTGTAGACAGAAGATAGTAGATATATTCTCTGTAATTAAACTTCATGCTTTGTTCATTAAAGATGGCTGAAAATATCTGCAACAATAAAGACACCGTTCTCTTATAAAAAAATAAGTAATGATTTGTTTAGTGATCTGTCTTTTCCACTGAAGTGAATGAATTTAAAGCACTGGATGTGTGTTACTGTTGTCTTATCTGTGCTTTTACAACACCGGATCATCAGGGCAGTGGCTAGCAGTGGCTCAGAGGAGCTCCAGGGCAGTAGATGTCAAAGTCTGATTGAGCTGAGGAAGGGCTGTTGTTGCCTTCTTAACCGCGGCCTTCCTCCGCAGAGCGCTGGTCAGATTTCAGCTTGACGAACTCCTTGGCCACGTCGTCATTGTTGCGCTGCGAGAGAATTCGTAGGACGGTGAGGCCGGTTTCGTCCATGTTGATGCGTTTGCCCAGTGGCAGCCAGCAGGCGGCGCTGCCTTTGGAGGCCACGTCCTTCAGCTGCAGGACAGACATGCCTACGGTGCGGTCCTCTCGGGCGAAGCAGTAGTCCTTCACACACACCTGCAACTCGTAGCACTCGGGACCCACCTCACTGCTCAGGGTGCTGGGGAAGTCAAGGGAAAATGCAGCTTCATTTCACCGATTTTATAAAAATGCCTACATGCATCTCATTGCACTTGACATAAGAACAGACAAAAATAAGGGACAACAATAAAAACAAGAGATACAATCTTGCAACAGCTGGAAAACAGCACAGTAAAAACAATGAAATTCAAAGTTTTTTTTAATAAAAAGCATTGATGAAAAAGTAAAAAGTAATTATTATTTGGACTAAGGGTACGTTCACACTGCAGGTTATGATGCACAATTCAGATTTTTTGTTAAATCCGATCTTTTTGTGCGGTCGTTCACATTACAACAACTTATGCGGCATCTAATGTGAACGGAATGCATCCGTGAAGTGACCCGCATGCCCACAAAGCAGGATGTGACGCCTCGAACACCGCCCGGTTACAGTATGAACCCTCTACTTTGGCTTGAACTGACCAATCTCCCTATATATTTATTAACTCTAATGTTTCTTCTTTTCGCCACTGGCTGTTCTCTGTTTCCTCGCCAGCCATTGCTTTCCACGCCTGTTTGTGTTGTTGAACAATGGTGACGTTTGTCGCATATTGATGACGTATAGGTCGGATAAACGCAACCTGAGTGTACACACTGCAGTCACATCGGATACATATCCAATTTATATCCACATACAAAAGAGGCCTGGGTCGGATTTGAAAAAATCTGAATTGCACTGTTCACACTTACATGAAAAAATCAGATATGTGTCACATATGGTTAAAAAATTGGAATTGACCTGCAGTGTGAACATAGCCTAAGACTAGGAAATCATTACAAATAGGCCAATTCAAAAAAACAGGATTATAATTTCATTGTAGATGTATTATTCAACTTTTTTAATACTGAGCTTCATAGTTTTTGGGCATTAAAGTACTACTATGTCACCATTTCAATTCATATTCTATGCAGATGATACTCTACTATGAACCAGATAAAACGATCTGCAGTCCTGTTCTCTGATCTTAGGGCGGAGATGAGTATCTTCTATGCGGATGATACTCTACTGAACATCGAGTTCAAACATAGTGTAGTTATGTTGTTGTATCTTTAGGTTAAAGAAAACTTGGACCTCTTCTCAGCCTCATTACTCACAAAGTGAAGGTCTCATTGTATTTTGGAGCCCAGCTGTTGTTCTTGGACTTGGTGGCGTATTTCCTCTTCTTGTCACTGAGGTGAGGCCCGATGATGAAGACCTCGACAAAAGGCCGGAATATTCCCTGCGTCTGCCACCTCAGGTCATTGGCAGCCACCACTGTGAAAGAGAGAGCGAAAGAAAGAAAGGAGAGTGAGAGAAGACAGAGTAAAAGAGAGTGGGAAGGTGTGGGAGAGTGAGAAAGCCAGAGAGAGATGTGCGTGTGAGAAGTGAGAAAAAGCGTGAGAGAGGAGAATATGAAGAACAAGAAAATAAAGGTTATTCATGTGGCCTCTTATCTAATTCTTTTTTTTTTCAGACAATGAAGCTGAAGACTAAGGATTTAAATTATTAGGAAATCAGACTCTTCTCTCGCACTGGGTTACGTACATACTGTACTGTGCTGAATAAACCCTTGAATGAAGAAGAACCGGTCTCTAAGAGGAGCCTCAGATTATCCCTCCCAGCATATTGACAGTGAGGCATTTCATTAATTATACAGTGTCGTTTCTTTGGCGATGGCTCTGGTATGACCTTTTGAAGACAAACAGAGCTATAATCCTTTTTCTTTACCTTTCACTGTGACCTTATGCTCCCCGGTGTTGGGGTGGGTGAACACCTCCACATGGATGGACACTTCTCCTACAGCATCGTCCACCCCAGTGCCTGTCAGAGCAGAGGCAAGAGTGAGAGCCATGTTAATGTCTTTGAATGTGGAAATATGGACTCTTAATGCTCCTATCACAGACCAAACACTCTACAAATCACTGTGCATCTTTTTGCCAAAATTCTCCTACTTATTTTGAAAGGCTGCAGACCGATTCCATTTCAATTATCGTGAATAAAAGCATTGAAACAGATTTGTCTTTAACCTTTGGATGTTGCTTAGAAAAGCAAAAAGAAATTTACAAGATGAGCGTTGTTTTTTTTTTGCTCAACGGTGTGGCAGGAGAGCTTGACTGAAGGCACAGTGTTCTGTTTGTGCATATGTTGTGGTCTGGAAGTGGACAGTCAGACAAAGCTGCTATGAGTGGGCATCAGTGTCTCGATACAGGAAAGAACGGCTATCAAATGTAAAATAGAGGGCTATGACTTATTTGCAGGTATATGTATGAAGCCGCAAATAGCAGCAAACCAGCGGCAGTATAATCACTGTAACAGTAAAAATGTCATCATGTCCCCCTGTAAGACACTGCACCATCATTAGTCACTCACTGTGTGCAGATCCAGCCGTTGGCAGGTAATAGTTTGTTTCCAGTGAGGACAGTAATTTGTGCCCACTCATAGACGCAGGTGTCTGTGAGGATGCAGGGTGGTTATTCACAGGCAGAGAAGGAGAATAAAGGAGAGAAAGTTGGAAAGGTCAAGTGACAGTGACGTTCCCCTGACGTAGATTAGGTCAAAACATGCTCAGATGGATCGAGACAGGTGGACGCAGCCATTCCTTGGTAAAGGCTTTTACCCAAGTATGGTCAGAGGAGAGGGGGAGGAGAGAGAAGCAATCCAGCCCCCTCAGATTAGTTGGTGAGGGATGGCACGACTTTCACCAAATGCTCAAAGTTAGAAGTTATTTTCTGAAGATTCTGAAGTCTGCGGGGTTAGAATTCGGGTCAAGATGTGTAAGAACCACATTTTCAAACATTTCTCGACAACTGCATTTAACTGAAAATATCTCTATGTTTCCCAAGTGGAGTTTTACTATCTGTTTTCATCTGAACAACATAAATAGGACACCTTTGGCCTGAAATGTGGAAGTTTTTTTTTTTTATTTCCTGTGAAATTCGTTTAGGTTCTTAGAACTTGACATGAAGACAGGGATAAGACAGTGTTATTGTTGTTTTAGTGCTACATTTTAAAAAAACTTTTAGGGACATTTTAAGTTCTATTTTTGAATAACAAACTTACTCCAGGAGAGTTTTATTTTACCAACACTTTGTAATCAACGTAATCATCAGAATCAGAATACTTTATTCATACCGAGGATAAATTTGGTATATCTAATGCTGCGTTTGAGTTACCTCGGAAGTCAGATGTCGGAGCTGGGAATGACTTCACAACGGAGTTACCAGCGTTTCAGTCACCAAGTCGGAAAAAAGCAAAATTGGAGGCAGAAACAAGATGGCTACATCTACAAAAGGGGATGCTAAAATAACTTAAAATAACTAAAATAACAAGCGCTAAAATAAGTTAAAATGACAAGTGCTAAAATAACTTAAAATAACTAAAATAACTTTTGCCTCTGATTTTGCCTTTTTCCCGACTTGGTAACTGAAACACTGGTAACTCTGTTGTGACGTCATTCCCAGCTTGGACATCTAACTTCTGAGGTAACTTGAGCGCAGCATTATTCTAACTATTCAAAATAAGGCGATTTCAAATAGTTAGAGTAATTAGAGGTAATTTTTTTTTCCTTTTTTTGTCATTTTAAACCCAAATCCTAAAAAGGTGGAAAGAGGTTGTTCCTCTCTGATATCAGATACCCAACTCTTGTTCTGACACACTGTTCAGGTCTTTGGGTCCCTCGCTCTGTACTTGTATTTGTAATCCAGTTCAAGAGCAATGAGGACATTGATGGCTCTTGTCAGGCTGAAACTCTTTTGTCTGAGAGGGTGTCTCTGCATCTCTGTGTGGTTTTTATGCTGCACGTGAAAAAAGTGGTTGAGATCCAGGATACAGTGACAGATGGACATGAATTTTCAGTGTTTTAACTTGTGTCAACGATATCGTTGCGGTAAAGACCAGCAGTCTGTGTATATGTGTGTGTATCTTTGTGTGTTTTCAACCAGCCGCCTACTAAATAAGGTGTCTGTGGGAGTTAGACGGCCGAGTGTTCCTGGCATGCTGCTCCATGCATCTCTCCAGGGAGCATTATGGGATTGTTGCTCTTGCTGCCAACAGGACCAAAGAGAGCAGCAGCCATCCATCTGGCCTTGTCTCCTCTGTGGAGGATGTCCACGAAAGATGAGAAAGAAACTTTGCTGGCTAGGAGGCAGAAAGATGTTGCCAAGAAAACGCATGCTTTCTTCTCCGATAAACACAGCGATCAGAGGTATAAACTTTGCAGCATACTGCAAATCTTCCCCAGAACACACAATTAAATCTCAAATTTGTATCTATGATTTTTCCGGTGTCACCCAAGCTTCCTACGATAACAAATGACCCTTGATTACTTCGTTTTCTAATGAGGCAGCTCACAGCCTGCAGTCAAAGGAATGACAGCCCTCAATGATCAGCAGCAGCAGATACATGAGAAGAAATTCCCCTGAGCTTTGTTGAGTCATCCTGTTCATCTTTCAATCATTCACTGTAAAGCGGTAGGAAAAACTGCAGATGTCTGCACTGAAATCTGCTTTAGAGGAAGATGATTTCCATCGTGGTTATAACCAAGGACATCCAGCAGCTGGTAGAAAGGCAGAAGACACAGTGCTTTGAAAGACACCTCCACAAGGGAGCAAGAGAAAGCACATTAGTTTGAATTTCATAAGCTAATGAAAACGAGGATTGGGGATCCAGTCTCTATTATTTTATCTTACTTTTCTGCTTGTTACATTCAAATAGGATGAGGGATGCTGTGATAACGTGTTTTTATTGAGAAAAAATCTCCTAAAACTTAAAAAAAGGTGATAGAAAGACTAGACTAGACTGAAATAAATGCTTCTCTCCATTTCTGTCAACACTGTCTGTAATTCTTGTCACTGGAGTGGGATGGGTGTCAGACAGGACAATTAAAAGCCTCCTGTCTCATTTTCTACATCCGTGAGTGTCACACTTTTAATGTCAATTAAACAAAGATGAGATTTTTGGGTTGAAAAGGGGGACCTGCCCATGTACAAGACAATAATCATTAAAAAAAGTTACAACTTTGTCCAGAGGGGGCACTAAAATCAACACAAACTACACGTTTCTCAAGGGTGCTTTATGTTTATGATAAGGAAACAGCTAATAAATGTAATCAAGTAGCTTCAAGCTCCTGTGAGGAGTTTGTTGATGTTTATGAAATATAGTGGGATTCACACAGATGCCTTTTATGATAAACAAAAGCAAACAAGGCCATCAACAAAAAAAGGATTAAAGATATTTATATTATATTTTTTAATGGTCAGCCAAGCAGCTGAAGACATGGCCCTGTTTAAAATACTCACAAGAAATGCAAAATATGATGGTAACAGTCAGCAGGATGAGATCTTTTATCAGAGGACACTTAAGCATGTAGGGGGCAAGAAGAGCAAAGAGTGCTCAGACCACAGGGGGTGCCAAAACTGGTGCAAACTGAAAGTTCCTCACAGGAGCTTTAAATGAGAAATTTACAAGCCTAAATTTTGAAATGATTCAATCTGACTTGACTTTACTCTCAGTAGTGATAAAAATTCTGGATTAGACAATCATGTTTAAAGAAAGATTTTTAAGCATTAAATAAAATTGTTGAAGGAGACCTATTTCGCTGATCTGTATTTTGATTCATGTCGATCATGTCACAGCGTTGGATGTCCTTGCCAAACCTCTGGGAGGTTTTAAATCATGAGACGAAAAAACCTCCTGATTTACTTCCGGTTTCTCTTAACAGTTCATGAACTAGTGAGACTTGTCCTGAACCTGACATCAGGCTCTGCTGTCCTATTTGGAAAATGTCGAAGTATACGCTCACCCAGCAGGAGCTCTAGTACAGCTCTTACAAGGACAAGCACATCACGAAGCTTGTTCCAGTTCTCTTCAGCACTGATGGCCCATTTTAGTCCTCTGCTCTGCACTCTAAATAAATAAAGGTCTGAATAAACCGCATTTGCATCTCGTAACTGGACTCTTGGGGCCGTTCCCTCAATAAATACCTTCTATAAATGCTGGAAACTTCACTGTATGTAACATTAAAACAGCAGGTATTGTGGCAAAACTAAACGTATAATGATGAGCTAACAGGCTAATGGCTAGCTTTGGAGGTTTTCTGGTCATTTTGTGACTCCAAAGCTCTGTGAAAATGAACTCCCACAAGCTGTGTCTAACTTTATATCACTGAAAAGGAGCCAAAATGAAGCGTTTCTGGCAGAGGCTGAATTGTGCTGAAATTAGATTTTCATGGATGCAAGTAGAGATGAATATTTATGTCTATGTATATATATATTTTTGCTAAAAATGATGCAGAGCAACTGTATAGGATCTCGGTCTATGTAAAGAAAACTGAAAAGACTAAAAGTGGTCACCTTTAAATAAAGTCTGCATGAAAATGTGAAGGCTAAAATCGCACAGCTCCTGCTTCATCATGTGTGAGTGTAGTGAGTAAGAGTCAGATCTTTTTGATATTAACCCAAAGTGACAGAAATCAGATCACCTGACCTGAGGGACTGCTTCTGATTGGCTTAATCTGTAGAGGGGGGGGGATGAGTTGAGTAGCCATTTCTCATCATTGCTGTAGGGAGAGCCGCCCTGCACGTGGGAGCAGTGTATGTGTGCGTTTGTTTGTGTGTGTCCATCTCAGCCTGTGTTTGTGTGTGATTACAGAGCAGGCAAGGACAGGAAGCCCTCCCAGACAAACTGAGCCAACAGCCATCATCATCCTCATAATAATCCTCTTCATCAGTGTCTTTCACTTCACACACACACACACACACACACACACAGCGGGAGAGGGGAAACATCGTGGGGGTTCCCTCTCCGTCTTCTTCACTGGAGACGGACAATACACTAATACGCCGAGCTTCTGCTTCATCAACCTTCAGGACGCTCTCGCCCGGGCGCAACTGCTGATCAGTCACTCTCTTTTCCTCTCGCACACGTGTAAACACGCACAAGCTCACACACACATTCTCGCTCTGCCCTCGGGGCTCTCTGTGGCACCATGCTGGATCAGGATTCTTCCGAACTTTAATGCATTTCTGTTTATTTTTGTCTGATGTCAGCACATCATGCGTCAGTGTCTGCTCATACATACAGTCTGTCGTATGTATTCAGTGCAGCCCCTCACAGACATCAGTGTGTACGTTACATGCATGAATGCATAAAGTCTATGTTCTTATTGTTAGTGTGGGCTGAACAGTGTTTGTGTGCAGAGGAAATGCAGAGATAGAGAGATAAAGAGAGGAAGTATGTCCAGTTTGTGCATTGCATTTATCTTGTTGGGATGAGTTTGAGCAGGCAGGGGGGGAGTTTCAGGATGCACATGGTTTCGGGGTGGCGGGTGGAGGGAGTTGGGCTTTGGTTTTGAAAAAGCTCTCCGGTAGTCCTGGATGTCTCAAGCCCTGAGCCTGAGTGCCACATACCCTTTTCTGGGTAAACATCCTCACTAGTGGTGAACCTGACCCCCTTCCCGCCGAACACTGACCCAAAGAAGGGACAGAAAAGGGGGAGTTGGACAGGGAGAGAAGAAACATGTAGAAATATGAGGTTTGCAGAAAGTAAAAAAAAAACAAAAACAGACCAACATTCATGTGTCACGCCCCCTAAAGATGTGAGACATCCTGATAGGAAGACTTTAGGTTCATTCAGCCCTTTTTCTCCTCTAGATTCTTTGAAGACTCTGCATAATCCTCAAACATGCAAAGCTGCAGTGAAAACTCCTTGCCCCATGAACTGAACAGTATTTAGCTAATTAAACTTTAAACTACCATCCACTCGAGTGGCTTTTCTACCCGTGGTGCTCAGGGACAGTATGCCAGCATCAGCTCTTCCACAGAGATGATGGTTGTTATGTAGCAATCTGACTGGAGGATGGAGGCTGAGCAGCGAGAGAAAAGAGGGGGCGGGTATTTATTCTTTCATTGCAAATAGCTGTCAGATCATGTAAAGAAAAGTCTCCGCGTTTCCAGAGACTGGATACCAGGAGACTCAGCATATTGGAGCAGGAGAAATGCTATGTAGCCACTTCATGCGATACAATAATACAATATTTTCAGGGTATAAAGCTGAGTGTTTAGAAAACCCTGCGACAACAGACACAGCAGAGAAGGTCCTCTGAAAAAGCTATGAACAAGTGATCTGAATCTGAAAATTATGTAAGATTAGAAAAATGAAGAAACTAGAAATACAGAGGATCAAAAATTTCCCAAAGACAGAGAGAGGAGGCGTTCAGGTTACCTTGTGATGTCTGCGACTGGACAAAAGTCTTTATGAGTTTGTCAGTAGCTTGAGTGTAAAGCGACAGGGCGTAGTGGAGAGACAGAAGGTCAGGACTTTTCTCCAGGAAAGTCTTCTTCAGTCCCACACCTCCAGCATGGAAATATTGCTAACAGAGAAGCAGAAGAATTAGACCACAGCTGGACATTTCATGACTTCATTCTAATCTAAAATTGTTCAAAGCTTAGATCTTAGATTTAACTTAAAATAGACAGACAACAAATCAAGTGTACATACAGAAATTTTTCTCAGTTTTATAAAAATATATGGACTCATTTTAAATCTAATGCCAGTTGAAATAAGACTAAAATATCCTGGAGGAGTATTTACCAACCAGTTAGAATAACTGGGCAAAATGTGAGCAGCATGACTCGGTATAAGAGGAATATTTCAGACAGACTCTCAGAAGGAGACGTGGAAAGAGGTTCATCACTATGTGGGAGGGCGCATGAGTACACAGTTCAACAGTTTTGGAAAATTATTCCTCTGCAGAGAGTTTGGGGATTTCACCACCTACTGTGCAAAACATCATGAAAAGATTCAGAGGACCTGGACAAAAGGGACAAGGCCAAAAAAACAACACCCGATGACTATGATCTTCAGGCCTTAGGGAGGCACTGCTTTAAAAATAGATATGACAGTCGCTGAAATCATTGCACGGGCTCAAAAACACTTCAAAAACACTTTAGTTTTTGAGCACAGGTTTATTCTGCATCCATAACTGCAGTAAGAGAAAACTATAAGTTAACATGCCCCAGAAACGTTTGTGACTCCTCCTGGCTACAGCCAATTTAAGGTGGCCTGAGGTGACGTGGGAAATTGTCCTGCAGCTTTCTACATCAAAATTATGACATTTTTTTGCTGCCCCTTTGTCACATCCTCCACATAAAGAGAAGAGGGACCACCCAGGTAGTTATCAGCTCACACATCAAAAGCCATCATTATGAGATAAGTATAGTGTTCCATAAGAGCCAATGGCATGGATAGCTTACACACATTAATGCTGAGCACTAAAGATAGCTTTAAACACCCTATGCTGCCATCCAGACAATGCCTTCCTCAGGGGAGACCTTGTATATTTTAGAGAGACGATGCTAAACCCCGTTTTGTATTTATTACAACAGTTAAAGGCTTCAGGTGTTAAACTGGCCTGTCTGCTGTACTGACTTGCCATCCACTGAAAATACTTGGTGCAGCACCATGAAATGAAAGATACAACAAAAAAAGGAGACCCTGAACTGTTGAGCTGCTCAAATCCTTGATCAGGCAAAACTCTAGACTGATCTTTTCAATTCTTCAACATTTACAGAAGTTTGTTGAAAGAGAGGTAATGCAACACAACTGTAAACTACTCCCTAAACTCAGATTTTCTAAAATGTATAGCTGGCATCAAATTAGAAATGAGCATCTAATCTTTTTTTAGACAACACTTTTACTCCTAACATTTGATATGTTGTCTACACTTTTTTAAACAATAAAAAAGATTGAAATGATTTTCAAACCATCAACCCACTGAGCATTTTTTGGTCTAAAAGAGGTCTAACAGACATCTACATAAACTCAGGCTACCACAGGTCTGAAAATGAAAGTTTTTTTAGATGTCTAAATTTAGACCAAGTTTAGACTAACTGGCTAACAGGGGTCTACTCTGTATATTGCTCAATGGCTATCATAATTATTTTGGTTGAGTGCTTGGAGATAAGTTATGCAACTCACAGTTGCTTTTTGAAATAAATAATCATTGAATAACGGGTTAAAGTGCAACATCTAAATTCCGTCTGAACATATACAGAACCTAGACGGTTGAAATTATATCTAAAAAAAACCCTAGCCATCTAATAGCAGTCTATTGCCCAGTGGGAAGTTTCATCTTCATTTTGGAATAGGGTCAGTTATTAAGTTAATTTAGCCAAGAACTTTGGTCATAGATTATCTATCAGAGATACAGGTAATCTTCAGCATCAGGTGCTACATGCTTTATTTAGGAGGACCTGAACACAGAGTTAGGGGTTGTATGCACCAAATAGGACCAGGAACTCATCATACAACCAGTGTAATAAGAACAGTGGCCATAATGCTTTAGTTTCATACAAAGTGCACTTACATTAAGAAATAAAGTAAACTTTCTTGAATGACCAAACTAAAAAAACAAAAACAGAGCCATGAAACCACAAAATAAGTCCTCATTCTTGAGGGGATTGAACATGTGACTCTTGCAATCATGACTCTAATCATGACTCTTGTGTGACGAGCGGCATGTAGAAAGTAATCTGATTTCTAAAGCTTCAGTCACTGTTATTTAAAATGAAAATTACAGAGTACCTTGATGGTGTCCAGGGCCAGCTCTATCACAGCACACTGCTTCGGTGTGAGTGCTTTAGCCTCCTCACGAACCATGTGTTCCTGAGGATAACACAGGAACAAGAAAACAGACCAAAGTTGCCACTCTGTTTACACACAAATGTCTCATGTTTTCCGAGCAATTAGAGGCATTTCTACGGCACTCACACCCATCCCGGAGAAATATGGTGTAAAACACATCGTACCTTTAGTTTGGACAGCTGTCCCAGCTCTTTGGCGGCATTAAAGATGAGCTGAGTGCCCTGAAAATGACAGATAGATGAAAGGTAGACAGGAGGAGAGAGAAAACGCTTGTTATTATCATGACGGTGCTGAAACGCAGTGAGCGGCTTAGTGTCACACACAGGACAGCAACGTTTCTGACACACACATTCATCGAGTCACTCTAAGCCGCTTTAGACACGTCAAGGCACTTTTTCCTGTGCTGTTATCACACTTATCTGTGTTTCATATTTATTCTAAAATATCACACTCCACTGCACAAATCCACACACAGTAAGACATTTTGGTACAAAAAGAAGGGAAAGTGGCTCAGCTCTTAGAAATTAAAAGTACTCATGCACTCATGAACACACACGTGCAGGCGCACACGTGGTGCACGGAGGAATTTACTGGAGGTCCAGCCTAATGCAATACTCTGGTAAGGGAATACTTAGGTAAGTGCTGCTGACTGAACCTTCAAAATCTGTCTTTGGCTGCTGAGATATGCCTTTGTTTTGGAATCTCCGGTGCTACTTAGTTATCTTTGAGTAGTTAGTCCCGAGTAACTTGCTTGAAATAAAACAAAACACAAACATAAATTCTCCTCATGGGTAAATCATTATATCTGAACAATAGCGATAGTAATTGTGATGGCTCACAGCAATGCTAACAGGGATTGTAACATATACCAGTGGTTTAAAATTTAGGTAGGATCAAAAAGAGAAGTGAACTCCTTGACTTATGACTTTGTGTTGCGTTTTAGCTGCGAATGTTTAGATGTACTGCATATCAGAGTGTATGACCTGTGGTGAGTGTTGGGAGTGTGGGCAGCCACTGCTGCAGCATTTCACAGCATATCAACAGCACTACAGAGGAATGTTGTGTGAAAAACAAAAGTGAGAAAATCAATGTTTTCCACTGCTTTGTTTGACTGCCGAGCTGAGGAAGAGAGACGGAGACACGGAGAGGAGAGAGGACATATAGGAGAGAGACAAGACACATTGATCTAAAGGGGTTTAGTCCTTACATCACTGTGAGAAGCACTCTTCAGCCTCCCCTGGAAAGAGAGCATGTGGTTAATACTTCAAGCAAACACCAGTGCCTGCATTCTGACTTCATGCTTATAGCATCTCTATGGCATGAGAACATGAAATCATTGTCATTACGTTTCGATTTGGCAAAATCCTCAGTTTCTTGCTACTGCTAATCGTATCAACTCCTATCAATCTACCATTAAGCTAGCCCTTCAGCGTAACAGCAACAGATGGTCTGCCCTATCATAAAAAAAGGAGTCAAACAATTTGCAGAAGAGGAACAATATTCATGCCGACAAGACATAAAACGGATGCTGACAGAATTAGCCCAGAAATATGCAAGTCATACTTTCACAAAATAGTGCGCAGATCTATTTAGACAATCTCATATCAAAGGGAAAACTTTTAGTAAAAATCCAAAAGTCATATATAATCCACAATGACTTGCAAACAAGTGTGGTATGTGGAAAAAAATGATTGTACTTGCCACCTAACCCAGTTAGGGCAAAATGAGAGGATCTAAGCATGATGATATTGGTCTGTTAAGTACAGAGATAACGTCAAGAGATGATAAGTCTGGCTTAGTCTACTGTTGGAGAACAGTTGAATTTAACAACCATGGCATTATTAAATTAATCTACCAGAACCTCTGAAGCCAACAGAGAAACTCAAAAGTTGTTTGTGTTGAAGTGAATCCTGAAATCAATGTGAAAGGTTAAATCCATCCTTTGAAATATACAAATAGTTAAAATAAAAACTAAAAATTTATGAAGCTCTGTGCTACAAACTGTTTTTTAAGCCCCATCTTTACATATGAAGTCACAAAAGTCACGATTATCGTTGCATGATCAACATTGCACAATCAAAAGCCGATATTTCTCCAACAAATTAGGCACAAATTTGAGTAATCTAAGTTAAAATAAATAGCCAAATTACAGATCATATGCTTCCGAAACAGAAATTTATCCAGCAAGTAGAAAAAAAATATATCAAGTCACTTGATTTGTAGCATTTTTTCTTTTGTTTGCCTTTTATAAATACACTCACGATCAGAACAGGTTATCAATGAACGCCCTTATGTTAAATGTAAAGCATTCATTCCTGAAGGAGGGGTCAACTGTGACCCCGGTCATTTTATCAATATTTATGTAAGGAAATTTTCACATAAAAAACATAAACCTTAAGGAGTAACTCTCTTGTTTCCTGATTGGATTTCACCATTTTTGATCAGCATCAGCTTAAACCAATAGTTCTTGTAAGAAAAGCCATTTTTTTTTGTAACAGGACCAGTGACATAATACCAGCAATACAATCGTCATAGCAACAACAGAACACAAAATCAAACCAGGACAGACCAACATGACAGGTCTGCAAAGACATACAGTACAGTGCTGTACAGTATACTGAGAGAAGACTTCAGTGTTGAAATAGATCAGATGCAAGCAACAAACCCACAGTGGGTAGTGGGGGGAAGGGCGGGACACGGTTCAAACAGGTGGGGAAGGTGAAGGTAGGAAAGAGGTAAAAAAAGGTAGGGCTGGAGGTGGGGCAGGACACCAGATACCAAGCCAGCAAGAGATCGGAGTCACCCCACCAGAGTTTCAGTAAAAGGACACAATGCATGAGAAGAAACAAGGCAACACCAGGCGCAAAGAGAGGAGTACTACTTCCTGTTTGAGGAGAGTGTTCAGGAAGAAGACACAGCAGAAGAGAGAGGGGCTTTGATTGGATTGTTGGGGGTGTAGGACCTATCAGAACCAGTCAGGAATGCACCATGCTTCTGTCTTCTCAAAAGAGGGACAGTGTTGTAGAGAGGAGAGGAGAGGAGAGGAGAGGAGAGAAGAGAAGAGAAGAGAAGAGGAGAGAAGAGAAGAGAAGAGAAGAGAAGAGAAGAGAAGAGAAGAGAAGAGAAGAGAAGAGAAGGTAGAAAGACAGATGGGACAGGTCCGTGAAGGGAGCGGGTGTGATGTAGGGTAAAAAACAGGGGAAGATCGCAGCCACATATAGCAGAGAACCAACCACCGTGGACGGACAGACAGACAGACACGCAGGAGAGCTGTACTTACAATCATCTGTGGAGGGAGAGCGGTGGGAGCGGGATGTAATTGTAATCACAACAACAACAACAACCAGAGAAAAGGGTCAGTCAAGCTGCAAAGAGCCCCACATCAGTCAAAAAAAACACACAAGTGTGGAGGGAGGGAAGTCCACCAGATCGATAAAGTATCATTACCTCAAGATCCGTCATAAAATGAGATATTTTATCTCAAGAGCAGTATATGACATTTGCACACATTGCAATTTTTTTGTCGTCTTTTAATTCAACTTAACTTACTGTATTTGACAGGGGCTTAGTACAGAGATATGGTTTACCGAGGCTGAAGCTGCAGTGTTGACATCGACAATCCAGAGATTAACTACCATCATACAGTATATTTACTATGATATGAGGCTCTTTAGTCAATAACCAAACACAAATAAGAACACATATATCCAAAACAAAAGGAAACAATCGGCTGCTTTCCAAAATGTATGACTCTTTTTGGAACTAGGCCAGATCCTCTGGGCAAGAAATTTTCTGCCGCTCTGTAGTGAGTTACTCATAAATCAGGAATCTCTCCAAATAATGGTTGGCTGACATGCTGGAGAGCAGCCATGAGCTGGTGTTAGAATGATATGGTGCACTCCTTTTATTCCTTTTTTTTCTCTTAAAGGGTTTGATCTTGATTGTCTAGATGAATGGAGGCACTGGGGGCGACGTTAAATATGTGTGGGGGTTAAGAAAGTGGATCAGATGCCATGTCGATGTGATGCTGAAGCAGTTTGATCTTTTTGTGTGTTTGAGGGCCATCTCAAATAATCACACACATAAAATGTCTGCCTTTGTATTCCCTTTCCTCAGTCTCCACCTCCTCCTTTTCTTTTGATGCTGCCTTGGCAGTTGGAGGTGTGTCGGTGTGTATTTGAACATGTGTGGGTGATTGTGTGTTGTATGTTTTACATGGTTTTCTGTCGTTTCTCATAGTGCCGTATCCACCAGAACATAGGAGGGAAAGAGTTCCTAAATGTGTGTGCATGTGTGTGTGTGTGTTAAGCAGACTAAAAATAAATATCACTGCTTGCATGGACAGCAGGCAGAGTCAGCTATAGGTGCCAAAACAGCATGTGTGGCTCTGCATTATCATGGCCAGTATATGTGTGTGTGTGTGTGTGTGTGGCTGTATGTCTCTATATGTGTATTTGTAAGTGTGAGTTCTCTCACCGTTTGGTCTGTGAGCGGCGGCAGAACGATGGTCTTCTCCATAGTGTTCATCACCAGCTTCCACAGCTCCTTTAGCACACGCTTCAGCACGGTCTTCTCACAGATCTTAGCAAACAAAGTCAGGCTGACAGGAGGGGCAGACAGAGGAAGTCAGTGAGAGATGATTAATGAACAGCAGGAGGAGGAAGAAGAAAACCCTGTTCATGGAGGAATAAAAGATGAAGAGAGAGGGAGTTTTAATGAAAAGGAGAGGGTTACACAAAGTCCCTTTTTTAACCGCTCAGGACAAACTTGCATTTCTGATTCTTAACAATCTCAGAGTATTTCAGGTTGAAACTGAAGCAGAAACTTCGAGCTGAGAAATGAAGTCAACAAAAAAAGTAAAAAGAAAGAAAAACAGTTCTGCAGTTCCTTAAGTGGCCACTTGAGGCTAGCCCTAAAAGTGAGCCAATTCTTGCTGGACCATCTTTAGAGCAAAAATAAACATTATTTATTTTATATACGTGAAACTGTATATAAAATCAAGGACAAGGCTGAGTGGGTACTGCTAGATGCTTTACTGCTGGCCTTCAACTCTCTGACATGTTTGTGTTGTCAGTAATAGATCATTGAATGTGAATATTGCACATTAAAAACAGACCTTTAAATACGTCGTTGCAGGTGAACGGCCCCAGCTCTAACATGCAGGTATCTGTGTATGCTGCATACCTGGCTTTTCAGCTCAAACAGTGTTCATTATATTTTGTGGTGCTCTGTGCAGTGCAGACAGGACTGTCATTGGTTTTTACCTGCAGAGAGGACCAGTACTTTTAATTTACTTTGTTTGGGCTATATGACAGGCGAGCAGAGTTTTGCACGCTCTCATTGCTTCCTTATCCACAAAACAAACAGCTGTGGTTGGCTATCACCACAAATAATCTCTGATTTTGTGGGAAACAGTAAAACTTTGATTATTTTGCAGTGCCCACTCTCTATTTATTTTCCTCTCAGCTCTCTAAAAACAGGATGGCAGGGCGAAAATACCAAACTCAGAGTTGTTTATGGCATTTCTCCACCAATGAGGGACTGAAAAGAATCTACTTCTGGGTCTTCTATACAGTCCATGGTAAACTTAAAAAAATTAATCATAGCTGAGCTGTCTCTTTAACACTCCACTTAGATGGCAGGCTGCCTCACTTGCTGTCCAGAAACTCCATGATGGGCTGCAGGACATTATCTGCATCCTGGGCCACACTGCTGGCATTTCCCACATTTGTGTTCCCCTTCACCTGGGCCAAGATGTCTCCCATCTGCTTCACGTTCTCCTCTATGTGAGGCTGGAAACTGGAAGAAATCGAGGAAAAAGGTTTCAATTAATTCTTCACTGTCAGTAAACCTGAATGTGAAATATACTAAATATTAAGGACTTTGTATGAATGACATTATGATTGTGTTGCTATACCTGACTGAAAAGATCCTGCTGAGATCATCCATGACGTTATTGAGCTTCACCTGCAGGTCCTTCAGGATCTCACTGGCCTCCTCACACAGCTGCAGTAAATACATCCAGACACACAAACACACAGCAGGCTGGAGTTAATGGGCAGGGGATTAAGCAGCGAAAACATCGCCAGCAACACATGTGGGAATAAAGAAGCCCAAACTAACTCAAAACACATTCATGCAAAAGTAAAACCAAAAACAACAACAACACCTGCTGCGAGTGGAAGCTTAAATTAGGGGAGAAAGGAGAGAAACACTCACATCTTTCCCACCCATGGCTTCAAACATCTTCTCTAGCTGAACTCTCAGCTGCTGAATATTATTGATCAGGATGCAGGGCTGAGGATGTAAATATCAAGCAGGTTAAGAACAACTTCATTAATCGATTATAACTGATACACATTGCTTGTCTTGTCTAAACTGACCAAGCTGACTCCTCAAGTTTGCCCGCTTACCACTTTCTCCATTTTGATGTAGTTAGGAAAACACTTGGAGATAATGTCAGCGTAGGACAGGAGTACATTGCTGATGGTCTGAAGGGAGAAAAATGAAAAAGTAACAGGTAATCAGTCCCCGTGGAGAGGAACTGCTGATTTGCGCATTTGTGAATTCAAACATGATGTTGTGGTGTAATAATGTAGCCTTAAAGTGTAATACAACTAAAAAGTGCAGTTTCTTCTTATTCTACCTTAGCAAATCTCTTCATGTAGTGTCCGACAATCTGCGGATCTGGACACTCTAGTTTCCTAATGATCTCAAAACTCTGGTTGAGCTGAGAGAACACGTCCACCACCGAACAGGAGAACAGAGCGTGTTCTGATGTGATCTGGAACTGTAAGGCAGAAAAAAGGAGGGAGAAAAGTTAAAGAGCCAGGGGGCACCAGGTGAGAGCTAAGATATAAGGAAGACTGAGGTTTGATCACAGGGTACCGAACGTCACGTCAAAGGATTATTAGACACCATTGAAAAGAGAACTTTGATATCTTTCTCCACATCTACATAACCTCACATGCACCACAGCCAACTAGTCAAACAGGGCATCCTGAGACAGGTGGGAGCTCCTGTCTTTCTCCGTGTAATTGGCAGCTGGTTAGTGCCTGCTCCGTAATTGGCCCAGGGTGAATGTGTGGGTGCTCCTCCAGGGGGGAGTCTGGGTAATGAGGTGAGGATAGCTTTCCTATAGTCAAAACTCTGGAATAAGACCATTAACTGAGAATATCCCGCTGTCACAAAGAGGTATCCTTTCCTTACCTACGAGCATGTCTCGACCACGCTTCTTTAAACTTCAGAGGAGTTGTTTTATAGGATGACGGGGGCTAAGAGGATGTTTCAAACGCACTTTTTGCTTTGCTGACTGTTCAGCAGTGTCCATGCTGTTTTTTGTTTCTTTTGAAGAGCGCAGGAGAGGTGGGGGTGGGCGGGTGGGTGGGGGAGTGTGCGAGGCAGAGCGGAAGGGAGGATGAAACTCTGCCTGATAACTTTGACTGTGACAGAGGGAGTACAAAGAATGGATTACAGTAATTCTGCCTTAACAACAACAGCGACTCAGCGTTTCCAGAAGAGTGAAGGGGAGATAAGTAGAGGGAAAGCTATAAAGTTTTACCCCATCTTTTTTGTCTCTCTCCAAAGCACCGTGCAGAAAGTCTCGAGACACTTCCTCATTTTCATCCAGCCACTGAATAACAAACGGCTCGAACCACCTATGGAGAGCAGAAAATTCACACAATTTTAGGATTTTATGTAGTCAGTTTTTCTATTCTCCGTGCTCGGGAAAACTGCTGATGCCAAACTGTGAAGGGTGAGCGGGTACTCACGCAGGATATTCAGGCACCCTGCTCTTGAAGAAGGGCAGATCTTTGCAGTACTCGTTGTACAGCCACTTGACTTTGAAGTGCAGGTTCATGTAATCGGCACTCTTGCACAAGCGATTTTTTTCATGCTCTGAGAGACAAAATTAAAAAAAAACAAAAAACAAATCTGCAGTGAATGGAAAGCAAATTTCATTTCTGGGATTGTAGCCATGCAATGATCACATATCTACAGTGAAAAAAGAGGCATCATCCGAGAGCTGGATACGTATGTAGACTTAAAAACATAATCCACAGTTAAAACTGAACATCAAAAACAAATATTTAAATCTAATACTTTGTGTTTATAAGCCGAGACAAAATCAACTATAATTCAGATCTGTGTGTGAGGAGTCCAAAACAAGACTCGGTGTTTATTCAGTTGATGTCAACAAGCTCTTTATCATCCAACATATGGTTTCATGCTTAAGGTTTAACGCCATGGCTGTCTGTGCTGCAGTGAAGTTTTTGGACTATAGCAGAGTTACAGAGTATAAAATTAATCACTTGAATGCATCTGTAAATCTATATCACTCCAATGAAAACAGTAATAATTAAAATTTTCTAGTTCGTTCAATTCGATCAACATTATGTGGAGCTGAATAACTGTGATATCTTGTAAAAAAAAAAAAAAAAAAAAAAACAAGAAGAGGAATAAAAGCAAAGAAAACCAAGTCTTCAGGCCTGTGCCTTCAATACAAACACAAAGTGTCTGACTTTATTCAGTGTGGGAGAATAAAACTAACTTATGAGTCAGAGATGTGATTACAGAAAAAGGTGATTATATATACTGAGATGTAAACCTATACAGGACATACTTGTAGAAAAAATAAATGTGCAAAAATAACATGTTTTTGTTTTGTTGATTATATTCCCCCACTCAACAAGGAAGAGGATTTATTCATTCGGCTCATTCTATCACATGATGTACACCTCCACACGCTTTCATTGACATGTTCAGGAGATTTGACAATGACAAAGCAGCACAGAAAAGGATTCAGGCGTTGTATAATGTGACTCTGAGTATTAATCATGCAGATCTTTTTTTCCCCCTGTTTTTTTTTATGTTAACAGACTCTCTTGTCTGCAGAGTACTTGTTATATTTTATTTATAATCCACAGAACTGTAGATGAACATCAGACCTTATGACGAAACTCATTTTCACAACAGATCATCTCTTCAGCCTGTGATCTCCAGCTTCTCTGTCCTTCTTTCATGCTCGACATGAGTACAGTCGTCCTAATGTCTATCTAACTAGTCCACATCACATCCTTTTGAAAAAATGATATTCTTGTAGGGATAATAAATATGAATGAAACTGCCTATTTTTAAAGCAGGGGGTGAGATTTAATCACAAGAGGCTTCTGGAGTCTTGTTTGGAGACACGGAACGATGCAAAATCTGAATGTTTGTCCTCTTGTGATGCCATCATACAGGAGAGATGATGCTACCAAGTGTGACTATCCTCTCTGATCAGTTTCCACAGTTGTAACAAACCCAATGGGAAAGAAAAAAAGATCTACTCAACCCTCTTTACGTATTCATGACCCTTAGAGCAATTTCTTCACACTGTTCTGTTTCTATGTTTCTGGTCATTAGTGCCAATAAAGCCTGACTCACAAAACTGCTCTTAGCATATCTTCATGTCTTTGACAGGGCATGGCCAGTTCAGAGATTCGAGTTTATTGGTCGACTCACCCTCCATTGCATACTTCATATCTTGTGCAAACAGGTTCCACATCACTTCAGCGCTGATTTTACCCACATTGAGCTCCTGGGGAAATCTTGGAGGAGAGAATGGGTAACAGTTTTATTAAAAATATATGAAACTGAGCAGATAAAAGCCTAAAAGGAAAGTTTTAAACAGAGACAGTAAATATACAGTGATGCTATTTGAACGGGTCGGGGGGAGAAATAAGAGAATATGAAGGTGAAAGGTGCCGGGGAGGAAAGACGTACTGGTTTAGGCAGGGGGTGTAGGAGTTCTTGTCCTCCTCAATGATGGAGACAATAAGTGTGATGAGTTTGGACCAGAAATCCAGATTCTTGATGCTCGGTCCCTGCTCCTCTTGTGGCACAGCACCTTGTTTGGCCTGTAAAAGAAGTGACACAACAGGAATCCCAGTTTAACTCTTCAACAAACTTTTAAGGAAGTTTTAGCCCACCAAAGATTTTTTATTATCAAGTTTCTCATTATTAAACTATACTGTACTTACAAAAACTGTACCCACATTATTAATCAGAGAAGCAGTTCACCAAAAATAAGAGCACTTATAAATAGGGAACCAGTGGGGATTTTTGAAAATGGCATCATCTGAGGCAGAAACTTTCTTGGTTTGAAATCTCCACTCTGTTTGTAATTCATCGACTCATACATATTCAGCGTTTTCTGCTCAAACTGCTTTAAACAGACTCAGAATGTCAACTGTCTGGATGACTTCTTTGAAACAGCTAAAGATGTGCTGTAAGAAGAGGAAAAAAAAGAGCACAACTAAGCCGAGCGCCACGGGGGTTGAAGAGTGAAGAATGATCTTGTGGAGATTTCAACAAAATATAGCAACACCCCTAAGGATGAAATGTTTTATTCAAAGGGAAAAAAAATACTTGTTTGAAATTCACGAGGGAATCTGAAAGGGGCTGGTGCTTTAATGAGGACTCAAAGCAACTTCTGGAAATCCCTGCTGAACTCCTAAGCAGCCGTGATGGATAGTCGAGCCAGGACTAGTCATACTGAGAGGATGATATGGACTCAGACATGCCATAGTGCATTTAAAAAGAAAAAAAGGAGCTTAAGCCAAAAAAAAATATGTGTATATTCATGTTAGTAATTAGTATAAGGTTTTTACAAAATAAATAACACTAGCCAAGTCATTCCTTCAGTGATGTTGGAGTGAGGCTATGATTTATCTCCTCTTCCCTCTCTAAGAGTGAACCAAATTATTGCTAAAAAATCAAAACAAAAATATCAAACACTGGACAAAAAGTTTGAAGAAAACCTAAGTAATCTTAAAACACAAAACAGCCAATGCAGAAATCAATTTTTTCCCCCAATTTTATACTAGAGAGGAGAACACTCATATGACCTTTGGTAATACTGTGTTTTTTTCTTATGAACATATAAAAAATAAATTACATCTGAGAGTGGAAAAGAGGAAAATAAAGAGACACACATCCACTCCTACACATGATACTGAATCAACTGCTAAGCCATACCGGGTCTGTCTGGTATTCACGGCTGTACAGCTCATTGCAGTTATTGAAGATGTATTCGTAGGTGGAGTTGAGGCAGGCTTTGACACAATCCTTCACTACCTGACTGGCTCGGGGTGGAGACTGGAGCTCTTGTACCTGAAAAAAAAACAAAAATGTAAACACAAAAGTGAGAAAGTTACAATAGACAAGTTCACACACTTAAATCTTAAAACTGTAGCTGTGAAAAAAAAACAGATATTTAAAGATCTGATATTAGTATTAGAGTGAAAACTGTGCCTTACATTTATCACATTCACGTCAGCACATGAATAAACTACAGATCAAAATAAACAGGCTCACACAGATTACAAAAAAGACAGGGACCGTACCTTCATCCTGAAGAAAGTGATACTGGTGAGGAGGTCCACAGTGGATTTGAGGTCCTGCAGTCTCTCAGGGCTGCTAGCAGGAAAGTTGTTCTACAGTCAGAGAAAATCAATAAATAAATCAATAAAATAAAAAAAAAACACAACACACTGTAACATGTCAATCTTTGTCCAGTGTGTGTTCGTGTCTGTGAGCAGCTTGGTAACACAATTTCCACTGCCATCAATCCCCCTGTTTGGTGGCACAGTTGTTATTGTGTGGGAGTTAAGTGTTTCCTGAATGTGTCTGTGCATGTTTCCCAGGAGCTGTGAATCTATCTCCGCCTGCTTTTCTCTCTGTTTATTACAGAGAGATAACGGATAGATGGGAGAGCATGAGGAGACAGAGAAATACAGTTCAAAGGAGAAGCTGTGAGGGTTGAACTTCTGCTGTGTAGACGTGAATGTCATCTAACGTAATGTTTTCAATGATAACTGGAAAACAGTCTTACTCTGTACATCGACAGGTCAATCCTCAACGAGTTGTGGAGCTGATCTAGGAGCTTGACAAATCGCTCTTTCTGTTGGGATTGAAACACAGATATTAACATTGATACTCACATAGTGGACAAACTATATCTCTAAATACCAATACAGTTTAACATTCAGAACAAGGATAACAACTGAGCGAAAAATGACACATTTGTATAAACAAAATCTACTATTCATAGAAAAAGAAATCAAAATACCCAAATTCTGATTACTTAATTACTTTTTCAGTTTCTACAAAGCCATAAAAGCATCTTATACTACATAGAACACAGTAAAAAAAACACACAAACAAACAAAGACAAAACCCAACATGGTGAAAAATTAAACAAGCAAACAAGTAACAATATATTTGAAGAAGATTAACATAAAGTATAATAATATGTAACAACATAAAGGGGGAACAAAAATAAAAATTAAAATAACTTGGAATTATTTACTAATTAAACTAAATACAACCCTTTAATGCCTGAAATCACAAATTATGGCTAGAAAATTCAATTTTTTTGGAGCTGAAAAGTTTATTTCACTTACTACTGAAAACAAAAAAAATCTAAATGTCCTTAAAATTTAACATTAAATATTTATCTCATTTGATACAGTAGATGTTTTTTGAAACTGATAAACCACAAGAAGACATTTTTATAATTTATCGGACTGTATTCAGGTGTGTTTTTTAGTAATTTGTTGATTATATTGATTTGATAGAAGTATTATAAACGGATGTTTATAATCAAATATGATACAAAAGGCATTAAAGGGATAATTGATAACACTCCGAAGTGATTCCTCAGTGACTCACCCCAAAGTTCGAAGCAGCAAAGCGATCAGAGGCAGAGACGTTGTTTGTTGCCTGGGTGGTGTGAGCATAGTACGCATTAATGTTAGCCAGTAGTGTACTCATCACAGCAGGAACACCAGGGCACATGTACTTCGATGACAGGCAGGCAAAGTGACTGCAAAAGAAGGACAGACATGTAAATAAACAGAGAAAACTTTACCTGCAGGTTCGAAGCACATTTCCAGGTAAAATAAAAAAACGTACGTCATGGCCTGGTAGATGGACTCGACACCGTAACGCATGGCGAACTCGTCAACAATCTCCTGGGGAGTCTCCTCAAAGTAGACCTTCCATGCGTCATCCCCTTTAGCATCAGGGATCTTTACCACACCGTTGTTCTGAATGTCTGTCACAAAGTGGAAGAGGTTCTGCAGAAAGAGAAATTGGAGAGAGTCAAAAAAAGAGAGAGCTTAAAGGGACCAAGAGAAAAATGAGTGAGGGGGGTAAACAAAAATAACACAGTATAAATGGAGCTGTAGCTTTAAAACAAAAAAGGAGGGATTGTGAAGCGGTGAATGGTTAATTAGGACTTTTTTACTCCAGGGATAAAACTGTGTTAAGGGCACACAGATGTGTCATCATGATAGCTGACAGTAGGTCAGATTTTTAAGGGTGTTTCAGGTAGCTTTACGTTTGCAGAGTTAAGCTGTAGACTTCTCTGAAGTGAAGCTGAGTGTTCTTTATGTTTCATTGTCAAAGAAATAAGCACATTACAACTCATAATCCAATAAAACTTTAATGGCTGGGCTGCTTAAATAACAATCAAAAATCATTAAGTGGCCAAACACATGGTGCTGTCTTGACTTCCCAACCATAAAGTGCTGTAAAACATTCAGAGTTCACTGTGTGGTTTATGGCCACTTACATGCAGCAATAACGACGGTCATTTGTCTGTTAAGGTTCAGCTAATGTGCTCTGCTGAGTAATGGGCTGAGTAATGACTGCACACAAAGCTGTGATTGGGCTACAATCAATCAGCGGGGTTTTCTGCGAAGAGCCGGAGTAGAAATGCGTGTGATGTCTGGAAGTGGTCTTTATCTCATGAGAGCAAAGCAAACTTCGCAGAGTATTAACTGAAGTTTAATTTGAAATGGATCCATTATGGACTTAAACATCAGTCAAGTAAATTAACCTGTTTGGTATGGCTCATTGGGATGACTCTGCACAGACACACAGTGAGGGAAAAGTACTGGATGTACAGCACAAGAAGAAATGCTTTAATTAATTAATGATCCTGCGCAAAATGTTTAACTCAAATATCCCACTTCGGTGCGCAGTGTGCAAATGTACCCAGATATTACAGACAGAAAGCATATGTGATTTTTATTTTGTGCAGGAGTAACAAAATATGCACCACATGAGGGAAAAATATCCTCTCAGGAATAAGGGTCACCATTCTTACCTCATGCAAACAGGTGTACTGCACATGATAGGGGGCCACGGTCTCCTCTCCTTTAATCTCTACATTGATGTGCATGCGAATAGCTCCAGACACGGCTGATTTGTCTGTTCGCTTATCTGTGAAGAAAGCATGGCATATAGGATCACAGTTGTTTAACCTGCAGTTGAAAATCAGAGCAGAAGCTATAAGATTAGCAAAACACAAGCGACGTGGGCTGTTAATTCGACTGACCGAGATTATACCACACGTCCATCTCTCCGCTCAGAGTGCGGACCTCGATGATAGTTTGGCCGAGGAAGTCATCTGACTCTCGTTTGAACTTCTGCTTCACTCGAGACTTGATGTCATCGTCTTCGTCCCACACTCGCACCTTGATGCGGTCTGAGGAGTTGTGACATTCACTGTAAAGACAGATGCACAGAGTTGGTAAACATAGTAGATTTATTGAAAGGTGGCCAAGATGACCAGATGAGTGAACATATGACTCATATTAAACTTGATGTGAAAGAGAGAAAGCAAATAGGAGTACTACATTGCATCAGTACCCCAACCAGGGTGGAGTGGTGCAGTTAATACAAAAAATATTTAATATTTTTTAAAGTCAAAAAAATTTGGGCAACATATGGTTTCTTAAATGAGGAAAAATTCTACCTTTCACCATCTTCTATTGTTATGAAATGAAATCTTTATGTTATGTCTCACTGTGCTCAGACAATTTGAATCAGCATTTTCTCTCATTACGTGATATTTAAAGAGCTGAACAATCAGTCAATTAACTGGTAAAATGATCTACATGTGAGCTTGTAGCAAAAACAATCACTATCACTATTACTTTTTTTAATAAGGTGTTGACTCACAAGTTGAATGTCTCTTCCCACACAGGGTTGAGGTTGCCGTAAATGGTCTTGGTCCTCTTTTTGGTCTTTCCCACCTGGACAGTGACATAAGGATCGCTAGAGCCGGTTTTATCCTTGGCTTGTAGACCCTGGGCACACAACACTAAGAGGAGGAAAAATAAGAAAGAAAAGTTGGTCATCCCGTGTGTGTATGTGTGTGTGTGTGTTTGGATTAAAACAGATGCCTCTCAAATCACCTGACCTTCTGTTCTACTGCCCCATAAAAGCCACCTGCGTTCTCCTCATACGATGCCAGCCTGTCTCTTTTTATAGACACAAACACCTGACACGTGCTTCTCCTCTGACTTTGATGTTTACAGTGCCTGCCAGCTCTTTTCAAAGCTACTGTACGGAGCCCGTTTTGACTCCACGCTCACCTGTGATGCAGATCTTGGCTGACCATTTGGAAGTGCCATCCAGCACGCTCTGTTTGATCTGCTTCATGTGGGTCACGTGGGTGGCCTTGATAATCCCAAACACTTCCTGAATGAGCTCAAAGATCTCCGGTTTGTTCCTCTCACGGATCTTCATGCGGTCTTTGAGGACCATGATGATGTTCTGGGTTCGGTCCTCTGCGCCATGTTTGGAGCTCTTCTCTGCTGCCCCTGTTCAGCGTGAAAATTGAGATGAAAAACATGATGAGACATGTAAGCATAAACATACGTGATATATGCGCGAGAGATGAAGGAAAGAGTTGCAGAAACTATACATTTCTACATGTTAGTAAATCCAGATTACGTAGCCGATACAGGGCCAGTGCAAGTGATGAAAAAGCTTGATTCTTGTATTTCATGAGTGAGAGGCTGACACAATTGAAGCGCTATGAAATGCTGACTTAGAGAGAGACGGGAGGGAGAGGTGGGTGCTGACAAAAGACGAATAGCTTTTAATATCCTCTGAAGAAAAACAAGTAAATGAAAAAGTAGGTGTGAAGACAAGGAGAAGGAAGACTGATCTTGGCAGCGACATATAGAGATGAGATGAGAAAGATGACTTGATAGTGTACTATTATTAACAAAGGATAGCATTGACACAGCTAAAAGTGGAACAGGTTTAGTAGAGGTTTACTTTATACTAAAATGTAACTGTATTTTAACTCAATCTCACTAGATAATGTATAAAACCATGTAGCATCTTTGCTGCGTCTGTGTTTTCAAAAATGTATTTGGCTACAAAGGCAGTTGTTTACTTTCCTCCAGGGGTTAAAAGGACGATTACACACATTTTGTTTGTGACTTTTGACTGGATTAGGAATAATCTCAATCCAATTTTGCTCTTTATCAAATATTTACACAGAGTCAATGTTCTTGTTCCATCTTGTACAGTGCCTTTTGGAAGTGGCTTGTCATATTCTCCTGTTTCAATCAGATATTTTCTTCGTGTTTGCACTCTGTATCAAATATACCAAAGTGAACAGGTGAAACAAACAGGTGACGTTGTGCTTACTTTGCAGACAGTCAGCGTTGAGGAGATCCTGGCATTTCTCGTGGCATTTGACTCCACACTCAGTACAGCGCATACCCTGTCGAGCGATACCCCACAGCAGTCCCTCACACTCGTAGCAGTAAGTGGGTGTAGTGGCTGTCCACACCTCAAAATTATGAGGCGTAGTGCAGGAGATGGGATATATGAGGGCCTGGAGGGTCTTCTTGTAGACGTGACTCTTCTGCAGAGGTACAGCGCAGGGTGGAGGATAGGTTTAGTGTGTTTTGTGTGCAGGAGGTGCTTTAATAATGATATTTGATAAAATTATAAAACAGCACTGACCAGTTCTTCATTATGCAGGGTGCTGGATGTAAGAGCTGAGGTGATGCCTGCCTTCCTGGAGTTCTGAACCAACGACTGAGTGTCAGAAAAGAGTAGACGTCAGTTTCTCCAAGCTCCCACCTCAATATCTCTTTATATCAAGAGAAAACTCAGTGCAGCCTGTGAGAGGATGTTTAATAACCATGTCTGTTTAAAAACTTTGGCCTGAATAGTTCCACCTACATGGAGGTGATGCACGCATGTTTTAAGAGCAAATTATTCCACTTCTGTACTAACATTTAATGAGTTTTCAGGTAATAAATGATGCTGTTATCACTTACCATAGCCTGTAGCAGTGCAGAGAAGGGATAGGTGGGGGTAAAAGAATAGATTGATATTAGAAAAAAATGTAAGACAGACAGAGATACAAAAGAATTACAAATGTGGAGATGAAGAGAAATGTTGCTGTAGTCATTATAGATAAAAGTCACAGCTGCAACCAGACCACAGAGCAGCAGTTGATATCGTCAGCCGGGATTCAACTCTGTCTGATCAATTACCTGAAACCCTGTCACAAACACACAGACTATGATCGCTCATCAGAGTTGGAGACAGAGAAGAAGAGAAACATCTGTGCGCCTGTTTCTGACTGTCTGTCAGTACTCCACTTCAAATGATGAAGACACCTATCTGAGATAATTCATGTGGCAAAGCCTGATTGGGGTGTATAGCACGCTGAGATTTGTGTGACAGTGAATTCAAAGAGACAAAGTGTCATCTGGTCCATCAGCCTTACAGTTAAAGGTTTTGGTAACCCTTTCTTTTACGGTACACTTATTACCAGGTAATTAACAGGTAATTACCTAGTAACAACAGGAAATTATCTGGTAATTACATGATAACTACTAAGTCAATACTGTCTAGCTACCAGGTAGGTAACCTTCCCTCATCATACAAATTTGAAGCTGAATTGCTCTGGTATTTCCAGGATTTTCTCCGCTTCCTGGAACCACCACTTGCGCAGTAGCATTGTACGCATTCAGCAGGTAAGTCGCCATGATAATGCTCGGCTCAAACAGCGTATCGCTATGCAATCTTTGCACGCCCATAGGCTGTACTAAGTGTCAGTCATAGAAAATAAGAACCCCAAATAGCTTTTGAAAATGGAGCTGCACAGAAAAAAGAAAAAAAGAAAAACTAGACAGTATTGACTTAGTCGTTATCGTGTAATTACCAGATAATTTCATGTTGTTACTTGGTAATTACCTGTTAATTACCTGGTAATAAGTGTACCGTAAAAGAAAGGGTTACCAAGGTTTTTATGTAATATCACGTCAACTTTGGAAAACAAAAACACTTCAGATCTTCCCCAGTATGTTATAGTACTATTTTAAGTAATGTGATAAGCTGAAACAATTGTGGTTTTTTTTATCATGTGTACCTCCTTGATTGTGTCTATGCTTGTTAGTTATCCCTGTCGCTTTAACAGAGGTAGAAATGTCACCACTTTGTCTTGGCGGTATAATTGTACAAGACAGACAGTAATTTGTTTAACTGAGTAACAGATTTATCCGGAGGACTTATATTCCTACTGTTTTATTACTAATGAGTCTGTGTCAGGGAGGCCCGAGGATGATGGCAGTGTGTGTCAATGAAAGGTGTGTTATGACAGCACCCAGCAGACATCAATGTCAATCAGAGGAAACCTCTGGCCCTGCCACTGGCCTCTTCGCCCTGCAGCTGACTCTGTCAGGCTGTAAAAGTGGGGGGATGTAATTTCTGTTCACAGAGAGGATGTAGAGGACTCAAATGGAGAGTGGGAAGAGAGTTAAAAGAGGAACAAGCAATACATTGAAAGAAAGAACCGTGAGGGGAAGAGAATAACATAAGAAAGAAGAGAGAAGAGAATTAGGAGGGAAACTGGAGGAGGTTTAATAATGATGGTGAAGATAGCTGAGCTAAGTGATGGGTGGAGTATAAAGAGATTGAAATATGAACTCACCAGATCTCTGACCAAAGGCATAGCTTTCCTCTTCCTGAGGTCTGGCATGCTGTCAATGCTGTACAAAGCACCACCCACCCTGCAGAGCATTCACAGATAAGGACTCAACACCGGCTTTTTTTCTCCAGCTACATTTGTCGACTTGAACTTTGACACAGGGAATCATTTAGAAAATAAATGCTTCCTTCAGACTTTAAAGCAACTGGCTCGACTTTTGTTTGATAACTTAGAGATATCCAATGACTGTAGCAATACAAGCATCATGGTCTCTTACCCAGCTGATAACAGCAGAGAGGCGATGCCAACACTTTCTCCTCTGGCCTGTGGGGGGAAAAAAAGGTAAGAAGACAGAACAGCAGGTAGCCATAAGATCTGTAGTGTATAGTTTCAATATTATTCTCTACATACGAGGCATAAATCGAATATTCAGAATACTTCATTGTGGCTCATTGACTAGTCTTAGTCATAATGGCAGCGAGTGCTTAGAAAATGTTCGAATGAATAATAAAACAGTGGTAAAAGTGGGGGATGCAAGAAAAAGGGAGGACCAGGAGTGGTCTTGCTGAGATCTGTCTGTCTGGGTGAAGTGATTTCTCATATCAAATGGATTCTCTGTGTCGGAAAATCACAGTAAAAGTAGAATACAGCCAGATGGCCATTTGTGTAATCACTTTTTCCAACTCTAATTTTATTTGCTCTTTGTCTGCCTGCCTGATCAAACAATGACACACAGCCTTGATACTTGCGTCATGCTGACACACAGAAACTGTCTCTGTTCAAACAAACTAGTGGTTTTGAAAATTAGACTTAGCAGGTTTACTTCAGCGTATTATGTGCTTCTTGAATCTCAGTAAAATCAAATATTCCACAAATGATGCAACCAATATAAACCTGATTGATTGACACACTACCAGCCACACCCACCTGAGCGTCTGCTCCAGCCATGGGTAATCAGAATGGACAACATGCAAATCGCTACGAGGATGGCAAACAACTGAAAAGAAAATAATGAAATGGCAAAACGGTACAAGGGGTAAAAAGAAACCATCAAATAAACACAAGACAGTTATAAAAATTCACAACAATAGCCAAAAACTGGGAAAAATTGTGGACCAGTCAACAAAAGCTGGAAAAACACAGTAACAGTAAGGCATGCAGGGGCTGACGCAACAAGTCAAACTGTAGCCTTAGCATTCAAAGCACAACAACAACAACAGCAAAACCTCAACATATTTATGAGGCATTTACTAAACAGACACTACACAAAGGCACAAATACGCTCACAGACGGGTTATACCTCTTGTAGCTGTAGCCGTACTCTGCTGTAAAGTCTAAGCCAGTTTGCTTTGGCTCTAGCAGGACCAGGTTCCATGAGTTCTCGTTTTGGAAAGCTGAAAGAAGATTAGCGGGAGCATTTTCAAAAACTCATTCAGATGTACTTCACATATAAAGTAGCAATAAATAACCATAGAGGTAGTGGTAAGCAGATCAAAGAAACACTCCACTGACTGGGGGGTCTGAGTCACATCTCAAGTCCTGTTTGTATGGGGCTTAAGTCTTGGGCTTGTGTTACCATCTCTGTTTACATGTCATCCATGAAATATGTGTCGAAACAGTCTTAGAAACTTTACAACAAATATATGTTTAGGTGAAAACAAGCTGTATAAAAAAATGTTTGATAATCCTTTTGTAGGTTAACCTGCTTGATTATAACTCCTCAAGCCCCTTTAGCAAGATTGTCATGAAATCTTGAATATGTACATATGGACTATGAGCTTAATGTTACAGATTGACTTCAGTGTACAAAGTGTCACTGCTGCGTTCAGTGTGGAATCTTGTTTTTCTCCTCTGAGCCTGACGGTGTATGAACAGTGTTTACCTTGGAACAGGTGGCTCTATTTTCTCCTCGGGTGCCGGAGGGACACTCTCGGGTTCCCCTGGAGGCTGTTCAAGGAATGGAGGTTCCTCTGGAGGCAACTCAGACTTGAACTCAGGTTCCAGGAGCTCTCTATCTGGAGTTGGGACTCGTGATGATGCGTCTGGGGTGAATGTATCCATGGTCGACAGCTCAGGCTCAGTGGGTGCAAATGGAGGCATGGTGGATTCTGGGAGGGGGGTGAAAGGGGGCAGCTTGTCTTCCTGTGTCTCTGAGAGTAGACCAGGGGTTGTGCTGGGGGGCTGGATCTGATCCTGGTCTAGTTTTTGCTGATGTAATGATGCCTGTTTCTCCAGTGGAGGTCTGGTAGAGGATAGAGTATCAGGGGTGGGCATCAGGGTGGGGGCAGTGCTTGTGGGAGTGGGGGTGTAGGGTGGCTCCTGATCTTCACTGAGTGCACCATCCGGAGGATACATATCTTCGTCCTCCTCATAAGGCATCTCCTCCTCATCTTCATAGTTGTACTCACCCTCCTCCTCCCCGTACATGTCCCCCTCCTCGTACAGGGCCCCCTCTTCCCCTCCATCTTTGAGGTAGCCTCCATCGTCACTATAGACACCTTGAGGGTCCTCACCCTCCCATCCTGGTGAGTCTTCCTTGTTGTAGCTGACCGATGAGTGGCAGGAGTGGTATGAGTCGTTCTCGTCATAGAACTCTGACCCTCGCAAACTCTCGCCGTCCTCGGGAACAAACTCCTCGCTGAGCTGAGAGCTGCCTCGACTTAACTCGCCCGATGAGGCATAACGACTGTCTGTGGGGCTGAATGGGAGGGAGATATAGATGCAAGTTACAAAGACAAAAAGGTTCGACAGTAAGCTAAAGGACAACCCACATTTAAACAATCAGGAGTACGGTGACACTCAAGGAGCTCGTGTTGTGACCGGGGAGGGGGACAGCTAACTACTGGGGAAAAAAAGAAGTGACTTTAAAAATCACCAATAACAAAACTCAGGGCAGGAAGTTTAAGGCTAGTGATGCATCTATGTAACTGCAATGACCTTTTTAGAAATAAAAAAGGTTGCCATGGATACTGATTAACACGCAAATTAATACAGAAATGCCAAATGAAAAGATATAAATGGACATATTTAAATAAAAGAGAGTGAACCTGGAGTGCTTTAGGGTAATCCATTATTCTGGCAGCACAGAACAAAAGCGGTCTCTTTTGGTGGAAAAATTTATGAATAATATTTACTCGCAGTTATGAATGAGGCTATTAGACATTTAGACAGACCATGACTCAGAGAGAGAGATTTGAGACACATGCAAATACAATGTCTTACACACACCGACTCACACTCCCACTTTACTGTTTTGTCTCTATTGACGGTGGCCATGGCGGCTCAATAATGCCTGGTGCAGGAGCAGTAAAGAGAAGAAATGTATTACAGCTTCAGGCTTTGAGCCAGAAGGAATACACAAGAAGACCTAAAGTGACGCCTAAACACTCAATCACGACAGAGCTGTTCTTGTCTATTCATCATTTATCTCATTATCCTGCTCTGGTGCAACACAACGACTGACACAGACGCTGACAAATGCTTGCATAACGCTGAGTTTGAATACACGTCTGCCCTCTCTTAGCAAATAATACAGAAAGCAAGGTGAAACTGAGAAAAAGTTAACATAATGTATCTCTGCTTCTCCGCAGGGCCCTGTTATGTGGCTGAAGTCACCCTGTGCACATGGAAACCTAATGTGCATGATTACCAAGTATGTGACACCTAGAATAACACAGGGCTCTTCTTTACGACTCACTTACAGGCTGTAATAGGGCTGTAATAACAGGCTGTGCAACAACAAATTCACACAAATACAGATTCACACAGGCAGCTCTACTAACACAACCGACAATTAACCTTCCTGTCTCGCTTTTCTACGAAACAGCCCATGCAAACGTACATCTTGTCAGTCTCTTAACCACACAAATAAGCACAGAACTGCATCAAATTCACTAAATAATTGTGAGGATGAGTATGATACATCACTTGTGGTATTGATATGTGATTTTTCATAAGGGACACAGTAACTATAGATGCAGGATCAGAAGTTTTCTATAAAAAAGTATAGAATATACAAATAGAGAGATAGGGTAGGAGCGCATGCATGCAAGCACAGTGAGCGAGGAGGACGGGACAAGTCCACCACTGACGTCACAGCGAGACGGAGTCACAGGCCGGAGCAGGAAGAAGGAAGAGCAGGAGGAGTTGGAGAGGAGGTACAGAGACCCACCTATCGGACAGTGAATGCCTACTGTCTAGAGAATACTGACGGCTGGTGCGCCGGCTCGACCCTGAGCCTGAGTCGATATCGCTGCGCCCGTTGGTGGCCGAGTCTAAACTATCATAGCGTCTGGTAAGAGGAGCAGGGAGGAAGGTAGGGAGGAGGGGAGAGGTGGGAGAGGAGCATCAGTAGAGCTCAGTGCAAATCTTTGAAATGAAAGCTCTAACCAAACTGAACCTCTGCACTGCATGACTTTGAGATACATTCACAGGTTTTCAGGCCCATCATTCAACAATAGTCAGGAGTTCACAGGGATGCAGGTTTTGCGTACTGTTGTCATTCCTTCTGTTCAGAGTTACCCAGAAATAAGAAATTCCTCTTGGGTTCACAATGGAAGTGATTATGGACTTATCCTGCAGTCCATACTATGCACAAAAACTAATTTCACAGAGGCTTCAGCAGTCAAAGTAATTAGAATAAAAAAGGTACCTTTGGGCCCTTATAGCTGGGAGGAACCTTTTACATTATCGTTATTGTAAGATTCTGCAAAACAGTACCTGAAAAACTCTTTTGAAGACTGACTGTATGCATTGGGGTGAGAAAAGAGGTGAAAAGCATTGGCCATCATGCAATCCTGGAAACTCAAAGTTTTCAATCAATCTCCAAAAACACCTCCAGCTAGACTGAGTAGTACATGTTGTTTCATCAATTTGAATTTGTTTTTAAATCTGATCCTTTTTCTGTGGTGTAAATAAAGGTTTATCTTATCTTTTTGTAGGCCTGACAGTTTGTCTGTGGCTCCAAGAGGATTTATAGGTGTCTGATTGTAGCAGACAAGTCTCTTGTATTGCTTAACATTACTGGGTCTCCACTAAATTCAACAAGGAAGTGCAATCTATTAAAAAAACATTGAAACAATATTACACTAAAAAGGTTATGTGAACTTTGTACAGAACTGGGGGATTGATTACAGCAAACAAAACCTATTTCAATGTTCATAAAAAAAACACTTGGCTATCATTTAAAGTTTAATTTTAAAAATGCAAAAATAACCTTCAGATGTCTGCACAAAAAATCCCACAGATGGAGCAAAAACTTCCTGTTTCAGCTTTTCTGAGCAATGATTATTTATTTTGTTTGTTTCTCATTTTCAGCCCCCTTGAAAACATGCCGAAAGAAAGTATTCAGACATATTATTTAACTGAAAATCATAAAAAATTAAAGTATTGATTTGAATATAAAAGTTTTATTGTTTTCTGCACAATAACTTAGGACAAGGGAGATCACATCGGGTTTGTGATGCTCAGACTGTCAACAACATGCTCACACAAAATGCAGGCACGCACACAAGCATTCACACATGCACACTCACACACACAGAAAAGATAACCACACAGGCCCACTTCATAAGTGACCTGTATACAAGAACTGCACTTCCCAGCATGCTTGTATACACTCAGGCCAGGGTTATTCTCTAGAGGAGGAGAGCACAGTGGGACAGAACGTTACCATGAACAATACAGTGAAACAAGACCCCAGACTCTGACCTGTATCTGGGATAAATGCTTGACTCAGAAGGAAATTATTATGGGGAGTCTCATATTTCACATCTTTTTAACCCTGAAAATACCTTTCTTTCTGTTCCCTAACAACCTGCCATGGTAATCTTACTTAAAGGAAAACACTTGGTATAGATGTAGTAGCTGTTGAGGGCTTGTTACCTCATGGCTCTGTGGTCGTAGTCCAAGTCTTGCATGTCATCATTGTAGGAGTGTCTGTAGTGCTGGTGCCTCATGGGATACTGGTGCATGGAAGCGTTAGGCTGGGAGGTGGTGTAGTAGGGAGGTGGGATGCTGTTACTGGTCTCACTGCGGTAGTCACTGTCCCTGTCATCCACAGCGCTGTCTGGATCGTCATCTGTTCGCACAACAACATGGCACAGAGACCAGACAAAGTGAGCAGGAGAGACTGAAGGATGGTTTTCGCTATGAAGTTTGAAAGATTAAGATGACCCCAATGTTGTTTAGGATGTTGTTTCTTTCACAGAGAGCTGCAGGGGCATATCAAGAGAGTTGCTAGGGGTGGCATGGGCCCCTCTTGAGAGCAGATTGGCCACCCCAACATCCTGAACCATGGTTGGCTATTTGCCTTGTCAGAGGTGGGACTTGAGTGAAAATCTTCCATTTGGGCTGTTTAACAAGACACCGGTGGCTTTCTTTGTAAAAAGAAAATAGATTTTTTTTTTTTTTTTTTTACTCGTGCTTCAAATTTCAGAGAAAGACCAGTCTAATAGAAAATACACAAAATCTTCTTAACACTGTCTAACTGTCCTAAATTCATGTATTTTCTAAGTTTCAGTGTTTGCACTTACCTGTACTTTAGCTGTTACTTTAACTAAACATCTTCTGGAATAAAGGCTAAAGTATTTAAAGTAAACCCTTTGATTTTTTTCTAAACAAAAACATGAATTTTAACAATGTTAGTTGGTTACATTGAAAGTTGAATAGAGGCAGAGATAGACACTTCATGCCACACCTGCAGAATACAGTGCCCTAGTTAAGTCACTTAGATCTGAAAAAAAACACCACTGACCTGATATTTTAACAATTTCAGATTAAAGAGTACGTCATTTTGATAGGTAGGTTTTTACAACTTACTGATCAAAGTTATCTACATTTTTGACGACATCTGGTCTTTTTTTCAGCATCTTGTATCGTCTGCTTGTTTCTTTTTAGGCTGTTTACTGGCCCAGCATCATTTAGCAATAAGGCAATAAGCAATAAGACAACAAACTGCAAGATGCTGGGGAAAAAAAAATGCTGGCAGCGTTTACTGCACTGGTCACATGTTGCTTTTATAGCATTACACTGATTGAAGATAACTTGGATAAATACATAATCATTTTCAAATTCAGATCTCCAATCACCTGAACTGTGGAGACTCAGTGAGACTATTTCCCAGTTAGTATAAAAGCAAAAGCATTTGAGAAGTAAGGAGGGCATGAACCCCAGTGGAAAAAAAATACCCTTTAATTCATAAAATAGAGTTGATTTGACTCATCTCTCACAGCTTGGCTCTATACGGATAGAGACAAAATTAGTATAAGCTTGAGGAAAATTCAGAGCGGATGTGTGGGGGAAATACATTTTCTTATGGCAGCTAATGGTCTAAACAGGGAGCTCATTACATTAAGTGAAACATGGAAGATGAATACAGAGTTACTCCAAGTCAGTAGCAGATGGGCATGAGAGAAACTTACTTTGCTGATCTCCCCACAGACTCCAATTACCTGCAAGAAAAAGAAAGGTTGGGGAACCAAATTAGGTTTGGCCTACGAATTAGAGACATTAACAGGCTGCAAAGCCAAGGAAACAAACACACAGAGATTTGCAACTCTGATTAATTAGCTGTAAACATGTGGGGGGGATAAAGACATGTTAATGGAAATGTATAGGAGTGTAAATAAAGAAAAGCTCAAGGTGTTAAGGGAAGCTGTGCAAATGCTGCTGGCCTTGCTGTTGTGTCTCAGTGGAGTAGATAAAACACACACATTTGTCATCACCTATCCACTCACACACACACAAGCAACATAGCACCAATCAAACCTTTCTGTTTACTTATACTATACACATGTATATATACCTGCTCCCTGTGTCGTCAGCAGACAGACATGCAGGCAGTGTGGTGTAGGTCCGACAACACAGCGTATGTCAGATCACATTCATCACACAGCCAACACCTATATGTCAGTCTGCCGCTGAGGCACACCTTCCCCTCCCTCCACCCTTGGCTACATCTATGAGCTTCGCTGTACTTCCCAGGAAGCTTCATTCTCAGGACTATTGCGTGTGTGTGTGTGTGTGTGTGTGTGTGTGTGTGTGTGTGTGTGTGTGTGTGTGTGTGTGTGTGTGTGTGTGTGTGTGTGTGTGTGTGTGTGTGTGTGTGTGTGTGTGCGTGTGTGATAGGGAGAGAGTAGAGACAGAAAAAGATCCCAGCAGGGGACAGAATTGGAGGAGGTGGATGCAGAAGTGTTTTTAACACTCACAACACTGTGTGGACGGTGCATGGAGGGGACGCTCCTGTTCTTCTTGATAGGCATACTGAAAGAGAAAAACAACAACAGGCGTCTTAGGAAATAAAACCCATCAAATCTCAGAGGAGAACTCTTGGTAAGAATATTGACTCTGGCAGCTCTGCCGTTATTGGCAGCCATAGAGTGTGATTCGAGCAAGTATGAAAAATAAAGAAAAAAATAGAAAGGAAAGGAAAGGAAATACCATAGAGAAAGAAATAAATAGATGAGGAAATATAGATGGCAGATGGTGTGAAGACAGTGATGGGAATATGGGGGAGAATTAAGTTCTTACATCTTGATCTCTCATGGCATTTAGTTGTTCAAGTTTCTTGGCCCAGTATCGGGCCTCTTCTTCAGGAATATCTGCAGCAAACCACAGAAAAACATTTTACTTTAATGAGTTCTTCAAGTGTTGCATGATATAAACATGTACCTACATATTTGCACTGGAATGAAACCAAAGTGCAATCATGTCTTTGTATCCCTAAAGGTCATGGTAACGTATAGCCCAAAAAAGTGGCAGTAATGGTTGGAGATTGACAAAGAAATCCAGTAACCTAGTGGCAGTTCAAAGCGGGTGTCGAGCAGCAGCCGGTGAAATGTCGGGTCTTTGGTTCCGCAGATCTCATTCTCAGCCATGATCGCATTAGAATCCAGGGTCAGCCACTGGCCGGGACCCTCCTGGAAAATGACAGAGGAGAACAGATTCAGAAATATTACTTCAGTGATACTCATTTCATAAAAATTCACAAATAAAATTCATTTCCTATGAGGATCCAAGAAGTTCTACTTTTTGGTTAAGAAGCTTTTGCAACAAGGTGTAAGTGACTGAAATTATGTCCACAATTCATGTGTGTATGTATGGTGTGTCTGTGTACAAGGTAACCCTGTAAGTGTGTACCAATTAAATAATATCTAGCTGTTACTGCCATTTAGGACATGAGACCAAACACAAACTCAATACACATCTTTGCTTTGATGGATTTTTTATGTCTACAATGGCTTTTCATACACTCTGAGATATGTTGGAACTTTCAGTTGTGTGTCTATCCCTTCGATTTCACTTTTTTTTTACAAAGATACTGACAGTTTGAGTGATTGATTTTGTTTCTCACTCTTGCAAGAAAGCCAATACGCAGCTCTGGGACTTTTTCTCTAATTCTGAACTTTTGCTTTCCAATGAACAAACGTCATCCTGTAACTAAGAGTTTGAGTGACTGCTGCTGAATAGCATCATCCTCAAAGCCAAACCGAAGTTTACCTAAACCAATAAACAAATGATTACAGCAAATACAAGATGTTTCACAAAGGCAGCAGGAGTTGTGTTACATTATGGCAAAGGGGACATTAGGCGCACGATTAAAGATGCTGTCAACAGAGACTCTACACAGCGACAAGCATCTATAGCACAACTTTGTGACCCACTTTTATGACAATCACATGTACTCTACGCCTTTCTTTCAAATATCACTTAACTAACAAGCTCAAAATATAAAATAATATTGAAGACAGAGGGAAACGGTAATTATAAAACACTTCAAAAGGCTCAAAGGCATCTCAAGGTCCCACGTTGTTGCTTTCATTAAAATAACATGAAAAGTGTTGTGATTCCAAAACCATGTGCTTTTAAGGTTGTTTTAATAACTGTATTTGTATCTATTATTCTGACTATAGTATTGGTGAACATGTAGAGTTCTTAATGTGACAAAATCCAACGCTTGCCGTCTAAGTCAGTGAAAGAAAGGGAGGGTACCTCGTTCGACTGCCGTATGCTGCGCAGGGGGATCCATAAGGTGCCCACCATGGTGTCCCAGATCAGCCCTTTATTCCATACCTCCACTGTTAAGCCCAAATCCAGGCGGTTTATCTCACTGCTCAGCATAACAAAGAAGATGAGGATTAAGAAAAAGAAATAAAAAAAGAGTTAGGAAAAGGCAGAGGAAATTTAGACTGCCATAATGAGTTGTGTGGAGACAGGCGTGCATACAGACAACTCAGTGTGCAGAGGGTTTTCCACAAATACACAGTCTATTCCATCAAAAGCTGCATTAAATCTGGTGATGGATATGCACTGTGATTCAATCTGCTGAGGGAAATGAGTCATTCAGCATGAAGACAGAGCAAGCAGGTGATTGTCAACCAGGCTGCCGGCAGGATACAAGAGAGGGCTCGGATAGGACAGCAGCCTGGTTGACAATATGACAGACAAAAGTGAACTTTATATGTTATTGTTTTCCATTAACCCCACACCCATCCACCAGCACTGCAGTGAGGTCTGGACTATAGGGTTCGTAAAGTGATTCAGATTATCCTCTCTCTAACTCTCTCGTGGTCCAAGGGTGCTTCTACTCAAGACTACAGGCTGTCTTAAGTGAATCAAAGGCTAAAAATACCCTCAGCTTTGATATGAAACTACATCTCCTGTTTCCTGAGGAGCAGAGGGAGTGCTTTAGCAAATGGCTCCATGATTTGTGTTTCACATGAAGGAAAAGGAGAGAAGACAGAAGGAGCAGGAGATGGAAAAAATGAGGGATGGAGGTGAGTAACTTTTTAAATATGAATGGTTATCATAGGATGATTTGGCTATGATGCCTTAAAAGTGAAGTCAAACATGACAATAGAAGTCTTGTATCTGTTTGAATTGACTTTTTTTTCTGAACAAACAGTTTTGTGGAGTTTGAGTTGTAGCCAAGCCAGGAGAAACCCTCTTGCACAGGGGTGTGTGAACTCTGCTGGAGCAGCTCAAACATCCCAGGTGTTATGTCATCCCCTCTCTCTTCAAAGAGAGGAGAGAGACAGAGAGGGAGCCGGGGTAAGTGGGCAAAAAATAACTCCTTTGAGGGAGCCTAAATGTCACAGCTGAACCTGTCCTGGTGGGCGCAACATCTGTGTCCTGAAGAACTGACCCCCTGAGGTGACAGCTCTTCTTATGAATTTAAGTTACTCATTACTTATTCATTCACCAATACTGCTGTGCATCTTCCATCCAATAATGACCCTTCAAGCTGATTATTCTGCTTTTGGCAATGTGTCATACTTAATTTACAACCAAGAGTTTTACAACAATCAGGTCACACTTTTAAAATGCCATTAAGTTGTACTTTTAAACATTTTTCAACCTTTGAAAGCAAAAGACACGTTTCAAATTGAGAAGCTACAGCATGAAGAAAACTACAAAAAATGATAGCAGAGGGTCATTTACAGTTGAACTATACTTTCTTGTGTTTTCACTCTGGAAAGTAGGTATCCCACAAATCCTTTAAGCGGCTACACTGCCCACAGTGTAACTGGAGTTATGCTGCATGAGTGTATTCATCAAATGATCTTTTTCCTTGAATTGGGAAGTAATGGTCTTTACTGTCGGATAAGTGTTGAGATGTAACATGACAACATTGTGGGCACTACAATAAAAATGTGGCAGTTAGGACGTAAAACAATGTTCAAAATTACAAATAAGCCAACAACTTAAAATGCAACAATGAATTGATGCAGAACTTTTAACCATTAAATGGAGATTTAGTTTGAACCCCCCCCCCAAGTTTCAGCAAAAAAGGTAGATGAGAGATTTTCTTATGTTTTGGAAAGAGTAGGAAATATAACCTCTGGCTTTCAGTCAGTAACTGAGATAAGTTTCACTTTTTTCTGACTCCACACTCCAGCGTGTTTACAATTTGAAAACTTCAAGTCATAAAACCCAAATCAATTAATTACATGTCTTATACTCTCTTTAGCATTCTGACCTATATTCCATCAGATGGCTGAGGACAGACAAGAAATGTCAGGAGTCGAGAAAGGGGAAAGACTATCATAACAAGGGCTTTGGCCTCTGTACGGGGCACGTACTTTAACCTCCAGATCAAACCAGCACCCCTTTTTTGACTAAAAACTCTGGGATTAACTAAAACCTTCAATGAATTAGTCTTTTAGTTCCTTTCTTGTGTTCAGTTGTTTGCCTTTAAGCCTCACTTTAATACGGCTGATATGACAGGATCAGTGATTTACCCACACAACCACCACCATGGTTTTGCAGGTCTAAGAGCACGAGAAGAGAGAAAAGGCTCATTAGACTACAGATGGGGAAACAAAGAGGGTGGAAAAAGTGGGAAAAGAAGAAGACACGTGGATGTCTTCTAGATATGGTGAGAAATGAGCTGCAAAGACAGTCCCCCAATCAAATATCATTGTACTGGCAGTTCTGCAGAGGAAGAGACAGGTTAACAGAGAAGAAGGAAGGGTGAAATAAAAAGAGGAATAAGATGCAAGAAAAGTAGAAAGGCACTCACAACATGAAATCCTGCTCCCAGCACGGCTGACTGCCGCGCACGGCAATAGTTGTGCTCTTGACATTCTGCACCTTCAGGGTCACGTATGTGTTAAATTTCTCTGCAAAAAGCAAAACAGCAGTGCCATGAGACACAGTTCTCTAACTGTCTTTATCTCACATCTCTTGGTAAAAATAAGGGACAAATGAAATGAATAATGTCAGCAGCATACAACTCACCTTGGGGTCCATCAAGCTTGGCTTTCTTCACTGCAAACAAATGAGAAAACAAACAAGAAATTAGTCCAACTACTGAAAAGCTGAGCCTTCATGTTGTGAAGATTTGATATTTTCATGCTGCATATAACATTCAGCTGGTATATTAAGTCTCTTCTTTCCTCCCCTGCAGGGATCTGTCTGTCACTCATGTTAATGGAGGGATGGTCGGCTGGTGATTGACAGAAGCCTAGCATTATTTTTGCTCTGTTCGAGTTAGGACTTTCCCATCCTCTTTGGGCAGGTTGCCACCATCTCTATATGAAGGACTGTATTCTTTCAGCAGGTACTGTCAGGATCTCTGAGTCATAGTGCCAGAAGGCCAGTTACTGCAGGTGAGAGCAGAGGGTGATGCCAGGTAAGGGAGCAGGCATTTGCCTTGTCATCTCATAATAATTAAAGTGCGTCTATGCTGGCATGTTTAAAAATAGGGCATGGTGGGTAAAAGACAAAGCGTTGCTATTTGTTCTACTCGATGGCTGGAGCCCCGCTAAGATGCTACAGACAGCTCCTCTGCACAGGGACCTCTGGAGTACAAGACTGACTTTTTAAAACCACAGTGACGTCAAAAGCTTATTCATTATTCATTCAATCCGGCACCCCGCTGTTACCCAGCATCCCCATGTTCAGCGGTGAGGTTTTAATATTCAGAGCTGTGTTTTTTAATCCCTGCTGATTGCCTCTTTTCTCTGATGTTTCATTTCAGGAAAAAAAAAATAAAAAAGACTCATTGAATATCAAACTAACTGCATCTCAACAACAAGCAACCTTAACATTCCTTGAGTTTGTTGGCTAGACTGCAAGAAGAATGGCTTTATAATTCATGACCTAGAGTCCAAATCAAAAATAGAAAAAATCTAAATAAATGAACAGTACTTCTTATTCAATCCAGAGAAGCACAAACACAAGACATGAAAAAGTAATGCTGATAAAGAGACACAGTCTGAGATGTGTTGTTGGTTGAAGACAGGAGAACAATATTAATCATCATGGTAACACTTTATTTGACGCCTATCTCTATAACGCATTATAAATATATGTATAATGCATTACAATCATGTTATAGCATTGTATAACTATAGTTATAAACACTCATAAATGATCATAGTGTTTAATAACAATAATCACAACACATTAAAAAGCATTTTATCATGACTTACAAGGTCAGATATTATAATGGGTTATGATTATTGTTATAAAGCCTTATGATAATTAAAGAGTGTTTATGATGATAGTTATACAAGTTTATAAGCAAATCTTTAACACATCATAAATATGTGTATAATGCATTATCCATGTGGGCATTGTCAGTGGGTTGTTAACAGTTATAACACATTATAATACCTGACCTTGTAAGTCATGATTAAATGCTTTGTAATGTGTTATGATTATTTCTATAAAGCATTATGATCATTTATGAGTTTTTATAACTATAGTTATACAGTGCTATAATGCGATTATAATGCATTAAAAATATATTCATAATGCATTTTAGAGATAGGTGTTAAGTAAAGTGTTATCATCATGATTGTGTACAAAGTGTCTCCCCAAAAAGCATCACCCCTACAAACCTGGCATTGTTTTTTTCTCAGATATCAGTCTGATCTGTAAAATAAGTGCTGGAATCAGTGGTCTTGAGAGTAATGTTCCTCTTAGCAATCTTCATGGTAAAATCCCTTCACTGTAATGTTATTGGCTGAGTAGGCACATATGCTCAATAAATATGGAAGGGAAGCAGTAAACCTACATTTGAGCAAAATGGATCAAATCTTTTGTTTTTTTTTTGCTTAAATTGCCATCAAATGACAGATGCACCTTAACTGCACTTTCACCAAAACTCCTCCTCCCACATACAAAACCCGTCAGTCAGTCATTGGTCCTCTCTCTGCCTCTCAGTCAATGACTCGCTCTGACAAGCTTCCCCTGCCATGTGGCGAGGATGCACGTGTGCTCCCTTTCTATCTCTTTCTCTCGTGCTCCATTAATCTCTCTGTGCAGCCGGATGTGGGCTGAGCGAGCTGCATCCCCAACACTAAAAATAACCATTTCAGTGTGACAGGGGGGTGGGGGGTGCTGGAAAGGGGTGTGTGTGTGTGTGTAGGGGGGAGCTCACAGGCATAAGACTAAACCAACATTTCTGCAGTTGCAGCAAGAAAAAAAAAGGGGAGTAGTTGGGGGGGAAAAGCCGGTGCATTTGATATTTTCTGCTAACTCTCAAGAGAAAATGTTGCGAGCCTGCCACGGCAATTACAGGATGTCATTTTCTCCTTCTTTGCAGAGGAAAATTTGACAAACACATTCAATTGTGCCCCGTTCAAGGAAGCTAAAGGGGCTTTTTATTACCTGAGGCTTTCCAACCTAATGCTTTCACAGAGCCCACTCTTACACTGTCACCAGGAACAACAATACAAATCTGCAGACAGGGACTGCAGTGAAGAAAAATAGAAAGATTTTGCTGTGAAAAGCATGTCCCTGTGCTGTATTCATTCACACACCTACAGTTAACCTTTGGGAATGAATGAAAAATAATAATGATTGGAGTATGCATGTCATAAGCATATGCTAAATGAAACACAGGGGTCTCTTTCTTACAAAATAATCAACATACAGGTGCAATAAAAAGTCAATGAAAGCATTGAGTCTTTACACAGTATTTGGTAATGTCTCCATGGTGTTACAGTATATCTATTGTTGGAGCCATTAACCACACAATATGAAACTTAGTTACCTACCTGTCTTTTGTATACACAACAGATTTTTTGCCAGTACCTACTCCCACACTGCTGTTTACCCATGGCATGATTACATTGAGGCAGCAGAGTGTTTGAAATGGTAATAAGACACAGATCCAGCCAAGGTCAGCCTTGCGCTCAATTATTATCATTTGTGAAGTTGGACTTCCTGACTGTGTTTGCGAGATATTCTTCACTAATGACCTGCATACTTGTGTAAATAGTCCCTGCAGATATGGAAGTTGCCTCAATGAATCGGGGTGAGACAAATAAGAATGTCTCTGATCTAAAGCTCAAAATTCTGGATTAGCATCTTGCTGAAAATGGTGATAGGAAAAGATCAGCCCCTATGTGACTATGATTATTCAGGTTTTGTAGCACAGACTACCATTTCAAATAAACATCAAACAATGTGTGACATAAAAGTAGAGTATTCACACACCCATGCATTAGACAATGCCACAATACATACAAGAGTTATTTACAAAAAGACTCCTGCCTCCCCATTTTTCAGCCTGTGTGAAATAGTGTAATATCAATATAAACAAAGCTGCAGGCCCATAACGGAGTGTGTAGGAACTATTGAGAAAATGCCAGTGGAGACCTAAAATACCATTGGGGTTACTATGCCAACAAAGCTTCGGGACATAAAGGGACCGCCAACAAGCCTGAATCTCAATCCTGACATCTGTGCAATCAGCCAAAGCAGCACTGCTGTCAAGAATACAGCAGCGTCTTTATAAACATGACAGGCATCTCCAACCTCTCAGAGAAACTGGAAATTTTGGAGGGATTGTCTCCTTTGCTGATGTGATTGATTGAATGAAACTGGATACAGATTCTCACACTACATGCTGCTACTTGAAGTTTCGGTAACCCTTTATTTGACACCTATTTCTATAACTCATTATAAGTATATGTATAATGCATTATAATCACTTTATAGCACTGTATAACTATAATTATAAACACTCATAAATTATCATAATGCTTTATAGCAATAATCATAACACATTACAAAGCATTTTATCATGACTTACAAGGTCAGGTATGATAATGTGTAATAACTGTTAACAACTCACTGACAATGCCCACATAGATAATGCAATGCAACTGTTGTTAACAGTTATAACCCATTATAACCCATTATAATACCTCACCTTGTAAGTCATGATAAAATGCTTTATAATGTGTTATGATTATTGCTTTAAAGTATTATGATAATTAATGAGTGTTTATAACTACAGTTATACAGTGCTATAACGTGATTATTACACATTTTAATATATTTATAATGCGTTACAGAGATAGGCAACAAGTAAAGTGTTACCAAAGTTTCTTTAGATAATGTAGAGCTATTGTTTATTTTCACAACCTGGGAAACCCCAGCCAGTTCAGTGAGGGTTTAAAAGGGCTACAGGTGAGTTTATATCTGTTGAGGGCGAATGAATAAACTCCTTTACAAGCCTGCCAATTTTTCAAACGTGTCAAATTGGTGTCTCCAGGTTCTGAATTGCAAACGAAAAATATGAATTTCTCCTAGCCAAAGAGATACTACAATAAATATGAATCATCAACTTAAAAGTAATTTCAAGGATTGAAATGAATGACTGTTTTCTTTAGATACTGTTAACTTCCAGTGCACAATTGACCCACCCAGTTTACTCTCTGACAGCTGTGCCATGCAAGACAAGTCATAGCAAAGGACTAGTTTGTCAAAAGAGAAGTCCTAAGTCTTGACCTCCTGATCGAAGTCCAACTATTTATTAATAACAAGCAGTCATAGAAAGGAAACGTTATAAGGAAAGGTCAGTCTATTTTGTCGAAAGCAAGACTGAACAGGTTGAGGTTGTCATCACGTCCCTCAATCAAAACGAGGAAGGTTTAAGACATACAGCAACCAATCACGTGTCTCAGTTTCTTACTGTAAAGAAACTCGTCAACCTACAGCTCCGCACGGTTACGCCTAAATTCAGAGATGAAATTTCAGCCCTGAAGATGATTTGTGATCGTTTTTCTCCCTTGCATTGATCACTTGGCTTCTGCAACAGAGGGGCGGATTGCGATGGCATTACACCTTGTTTTACTATGTTTGACAGCGGCTGCCAGGGTGCGTACACCTACTCCATAAATCGATCCGGTAGCAGAGCCAGATTTTGTCAGATGTTGGTTATTTGTATCACAGTCTAAGGTAATAAAGGGAGGGGTTCATTCAGGGTTAGACAATGTAAAAATAATTAAAAATAAAAATAAGAGATGACGATAGTCTTCTCAACCAGATTTGCATCAAAATAATACTTTTAACCTTAGCAAAACACAAAAACAATTTACGAGTAGCATTGCTTTACAATAAAGATGCATGGATCATTTTTCGCCCAGCCTTTTCCCTGATATGTTACGAGATTTGGAGCGATTTAAGCCACTCACACCACAGTACAGGTAGAAGAGGTGGACAATTAGTCGTGACAAGACACTGAATGTGAGTTTTTCCTCTTACCTCCAACACACAGCAATGACATTTCTTTAAAGCGCCTTTAGTACCGGGTCCAGCTCCTTCACCAGCTTCCGTAATTGAACTAATCAGTGCACAGCTGGGGAGTGATTCTCCGGGTCGGGGATGGAAAAGCTTGCAGTCGCTAACAGAGCCGGGGCTTGGAAGTGCTCGTTAATGCTTCACAAAAATAAAAAATCTTCGAAGAGTGCGTCGCAGTCCTCTCTTTCCTTTTTTTCGACGTGTCGGCTCCAATTGAGACTGTCCTCTCCTCTTCTCTCTCTCAGCTCTCCGCTCCCCTACACACAGCCATCTTGTTCAGCCTCAGCACCACCGCTGCGTGGACAGCTCCTGCCAGTGACGTCAGAGCGATGGCGAGGCTATGCGAAGGGGCGTGGCGAAAACCACCTGATTATTAGGACCTCCTTAATGCCATACGTTCAACATGTCCATCAAAAAGTATCAGTATTTCCATGGAAAAGAAAATTTGATTAAACAGGGTTCTTGCGTAGAAGCACTTAAGATGGTATCCTTTCCTATCTTATATGCCAAATGTGTCTCATTAAAACACTTCCGCAACTTAGCTATCCAGTAGGGGAGAATGGGGTAAGTTGAGCCACTCCCTGTTGCTTGGAAATGGTAAAAGAAATTAATCATGTAACCAAATATTTAGGAGATTGGTATCAGTTTATGGAGTCTGTGAAGGTTAGAAGCACGTGGATGAAGGGGTTAGACATTTATTTAAAAAAAAAATTAGAATTGTGTTCAGACCAAAAAAGTTGATTTTAAATTGTTTTATACATCGATTGTGGTATCTATGAGCTACAACATGAGGTCAAAAACCGAGCATAAAAGTCCACCATTTTAGCTTAGAGGACTAATAAAGTCATCATAGTAGTTCTGGGGTAAGCTGAGCCAGTGGTTCAACTGAGAAAGTAAACGAGTCTGATGAGAGGATCAGAGTTTCGGTTCAGATTGTTGAAATGTGTTACTTTTTCTTTTCAAAAATACAGCTGTGAATGTTCTGAAACACTTAGAGACATTCTCATGTTAAAAATGTTTTTTTTTTACAAAACAGCTTTTTAGCAGTTGTATGCAATAATGATAAAAATAATTATTTTATCAGTTGAATAGTGTACAATAGATAAAAATACACACAAATGTGAAGAAGTCACTGTTATTTAGGGAGAGAGAAGGTGAAGGAGGGCTGGGGTGGAGGGGGGGGGGGGGTAATAGGGATACGGCTCAACTTACCTCGCTCCTATGGTCAACTTACCCCATACACGGGGTAAGTTAAACATAGGAGACCACTTTTTCTGCCATGCTATATTATCAAGACAGTTATGTTTACAGTCATTCTGTTGTTTTGCAGGGATGCACATCTTGAAATATATGCAGATACACTAGTTAGGGACAAAACTATGATTGCCTTGATGTAGTGATCTGATAACATGAAAAATGGCTCAACTTACCCCACTCTCACCTGTTTTTAGACACTTTGGATACAAATGAATGATTCAGCAACTTAGTTAAAAATGATATTTGTTGGTACCAAATTAGAAAACTTGAAAACTTTATAGAGGTGGATCTTTTCTCACATTTAGAGTGAGGTTTATCTTATGGGCAAGATTTGAGTTATGTTTTTTTGTATTACACTGCAGTGCATATTCATTTCTTGTGGGCTTGTCTTGAACGCAGCCTCAGATTCAAGACATTTTCTTGTGTGATTCAGCAGCTCCCCCTGCTGGATGATTCGTGTCATTCATGACGTCTCCGGTTCTCCAAAACTACACTCACACTCAAACCACATGGCTGGACACCTCTAGAGGTTGGCTATTCAAATTTAGGAGAGTAAATCACAGTTGTGTTTAGCAAGATTAAATTGGAAAATAGGTTGTTTTACAAATAAAGATGAAGCCCTTAGAAATTTAAAAGCGCACACCTTTACCTTATGTTGGATACATTTCAGTCAGGTTTAATGAACATTGCAGAAAATACATAGTTGGCAAATATATGAAAATCTGACACCGTTTGCAACAGCTTATGAATGTAACATGCATGCCCAAACATTTTATTTTCACCCTTTCATTTTTTTTTAGTTTAATCTACATAACACTACAATACACACAACCCACCCCTCACATGCCAAGTGGCATTAACTGAAAAACAATTGGTTTTGTCATTTTTATGCTGCGTTCGAGTAACCTCGGAAGTCAGATGTTGGAGCTGAAAATGACGTCACACCCAAGTTACCAGTGTTTCAGTTACCAAGTCGGAAAAAGGCAAAAAACAAGATGGCTACATCTACGAAAGTTATTTTAGCGCTTGCCTTGTCTGAATATAAGCAACCTTTGGACAAATATGCGGTCCTTCTGCAACATCTTGTTTCTTGTAACTCAAACGCAGCATAAGACAGTGGATAAACACCTCATACTGCATAATAGAATCAGAATCAATCTCAAGTTCCTCAATGAAGGCAGCTCAGAAGATAGAATTTCATTTACATGAATACCTGTTTTGTAACAACCCATATCAGCACCACACAGATTTACATTCACAGAAACTCATTAGCATGAATATAAATATTCTCCTGAATACACATATTCATTAAAAGAGGTATGTATATAGACCGTGTCGTGTTATGAGTGTCTTCCCTTGCCTTTTCCGTCCTTGAGATATCCAGAGGCTCTAAATGGCAGTAACTTTGCTCAATACAACCCAGCATGCTATGCACAGTTCTGGTGCAGGAATGAAAGGTTTTCCAGCAGAAACATCCTCATAACTTCTCACTGACAAAGAATAAAAACACGAGACAAAAAAAAGTTGTCAAAAGTTTTAGAAAAATGCATGTTGCTACATGGTTTAATGATAATGATTATAATAAGCCATGGCTTTCTTCGCTGGCATCACTCACCTGCTTAAAATCTGCTCAACTGTGCTAAGTACTTCAATAAATTGTACAAAACAGACTTTTCCAATTAAAGGCAAAGCAAAACTTTACACTTAAATGAGACTTATAATATTTTTACTATTGATTTGATTGTGTGCACTACCCAAAAGTTCAACTTTTGTATGTAAACCAGTGGGCTTAATACGAGGACCAGTTGACTGGTTTGTTTAAAAAATCCAAGACTTGTGGAGGTCGTAATTTTCGGAAAGCATTATCAAAATATCTGAGTGATTCAAGCCAGAACAGTGAAACCAAGTTTAAAATTAAAAAACAAAACCACTTTTATCTGTGCTTTGATTGCTATGTTATGGCACAATACCTTTGCATCTAAAGTAGTTGGGAAATCCCTTAACTTTGGTTTTTGCTTAACTCGTGAGTCAGGTGTGGGCTGTAATACTCTCTCTGCAACTCTTTCAGTCTTACTCGGGACAGTGTTGTTTTGAAGTGATGTCACTGGGTTTTAAACTAGTGAAATGTTTTGTTTTGGTCCGTTTTAACTACATTTACACCAGGAACTGTAAACTTAATGGAAGCTAACACTCTAATTTCTCAAATGCATGTCTCAGCATTAATAAATTGCATCAGGCTGGCGAATCATGATTTATTTTCGTAGTAAAAATTGTTAAATATGACTTGCAAAGTACATTTGAGTAGATCCAGACATTTTTGTATGAAGTCAACCACTGCTGTCGATAATAAATTGATTAGAAACATCGTCACCTATAGAATAAGCTGTGTTCAAAGTTGAAAGCTGTAATGGTGAGATGATCAGGTTGAATCAGGTCAATGAAGGATCCATTAGAAGAAAAACATTGTGTCAGCATGTTGACTAAAGGACTTCACGTAACATTTCAACTCTACAAGGCTGGTCCTATGAGCTGCAGTTACCTGTCGAGATGAGAGAGGACTTCACAAAGCTGGGTGAGCAGGGCGCGATGCTTGTGAGGGTTTCCCTCCAGTACTCCACTGAGACGACTAAGGTATGAATCCAAGTTCCCCAGAGATGCAGTCTCACCTGTACCTGTTAAGAAAAGAAGTAAACCAAAAATGTGTACACTTCGTCACAATATCATTTAATCATCCATTGACTGAACCTGCACTACATCACTTTATAAATCAGGGTGCTGCTTTCATACGGAAAATTTAATGCAACAGGGCTAATTAAAGCCTAACTTAAATTTGTTTACTTTTTGCTCTTTGTTTACATTTTGCTCTTGTATGATTGCTCTTGTATTGCACTGTATTTTTATTTCTGGCTTGGAAATGGACCTGGGTACTAATTTCATACCACAGACTGTTAAACGTGTGGGGTATGAGAAATAAAGTTCCTTTAATCCATACACTGGGAATTCTTTCTCTTAAAGCTAATGTGTCCTAATGAGCACTGACACATATTCACTGTGCCTGCAGGTATTGAAGGCTAAAACCCTAAAGTTATTTTCCAAGATACAATTCATTACAATTCATTACACTAACTGTTTCAAAGTAGGTAGAGACTAGGTACTCTTAGAAAAAAAGGAAATTTCACATCACTCAAGTGCCACTATTTGGCATGTGGATACAAACAGTTGAATCCACATTGTAATGAAGTCAACATGCTCAAGATCTCGGCATGACAAACATGCGCACTGTTATCAGTATCTTTGTGAATCGACTGCTGTGTTAGTATGTTGTGTGTTCCTTTATTCTAAACTGTAACACTTATCCCCTTAAAAATGTAAAAGAGTCAGACTCACATTTTTATGGTTCTCACTAAATTAAGAACCATAAAAAAAACAGTTTTCACATTAGCAGAAAATCTAACCAGTTCAGTTAAATCCTGGACCACCTTTTTCAGCTGATTTGTCACTATCATAAGACATAAATGGGCCAAATAAACTAACCTTCCTTATACAAGCACATACCTGGCAGGGGAATTGAAGACAGACTATTGACCAATGTGTGTTTAATAGTCAGGAGGTGTTGATGAAGAGCCTGAGTCCGTTTTTCATCCAGTCCGAGTTCAGCTTCCAGGCGCTCTTTAGCATTATACATGTCCTTGATGTGTCGCTGAAGCACTGCATTCTGCTCTTCAAACTCTATGTTGGCTTTGCGGAGCCTTCGCAGCTCAGCTTCTCGAGCTAGAAACAGAAAGCGAGGAATTAACCAGGTGCTCCATTTGTTAACAAAGTAGCCACAGTCTTAACTGATATGTACAATGTGTTCAAATGGAAATGTGTTGTGGTCTCTTGTAGTCAGACACTAAGCTGAAAAACTCCATTGCACAGCCTGTTATTGAAGGTCAACGAGCAATGGTGGCCTTTGAGGACAAGAAGCTGCTGTGATACTTGAAGCACAGCTGGGTACATGTCCATTAATCGTCAACCATTGCTGTAACTTCTTTTATCAATTTTTTACTCAGACATTAATTCAAAAACAATTAACAGATTTATATTCATTGCACCTAAATCCAAAAAACAAAATATCAGTTTTGTATCTATGTTTTATCTATGGCATTACACCTTAGATGAGAATGGCCACAACCTTGAGAATTAAGTCATTGTGAAGCAACAATTAGTCACATAATGCTGTTTTTGAGGGGGATACCACAATTCTCACCTTTCTGCACAATCATTTCAGAATCTTGATACCTATAACAATGTGGTGTTCAGGAGCCAACAGATGGAGTATTTAATTATTAGTCTAACCTATGCTAAAGTACAATTTAACAAGATGTACATGCTTTTTACCTTTGTTCTGGTCAAGAAACTCCTCTGTGAAGATAGGGATATCAAATCTTGAGATGTCAGAAGCCTAAAAGAATCATATGCAGATAAACAACTCAGTTTCTTTGAAAATTATGTAAAATGACATAACAGGATACCATGTGAGAATATGTGTCATGTACCTTTGAAACAGATGATTCTGAACCTGTTCTAATGATAACTGACGGAGAGTCTTCTGAAAGAAAATAACAGTGTTTGTATTTTACAGCTAACATGGCATTGAGTATTAAAATATAAAATTTAACTTATAATCCTGTTTCCTTTGGGCTCAATTGTCACCTTTCTTGATCCTCTTGTCTTGAATTTTAGCACTTGTGATCTGAAAGGCCTCAGTCTGCTGGTATTCCTTTAGTTCCTGGGCATACTGCATCTTCTCCCGCTCTGCCTCGTCCAGGTAACGCTGCATGTATGTACATTAAATTGTTTTACTAAATCTCAAGGAATATTTTACAAAAAAAAATTCAACTCTTTGGCCCTTCCTTTTAAGTTGTCACACTGAACTAAAATCCATTGAGCTAAATAAACAAGTGATCAGAAATATTTTTTAAGAAATCTAGACAGCATTAGTGTTTAAAATAGAAAAAAATGTATTAGATATCTAGAACTTAAAAAAGTGTTTTCAGTACACATGTTCATACCTGCTTGTCATTCAGGGCCAGTCGAGTCCACTCTGCTCCAAGCCTCTTGGTGATTTCTGGGAAAGGTAAGTCTGGATATCGGGCTCGCATATGTTCTCGTCGCTCATTTAGGAATCTGACATATCCTGTGACTGGTGCCTTCGGACCATTTGGCAGGACCTTCTTTCTTTTCTTTCCTTTTGGCCAGCCTCTCTTTTTTGGCTGCAAAAAAAATGGATCAACACTCTTGAAGTCTACTTGTATGTGTAATTGTACCTTTTTCAACCTTGTGCAAATTTTTTTTTTTGGGGGGGTGTTATGAGACCATAGAGTCCTCGCCAATTATTGTGAAGGCTAAAGGAAAGTGCACATTTCTCTAGCACCCAAGCAATATTGGTTTAAGGTATATATTAGATGCATATGGCGTTTACATTCCCCTCTAAATATGGGGTGTGTGCAGTTTTTTTTTCCCTTTGGGGGATTCTGTTTTCCCTTTTTGTGATTGCTGCAGCTTCTCTCCCTTCGACTATCTGCAGGTGAGAATGGACACACCTGAATTCTGTGAGGCTGTGATTAACACTACAGGTAGCAGAGCATATGGGCTGAGTGAAATCAGCAGTCTGTGAGATGTGTGGCACATGAGATGTGAGGCTGTGAGGAGAGCCTGTTTTGGTGGACTTATTTTGGACTAATATTTCATTTTTCTTCCCCTGCAGGGGATATTTTTGCCAAGTATTTCATTAATTTGACCCTTTTTTGTTTTATTTTGATATGGCATAATACATTTTTTTGAGAATTCACATCTTTTTTATATTTTTTCCTTCCACTCACACTACCTTCCACCCGAGTGTAGTAACAGAGGGTAAAATTTAGGAAACTATTTCATTGTTAAATTGTTTCTTAATCCAATAATGTCTGCAAATTCACTAATGATTTTCCCAGTCTCCAATCCCAATACAATCACCCACCCCTCTATATAATAATTTCAGGTTTATTCTTCACTAGGCCCTAGCTTTTCCTTACTGTTTTTACTTTCTTTATTTAATTTTTATATAATAACTATGTAATACTCCTAAGAATTACCCTTACATACCTAACCAAAAAGGTAAACAGTTTCACTTCTTAAACATGGCGTCCAATTACATGATGAGAGATGACCAGTTTGCAGATGGATCCTGATCACACAGAAAATACCACGACTTACCTCTTCCTGTGGTGGATCTGCTGAGTGTGAAGGTTTGGCTTGCTGGGATGAATCCCCCTGCTCTTGTTTGATCCCACCCATGTTTTCTGCCCGTGCAGTTGTCTGAAAGTGTGTATAAAATCACAGGCATGAGTAGTTTTTGGCATAACACTCTGTCTAAAGACACCGCCTCTGAGGCTAGTCTACAAGCTAACCTGACTGCTAGCAGGTCAGTGAGCTAACTGATCACATCGTGCACTTCGCACAAACAACGGTCTTTATTCTCACAAAAGGTGATAAAAAAAGTGTTCATGAATACAGACATCAAAATTATGTTAGGTAACGTATATATTCTTGTACACAACGAGGTTTTCTAAAACCGGACGGAAAATCAGCCGTTTTCATCAATTAAAATAGTTTTATGGAGAAACATTTTCTCACTTACCCAATAATGTATCCCTCGGTCAAACAGGTAGAGAATCCAACACGCCATCTGATTGGTCCAACCTGAGACTCGTGATTGGTTAAGTGAAGTAGCCCCGCCCCTTTACAGGCAAGTCGTGTACAACTTGAGCGGCTATGTAAAATGAATGCTGTTAAAACAAAAATCAAAATCCAGACAATGATGCAAGATAAAACAAAATTTAATTTCAGAAATAAGGATTACAGTTTTGTTGGGCGAACATACAGATGGGTATGAGAATTAAAGTACAGATAGCAGGTGAAAGGCTTGTACTCAAATGCAAAGACACACAAACACACTGGCAGAGGAACAGATGATTCAGGGAAGTACAGTATAATATCAATGACAAATGACCAAATGTACATCAGAGTGGAAGGGAGCGAGTTGATTGCAGAGACATATGACAAGTACTGAATATTTACCTTTTAATCCAGTAGGTGGGGACAGGGAAAGTAAAATATGCCCCCCCTCAGGAATCAATAAAGATAAAGGGGACTGAGAAAAGACCTATATTTGGCGTGTCATGTAACTGAAGCTTATGTAAGTTTTTATTTTTATTTTTAAACTCTTCCAATTCACTTGGAAAGCTTGAACTTTTTTTGCAGTCACAAGGCTGTTTTGCGGCAGACGGTAAGTTTTTAAATATTTTCTACTCAGCGACTAATGTTGTCATTTAATACACAAGCAGAGTATGTCATAAAAAAGTTGTTTGCTCAATATGTATTGTCATGACTATATCTTGAAGGTACTATCCCCTATCTTGTAATCAATATTGATGTTGGTCACCCATGAAAGAAAGTTTATACACAACAGATATCATACCCATGGGTTAATGTACAGAATTAGAGAAATTCTGGACTTATTTCTTCCAGAAATCCACCTTTCCTTATTAGTGAAGGACAACTTTGTCATTTACAATCAAAAGACCAACCCTGCCTGTTACACCTCATCTAAACTGGAGATGCGATCATTGCTGAAACCCAATCCCTGTCAGGTATGGAGGATGAAAGTAGACAGTGAAATTCATAAAATACACCTTTAAATAAATGCTTAAATGTTTCATTAATTAAAATGGAAATTAAACATTTTACAAGAAATGAGCAGGTATTTTAATGAATCAATGACACGTGTATTTAATTCCTATTTTCATTATTGACACATTTACATTTCTATTCAAAGACATATTTATATATTTCATTGTCTCCTTTTGTCCTCCACAGTCAGGATATCATATACATATATATAAAAATTAACCAGATGATTCTTCAACCGTTGTGTTACACCAAGACTGACGTGGCCCCCAGGTGATCATCCCCACAAAGATTCAGAATCATCAAACTTGAACCATTGTAGTTTTTATTTTCTTTTATTGTTTACAATTTTTGTGGTACTTTATTCATTATTGTCAATCCTTTTGGCAAACATTAGTGCTCATGGTGTTCTGTACAGTCCGGTCCCACAATGTAGACTTATTTGTTGGAAACGGGAATGAGGCCAGAGCCAAGTGGGTCAAGGCTTTTACATTTTGTCCAGGTAGTTGTCCAAGGCTGGAATGCCTTCCTTCAAACCCTTACGTTTGCGTGTCTCCGTGACAACAACACCAGGTTTGGTTGAGGGGTCCATTGGGTCTCCCTGGAGGATCTGCCAGTGATCAAACACACACTGTGGGAAGGCCTGGCCGCCAGTGTTTGAACGAAGGTCAGCTGTGAAACCTGGGAATGATACAAGCAAAGACTTAGTATTGTCTGAAGTTATTTGACAGGGGGTGTGGGGGTGCCGCTCTTCATCTGATGGCAAGAAACTATTCTGGTAACAAAATACTGTCATATAATATTAAATAAAGGGGAGTTTTGAAAAATTTTTTTTCAATCTAGCTCAAATAAGCTTACTTGGCACCAATTAATGAAATACGCATTTGATCACTACAATATAAATTTTTCAAATACCACAAGTACACAGAATCAAATTAAAAAGTATACAGGTAATAGATATTAAGTTATGAATATACATGCAATAATGTCAGTGAAATAATAGCATGCTGATCAAACAGCTCCTCTTTATTTGTGCCAAATACACATACACATGGTAATAGCATCACTGGTTGCAAAGAGTGGGAATGGGGACACAGGCATCGAGTAATTTCATAAATATGGACAAAAGCTTTGGCCCTCACATCTCCTTAGATTTTAAATTAATCACTAATCAGAACAGCCTGTCTTCTATAACTTTGTTACAAAGTGTCTTCAAAACCAATACAACAACTTACCAATGTATGACAGGATCCTCACTTAACTACACCAGCTCTTCTACTTAGATACCTTTTAGTGAAGGAAAAAAAAAAAAAAAAAACCTACCGAAGGACTCCATGACAGGCAGGTATGCCTTGGTGATATACATGGGTGTTCCCATAACATTGCTTTCCTCAAACACGTGACCACGCCTCCTGTTCAGCACACCGTAGATTCCACCAATAGCAGTCTCAGGACACTGCGAGGCAGAAAGAACACCCATATAATTAAAATGACAGCAAAGTCAGAAATAAGAAGGAAATGTTTGCCAGAATAAGAAAATGAACTGCGCTACTACAATCCTTGGGGGTTAGGATGGATCACACCTCCACCTGCACTGACCTGAATCTCCACCAGATAGACGGGCTCCATGAGTCTTGGCTCAGCTGTGAGCTCACATGCGTACAGAGCTCTACGAGCTGTGGGAATGATCTGACCACCACCACGGTGAATGGCATCTGTGTGCAGTGTCACATCATGGATGTCAAAGCGGATGGCTCTCATGTTTTCTTCACAGAGGACACCCTAGAAGACAAATTTGACACAATCTTGTTTAAATATATAAAACACAAGTCCATCCACTGGTCACCATGTAGAAAAACACACAAAGACCTAAAGGGGAGAAAAACTGATAAGGGCTCAGACCTGTGAATGACAGAGAATAATAGGAAAAAATACAGACTATACCAAGTAAGAGATATGTATGCATTCATAAGCAGCTAAGTTAATGGAGATTGTTGAAGTTCTTGTACACAAAAAGACATCTTGTTTTCATTAACAATCCAGACAAGGAGAAAAGCTGTTCTGAGTAGAAGTTGTCATACAAATTAGCACTGGGATCTAATCTATAATTGACACGCATATTTGCATTCCAAATGCACAACCTAAAAGTTAAAGTACTCAACCTGTACTTACAATCTTAAAAAGATTTACCACTGAACTGGATGATAAAATGGGAAATTCAATTACTGATATTGTATTCAGTTTAGTGTTTCACATGGAGCTGGTAGCTTGTGCATTTCCTTTGGAATTCCAACAAAGACGTGTGACCATTGTCAAATTGGTATATTCTTAGTAGAAACTGTGAAAACACCATTACAATTGGGAGTGCCAACTTCCTAGCAACTTAACTGATATTGTATCAGTTAGTTGAACTTAACTCTTAATGTTACTCATGGCTGCCACGAACAAAGTTCACTTGGCAAACTATGACTCACTCTCAACTCTGCCAGAGGAAAACATACGTTGAATACACATTTGTCCACAAACTGATTTCCGAATCGCAAGAAAAAAAAATTCATTAAGAGTGTATTGAACAGTATTTCTTAATTTGCCTGCTTACCTCCTTGACAGCCCACTGGAAACCAGCCACAACGCTGTCCTTGATCTCATTCAGGTACTGCACTCCCTTGGTTACGTCCACCAGCAGATTAGGGCCAGTTCCATCGGGTCCAAAGCACCAGATCTTTCTGGCCTCACCGACATCCCACTCAAACTTCTCAGCAAGATAGCGGGCACGGGTCTTCATCTCCTGACGAGCGGTAACATCACCCTTCTCGATGTCCTCTGCCAGACCATCTTCGAAGGGACGGGCCTTCATGAACAGACGGTTGTGCTTGTTGGGTGACTTTGAGAGACACGTCACACTTGATTCTGCAGAGACGGTCTCCCTGTAGGACACCACTGGATCGGATTTCTAAAAAAAATAAATAAAAAAAAAAAAAGACAAAAAGCGTTGATGAAATGTTACTTTACAGGGATTTTCGTCAAAAAGACACTTCAACTTTCTCTACCTTGAGTAAAGCCAGAGGAGGAATTTTTTTCAGGGACAACCAAGTTTTCAGTTTTGCAAAATCACCTTGAGTGGGATACAAGCGTGATCCTCCTCCAGATCCTTCAAGCAGATCTCCAAATGCAGCTCTCCAGCTCCAGCTACGATATGTTCTCCAGACTCCTCAATGATACACTGCACCATAGGATCGGACTTGGACAGACGCTTGAGACCCTCCACCAGCTTGGGCAGGTCAGCTGGGTTTTTGGCCTCCACAGCAACTCTCACCACAGGGCTGACGCTGAACTTCATCACCCTCATGTTGTGTGCCTGCTCGAAGGTGGTGATGGTCCCAGTCTTCACAAGGTACTGGTCCACTCCAACCAGACCCACAATGTTACCACAAGGCACATCCTCAATGGGCTCAACGTAACGGCCCATCATCAAAATGGTCCTGGTAATAAGCAATGGATATAGTTATTTCAGATATGTCAAGTACCTGATGACCAGACTTTTCATTATTAATCACTACAATGAAGTGAAAACTAAGATTCCCAGCAAAGATGAGACCTACCTCTGAATTGGCTTCAAGTACAGGTCCTCCTTCTTTCCAGGAACAAAGTTTGGTCCCATAATGCGCACCTTCAGCCCAGTGGAAACACTGCCGGAGAACACACGTCCGAATGCATAGAAGCGACCCTTGTCACTGGTGGGAACCATCTTTGAGATGTACATCATCAAGGGGGCCTTGGGGTCACAGTTCTTGATACCTGTTAAAAAAATAAAAAATACAATTACATATATTAGATTACGAGTGTGGGTGAAACAACATCTACGAATACAACCTTTGAAAAAGCGTCACCGAAGGCAAAACTAAAGTTACATGAACAAAGTTAAAATAAACAAGCTTCATACCCATTGCAGCCTCATCATCGCCAGGTCCTTCGTAGAGCAGCTCACAGCGGTACTTCTGAGCAGTGACCGGGGAAGGCAGGTGGATGGTGATCATCTGAAGGAGGGCCTCACCGGCGGGGAGCCAGCGGCGCATGACAGCCTTCAGGAGGGGCTTTCCTTCCTTGTCCTTGTCATCAGTGTCCAACTTGATCTCCAGCTTCAGGATCAGCTTGGCAGTCTCCTCTTTCTTGAAGTTCATGATGGCATCAAAGACCTAAAGCAAAAAGTCATTTGACTAAGTTAATCCGATATTAAGGAGGGCCAAACGGTGTTAAGGTTGACTATGGTGCTCTGCTCAGGCTGAAAGTCGTCATCACTGGATACTCAGGTCAAAGTGAAGAATGATGAAGTCATCACATGCAGGCACACAGAACATATTGCGTAATTTTCTCAGATTTTTCCTCACAAAGATTTCTTCACAAGAAAATGTTTTTTGTCCTTTGATATTTCATTGAAATTTATTTTTGTTACCTTGAAGATTGGGTCCAGGATAAGGGCAACAAAGGTGCGGGGGTATTTGGTGCCATCAGCGCCCACAGCATTCTTGAGGAACTTTCCATTGGCAGCGTCAAAGTACCTTTAAGCAAACAATAAATGAAGACATTTACCAACAAAGCACAAGCTGCCAAAAAAACTCAAGCACTCTGTCTGTGAGCCTCCAATGATGTGATGCATTTCAGTTAAAGCCATTTCTGTCCCCACATGGAGCGGGCTTCATTGATAGAGCTGTGCCTGAGACGTACCTGTCTCCCCACAGCTTCTTCATCATATCCTCCACCTTCTTGCAGTGCTCTTCTGGTGACAACTGGGTCTTGCCTTTGGCAGCAAACTTGGCTGCGTACATCTCAGCAAACTGCTTGAGGGTGAAAGCCCAGCCGTGGAGTCCAGAACCAAAGCCAACGGTACCAATGACTGGATCGATCTTTAAATTGACAGGAGCACATCAAGACAGATACATTTTGAGTTTGAACTCAAAATCATATGACCTACGTGAAATTTAAATTAAGGATCAATGTAGAGGTGAGTTATTGTAGCCACCTTCACACCCCCTTGAGCCTTGTTCCATAAATTACAATCCAGACCTGTGTTAGGTAGCATGAGAACTTTTGATTTGTTGCTTTATAAAAAATCCTGCAACCAGAACACAATGTTGATGCATCTCACAACACAACTTTCCCCAGTTATGCGAAAATGTTCCTATTAAGATCCAAAGAATGAGGTGTGAATGAGGGAAACACCATCTGTTTATAAAAGGTGTGACTAAAGTTACTATAATCTTGACTACAGTCTGTGATGTGCGTGTCCTCTTGTAGCAGGCACCGAGACACAATAAGGCAAATATGTTGTACTTGTAAGTTCAGACAATTACCATGATGTGACCCATGGGTCCATTTTCGTCCTCTCCGTAGGTTGAGATGATGACGTTGACTGACTCAACAATACGCTGGAATGTCTGGTAAAGATCTTCAGGTTCCAGCTGCAACTCGAGCAGGGCACGGTCCATCTTGTTCATCATCAGGACTGGCTTGATACGCTCACCGATGGCCTGACGGAGCACTGTCTCAGTTTGCACGCAAACACCTGGTAGGGACACACAATTAGACGATTTAACCCAAAGCAAAGAATTTTAAACTGCAACACCCAATTTGAAAACGCAATTCCTGAAATAATTTACAGGGGCAGTATATATTTTTTTCACCTGTAATCAATTATTTCTAAGGTTACCATAGCATAGTGGCACAAGGGCACACCCTTTCATTTTCTATATTTTCAGCACAATCACTTGGAAACGGCCTATGAGTACATTTAACAGTCTTAAGAGTTTACTTGTCTGTATGAATACTTTGCAACAACTGATGGCACTGCTGTTACTTTGGTTACAGTCCTTTTTATGTGTCTGATTAAAAAAATAAAAAAGGCTAGCTTTGTAAGTTTTCCACAGATTTGCACTGGAGCATGACTGCTTTTTCCCACCCCTAAATGCTTAAAACTAAAATGACAAATTGGGCATCAAAGTAGAAACCTTGCATAAAATGAAGAATATTCAGCACTGTCCCTACCAGACACACAGTCCACAACAACCAGGGCTCCATCAGTGACACGGAGGGCAGCTGTCACCTCAGAAGAGAAGTCAACGTGCCCTGGTGAGTCGATCAGGTTGATCAAAAAGCCAACGCCATCCTTAGACTGCTTGATGAAAGCCATGTCATTCTCACTCAGCTCGTAGAAAAGGGAAATGGCGCTGCAACCAATATGAATGTGAAAATACAGGTGTCACTTAACAGGTTCTTTGTAACAAAATCACACCCACTGACTGTCGGTTTAAGAAATATCAAAAAGCATACACCCAAATGTCAATAACATTACTGCTTCCCCAGTTCAGGTGGAAATACTAACATAGCTTTCTCTTTGAGAACATTTTGTTACCTACCTGTAAGAGAACAAAAGAAAAGGAAAACAACCAACACCTAACAGTTCCTGACTATGATGTAACTAATGCGCAATGTTAAGTCAAGGTCTGGTTAGGCTGGGTAAGAGACAAGCCTTTACAAAACAATTTTAGACAAAATTCAATAACAAAAATAACATTAAAAAACAGTATTTCAAGCAATCACTCCATCACACTTGCTTTAAAGCACAGGTGTCAAACTCAAGGCCCGTGGAACAATTATATCCGGTCCACGAGATCAAATCATATTTGTATTAGTATTGGCCCGCCAGTATGAGGTCTGCAGATTTCCCCCAGAATTATAATGTAAACTTTAACACTACTATTTAAAATATCCTGAACAAACCATGAAAATCTGGGAAAGTAAGAAGTAAGGAAGATTTGATAAATAGTCAAGAATGTGGGGAAAAAATGATATTGATATTGCTGATATTGTTATTTATTTTGAAAAGGAGGCTGACAGTTTGGGTTAAATGTTGACCCTGTTGGGCCCTCAGGTTAGATTTAAATCCAGATTTTGGCCCTTGCTTAAAAGTGACACACAAATGAAGGAAACTTGCATCACCTAAACTCAACAACTGCGCAGCTCTCTTATTAGGAAGGGTGGAAAGGATGTGGTACTCACGTAGACTTGATGGTGATACAACGTTCCTGTTCATCTTTGCGTGTGTCTGTGAAGCGGGTTTCTCCTGCGCGAGCAGAGGCGATGATGCCAGCCTTTGACACAAGCGAGTCCGTCAATGTTGACTTTCCGTGGTCTACGTGCGCAATCACAGACATGTTACGGATGTTGGCCTTTTTGTCCATGATGGTACGGATCTGGTCGACGGTAAAGTTCACCTACAGAAAGACAGTGGTATTAGAACAAAAAGCAACGAAACACTGTACTCACACGCCCAAAACGAGCACTGTTTGGAGGTTTACATACAGTGTGTCAACCTGCTATACTCATTCAAAATAACAGTAATGTCCTGATTGAGATACATATCTCTCGAAATTCACCAAAAATGCATCAAGATTTGCTCCAACACAGCGTTTTGTTATGGACTCTAACCGGGGTGTTGGTTATCCGCCATGATCACTGCAATGACGTTTCTGACAATTTCACGATTCATGTAGCTCAATTTCTAACGGCGATGCGACAGTTTTTGTTATTATTCTTGCCAAACGACATTTATGACAGTCTGAATCTACCATTTTTGACAAGATCTGTGCTTTAAAGCAGATTAAGTCACCCAACACCCGGCATAACATGTCGGCACCAACAGGCCACGTGTACAGACTTTGACACTATGCTAAATGCTAACCACCCGGCCGCGCCGGTACTGCTGATTGCCGGCAAATCACTCCTCCAATCGGTGACAACCCCAGTGAAACTTGGGTGTGCCCCATATCAGGACTGAAGTACACTAAAAACCAACATTTCTTTATGCTATCCTTCTCCATCGAAATCGAGCAAGAGAGTCCTGGAGCAGTAGGACATTGAGAGAAAAACCGCCAGTGAAAAGTAAGCGCTGCTATCAACTGGAAACCTTAGAGTAACCTACTGTTAACCACTGCGGCCTTTGCAGAGGAATATACCCTCATATTATCCATTACTGTCAGAAATAACTGCTATTCATAAATCAAATTTTTAATGGAATTTCGTGTTTTTTGCGGCACCAGTGGCCCCGTTAGGCTGCCGGTATAGATGACATAATGGCTGCCATTTTGATCAAAGCACAATCCATAGTGTTATGTATCAAACATCTGTCCAATACTTTCGAGAAGTAGGTTAACGTTAACATTAGCAGCACCCTTTCTATCGGACTACACATTGATAATAATTAAAACACGGGAAAACTCACCATTTTGACGGATGGTTTTGGATTCGCTTCGTCGAAAAAAGAGACAGGAAACTTTACACTGCCCACCTCACGAGGGCATAGGCAGGGAAGAGGCCGCTGACGTCAGAAAACAGGCATTTATACAACATGCGTCAGACGTATATACGTCAGACGTTACGTTTTGCTTGTCCTTGCCAGTATTTTGCTGAGCTCAACTAACTTGATTTAAAAATTAAAAGACTTTTCAGGTCTTCTCTTTCTTTGGTACGAAAAGTCAGACCACGTGAAATATGTTTGAACTATATTTTATGCTCATAATAATGTAAATTTATATAGCACTCATAAAAAGACGTTACGAAGTGCTTCACAAACAGGAAAGTTCACAATGTAGAAATAAAACAATGAGACCAAATAGCAAGACATATTAATAAAAGATGAGACTACTAAAATAGCCTAGAAAAAAACACAATCATAAAAGAGCAAGCGCCAAGAGTGATAAAAACAGTGATTAATGAAACAATAAATCCCCTATATAAATGATTCAATTAATAAAAAATGAATAAAAGAATAATAAAAATAATAACTTTATTTTTACAGCACTTTTAAAAACAAAAGTTCACAAAGTGCTTTAACAAACAGCCATAAAGCACAGAACATCAGCACATGGAAATAAAAACAAATAAAAAACAAAGGCTTAGTTAAAAACAAGGCCTCTGAACTGAAGGCCAATTTCAGAAAGAAAAGAAAAAAAGGCCATCTGATAAAGGTTTTTGAAGTGATTTAAAGGAAGACACTGATGTTGCTTGTTTGAGATCGGAAGTAGGCTTTCAGAACAGTTTTGAGAAACTCTGCTGTGAGTTTAATTTTATTTTCAATTTTATTTTATTCAACTTTCACATCTCCTCCTCCATTTAAATTTTGATTATAATAGGTAGGTTTGCCTAGTTTTCACCCAACAAAATTGGTAGTTAAAGCTACCCCTTTGGCAACAGTTATGCCTACTACAAGCTAGAGTTTTGCAACAAATACTTTACTAGCAGTTATTTCATTAAAATCATTTAAACTGTGTTTCTGAGGTGTGTCAAATGAGGCAGTTTAGTCTAACTGTGAACGTGGCGGCTGATTGTCCAGCAGATGGTGCCCTTGCTTCACATACAGATTCTCTTGTTCTCTTCAGACCAGTCTCAAATATGAAATATTTCACTATTACTCAGATGGTGGTTCCACACAATACAAAAAATAGCACTGAGTATGCCACGCTTAAGAGATTCTCTCGATGCCATGCAACACTACAATTCTGCAATTATTAACTGAAAACCTTCAATTACACAACCCTTGAAACCCACCAATGTCTGACACAGGTATCAGGAAAATTGGCCTGAATAATACTCATAGACTGTATATAGTATAGTCAAGGACACAACAATGAGGAAGGTCTTTCATAAAAGCTTTACCTACATATAATATGCCTGTATGACCAGTAATATAGATGTAATTCTAATAATAGATTATTAACTTAGTTGACAACTTGCCTTGTCAGGATAAACAAAGTATTCTGTTTAACTCAGATGTGTTCCCTTTCACTGACAGCTTAAGATGACTTACACTGGATCACCAATCAAGTAAACTTTACTGATAAAAAAACACTTATCCCCCTGTTTTATGAAAATGCAATTTTCATTAGAAACATTTTTTTCTTTGTGGTTTATTGTTGATTTAATTTTTTAAAGTCATCTTTTGTGTAGGTAAGAGGTCGACAATCAAGTTTTGTGAAAAAATGAATTTGGACTGATGTTGTTTGCACATTGCTTCTTTCCTCCATCAACACTTATGAGACCATTTCAGGATGAATGGATGCTGTGGACATGGAAGTGTAACAAAAGCTCTTTGTGAAAAACATAAAATTACTCCATTGGAGAGGGAATGACAAGGATGACAGGGGTGGTGGTGGGAGGGGTCATGACACAGCTTGAAAACAATTGGGCCTAAAATGCTCAAAAAATACAAGTGAACATATCTGACAGTGCTAATGAGTGGAGACAACATTACGTTAGCGGTGTTAAATATTCCAATTTAATGCTTTCATTTCTGCAGCTCTGTGTACACTGTCATATTTGACAACTCTCACACAGTATGATTGACGAAGAGAAATGGCATACAGCTCAGCCTGAGTAATTGACTAGTGATTGAAATGACACCAAACTTTTAAAGCAGTGAAATTTCAACCACAGTTGTTTGTAGGAATGTGTCTTTTTTAAATCAAAGTTGTTGTAGATGTACTTTAAACCTATAATTTGCTTGTGCTTGTGTAACAAAGGGAAATACTGTAATAGTTTAATGCATGTAAAGTTTTCTTCAGTGTGACCCTCCAAAGGACATGAATTAAACTCTTCAACTTCTGGATTTTAGTCAAGGGTTGCCCTCCAGTCTAGATCTTTGCCATTAGTTTATAACAGCGCTCATTCAAAAATGGACATCCAATCTAAAAAGCTCTCCTTTGTGAGTTTGGTGCTAATGCTGCAGTATTTGCACCTACATTTGGAAAAGAGACGACAGCTACAAACCCTCTTCATATTGTTTCTCTTTGTAATGCTTGCCTAATTAAGCCAGCCCTCCCTCTGTGCTGGATAAATGCTCTCTCTTCCTGGTTTTTGAGCCGAGGAGCTAATACACCATGCCAAGTTATTTGGCTGAGCGGTATTCTTACCCATGAAGTCAGGTCTTCTCGTGGGATTTTCTGAGCAGATGAGGTCACACAGGGTACATAAAACTGAATTTGTCTGAGATGTGCACAAGAAACCAAATTGAATTTTCAGGTCAGGAGTGAACTTAAAACCCTTATGATTCAGATGTTCTCAGGAAAATGGAAAATTCAGTATCTACAAATATATGCCTGGTGGACCTGTCAGTCTACAAGGGATTGGATGAATAAAATTATCACTATTTCTTACTAAATACCCTCAGGAAAACATGTGCTTTATGTGGCTCAATGAATTTAGGTTGAGAAGCAACTCTAGCCTAATATTCCATGAAGGCAAGGGCCTGTTTCCACTGCCTTTTTTTGTTTGCACCAGCAGTTTATTATATTCAATGTGTCTTAAAGGGATATTCTGGTGTAAAATTAATTTAGGATCCAACACACTGTAACACCGAGATGAATGTTGCTGACTGCTTGCTTCTCTAGTTATACCAACTTTAGTAATGACCACAGGATAGCAATACACAGCGGTCTGAGGAGCCATAAACAAACTTCAACCAAAACGCCACTTTATAGCCACAAATAATGCTCAGAACAGCACCTAACTTCATCAACAGTACATATAGGGTCCCAGCCATAGAACTAGCCACCAAACATCTTTTTAACTTTGACTAATTTCTTTAGCAAAGAGACTAAACACAACTCACCTACTCTCTTCCAGCAGCCGCTTGTTTGTAGCGAGACCTCGGTCCAGTCCATTACGGACTGCTGCGGGGTGACGCAGCTCAAGGAGGAACATTTATGATCATTTCTTTATCATTTCCTCGAAGTAATAATGCACTGCAGACATGGTAGTTCTTCTGCCTTAGCGTCTCGGTCTGATTGCATTTCCATGAAGAAATGAAGTGTATTGCTATCGTGCGGTCATTGGTATAACTAGAAAAGCAAGCGGTCGGCAACAATCATCTCTTGAGAGGGTTGTCTAACTCAATCTTTTTGACCCTAAATTAATTTTAAAGCAAAAACACCCTCATCATCAGCTATTTTTGACACTGAACTCACAGCCCTCTATCACAGTCATCACTTCTCCATCAGCGACCAATCAAAGAAAGAAGCACCTCTGATATCAGTCTTGTCAAAAACAGGGAGGTCTAGACGGAGGAATAACTAATCCTGTGGGGTAAGTGGCGGAACTGGTACACACTCAAAGCACTGATCCAATCAATTTACCAGTAACCTTATGTCAAATTTTCTTCTTAATGAAATATTACAACTGCTGTTACAGTGTAACCCAGTATTGAAGCTCTGCCCTGTTGTATTTACCTAAATGAACTCTGAGTTTGGTGTGGAGGCCCATAATTGTTCATTCTTAGCCTTAAAGTAAGTAGTGAGTGTTTTCATTCACCCATTGACTCTCAGGTAACATTAAATGTCCTGCACTAGAGTCATTTCACATTGTTCATTAAGTTTACAGAAGAACCTTAATGCCTGTTTGTGCCAGCTAGTAGCTCTGCCGTGGTATTAGGCGTTTGTCCTCAGAATAAGAAGCTTTGCTGCCATGAGTGATCTCATGAATAGAAGGATGTCATGGATTATACCCCCCCCCAAAAAAAAAAACAAAAAAAAAAATTACTTGTCAATGGAGTAAGAAAATAGGAAGAGAGAGGGGAGGATGACATGCAACAAATGGCTGCAGGTGGAGACTGAACCCAGATTTGCTTTGAGGATCTTTGTTCAACAGACCTCTTATTTAACCACTGAACCAAACCGCTCACTTTTAATCACACTTTTATAGCCAATTTTGTCCTCAGTGACAAAATAAACTCTGTTGTTAATATTTTAATCAAATAATACAGCATCCCATCTGGAAGAACCCAAAACCTAGAGTCATTTTCAGGCCCTCTCATGAAGGTTTTACAGCAGTGATAATTATTCAAAAGGTCTGTTATGACTCTCTTGGCTCCTAACTTTTTCCTGTAAAGGACTAAAGCCAGCAGACAATCAAGCTCCTTAACAGTCTCAGTGCATTAAGAGTCAGTGCGTCACTCTCTTAACAAAGCCAACAACAACACAACAGTTCACGAATGCTTTCACATAACAGAGAGAGAGTCCTTTGTTATAGCCCTGGTGCTCCATGAGGAGTGTGCATCTCCTCTTAATGTTGGTTTTGGTTTGGTTATGGTTTTCTGCCAAATATTTCACCGAACAGTGAAACAATTTCCAATGGCTGTTCTTTAAAGGAATGCACAATCTTATGAAACATATGTATTCTTGACAAGTGAGCTGAAATGTAGTAGCAGAAAAAATCCATCAGGTGAAAGGGGAATAACATATATTATGATATAATGGTAAGAGAAGAGAGACAAGATGCTAAAGAAACTGAAAGAGAGATAAAGAGAGATGTCAAGGACTGCTGATTGGAGTGTAGGCAGAGGAGAGAGGTGTGAGAATATGACAGCCTGAATTTA